AGCAGCAGTACAGTCGTTTTACAGTCTGGTCACGTGGTTTTCATTGGGGATGGAGATTTGGCAAGGTTGTAACAAGCCAATGTAAAATGACTGTAAATAGGCAAGGTCTAAACTATAGTTTTTTTTCCTTAAAAATATACACAGGAAGTTTTTTTTTAAAAAGAATTATATATTCTTGATATATTAGGAGCCTGCTTCCCCTAAAATAAGCCCAATCGGGCTTTTGATTGCATGCGCTAAAATAAGCCCCCCCCAAATAAGCCCTCCCCGAAAATATTTAAACGCATGCACAGCCGGTCTCCACTATTTTCTCTGGTTACGGTTAGGGAGACAGCTAGAAATCAGGTAAAATGGCTAGATGAGCCCCATTTTGCTCCATGCACCCCAAGATAATAAGACATCCCTGCAAATAAGGCCAAGCACTTATTTTGAGGTTCAAAAAAAGATAAGACAGGGCCTTATTTTCGGGAAAACACGGTATATATCAGAGTACACTGTGGAGGAAGGAGAAAGACGGTCAGAAGCATTTTGTTTAAAAAAACCAGGCATGGTGGTATTATGACAGGAGAGAAGTTATTTCATCTGAAGCAACCTTTTGCAGCATCCAGAAAACTTGACTGTTTTCAGTAGCTAACCTCTTGGGAGGTTCTGTAGAACGACTATCCATTTCTGTGCCTGGTGAGATGTGACAATGGCTAAATGCTCATTTTTGACTGCATCTTTTTGGGTGAATCACTGTCCTGGCCAAGACTTTCTCATTATCTGAGAAAGTCAGGCTTCAATCAGAAGTTGTATTGATTGCAGATGATAGGCCATAGACAACCCAAGTGGTAGGTAAGTTGATCAGGGGCCAAAGCCGTAATAAATAATAAAGAACAGGTCATAGGAGTGAAAAGAGTTAGCACCATTACAAGATAAATTGGTCAAATCGGCCAAACAATGTCAGCTGTCGGCCCCTAGGGGGAGAGCCTTCTCTGTGGGGGCACCGACGATCTGGAATGAGCTCCCCCCAGAGATACGGAGGATCCCGGATCTGCGCACCTTCCGCCGCGAGTTGAAGACGCTTTTATTTCATCAAGCGGGCCTTGCCTAAATCTTCTCCCTTTTAAGTGTAAATTTTAAATTTTTAATGTATTTTAAAATTATGGGTATTTTAAATTATGGGTATTAATTCAGCCAAATTTATTTAATTCATTTTATTCGATTTTAAATTTTGTATATTTATGTGTTTTATTTCATGGCTGTACACCGCCCTGAGTCCTTCGGGAGTAGGGCGGTATAGAAATTCAATAAATAAATAAATAAATAAATAAAGGTTTTTTTTTTAAGTATTTCAAACACAGTGAGATGCCAGTCACAAGATTCTTACCATTTATCTAAGGTATCTTTAGATAAATGGTATCTTTAGAACTCGGGAGTCCATTTTCACTGGCAGAACGCTCGGGCCTCCATATGCACCCCCGACATGAGTGATGTCGAGCTGCCCATGCCCACACTGGCCACGCCCCCTGCCCACCCAAAGGTCAATCACAACCCTGATGCGTCCCTCAATGAAACCCCTGATTTAAATGCAATATTCCTTACAATGCTTGGACAAGTCTGACTGTTATGCCTTTTCTTCTATGCACCAGCTCTTTAGATCAGTGTTTCTCAACTTTGGCAGCTTCAAAATGTGCGGACTTCAACTCTTGGAATTCCCCAGTCAGCCATACTGGGAGTTGAAATCCACACAATCTTTAGTGGCCATTGTTGAGAAATACCTCTTTAGACACTTGGAAACAGCTATCCCACCTTCTTCAGTTTTCTCATCTCCAGATTAGACATACCTTCATATAAGTTTTTCTTTCCTGGTCGTTGATTACTTTGGTCGCTCTCCTTTGAACATGTTATAGCTCAGGGGTCGGCAACTTTAAACACTCAAAGAGCCATGAAAGTCCTAACCGGAAGCCCCCCCATTTAATTTTGGAGCTGACTGGAAGTTCGGTTCCCCCACCATAGAGTCTCCTCCTAGTGCAGTGTCTTTTTACCTCTGCTGACCAGAAGTCCAGTTCCCTCACCATTGAGTCTCTCCCTAGAGCGGTGTCATTTTTCCTTTTACTGACCGGCGACTAGCAGCCGCAGTAGAGGGATGAAAGAGCCAAATGAGGCTTCAGAGCCACGGGTTGCCGACCTCTGTTCTAGTTTGTCAATATCCTTTCTAAAAATCTGATGTTCAGACCTGAATGTACTAGTCCCCTTTCACTCTCTCCATCAGCTTCCAAGATTTGTCTCTTATACGCAGCGTTCTCCAGAAGAAGCTAAAATATTGTTAATTTACAGTAATCTGGTGTTTCTATCAGGCAAAAGCAGTGCTGCTGGTTTTCTAGGGCTAAAATAAAGCAAGTACTTAGAGCACAGGAAACCTGATGTCGCTTCAGTAATTTCTTGATAGGATTGATGAGATCCTGTGTTTAGATAAATGTAGGATATCTGATTCCAGTTCTTTCTTTCTTTCTCCTTGTAGTGTGGAAAAGTGCAGAAGCAATAACAAAAGCCACTTCTACTTCTTTGTGCTTGGATTCTTTATGTCTGAACCTTGTGACCTAGATCTTCAGTTAAATTGCCTTGTTTTATAGATAAGCATTTGTTTCATATTTTAATTCAAATTTCTGAGATTTTCTTCTCCAAAATCTGCATATAAACGTTTACACACATCCATGCAAACAGGGCTTTGTAGATTGAAAAACAAATGAAAAGATCTGACATACATTTGTTTTCCTTCTGTCTGGAGCTAAGTATTATGAACTAGTTAGTTGACACAGCACTTTTTTGTATGGCTTCAGTGTTCTTCTTAACAACCACCTCTTTTCCAACTTTGTTGGCTGTCTGCCAAAAGAGCAAAGAGATTTCACTGAATTCCTGTTAGAATATTAGAAAGCCAGGGTGCTTCCAGCATAACCAAACTTAGCAGCTGCTCTGAATTTCTGAAAAGCAGAAATATTTGTACAGTTTGGGAGTGAATTTGGCAGATTATGTTGGGTGAAAGCTCATTGTTGTTTCTTGCAGTCATTAAGATTTGCAGTAGGAAACATTTTCTGCCATTATAACAGATTCCACATTAAGCCGGTGGATTTAGGCTCTCTCCTCCTGATCCTGCTTCGCTATCTTGTCAATAAAATTACACATCCTATTTCCTTACATTGAAATTAATAGCCTGTTGTGCTATCATCATCACAAATACAACAAAACGAGAAAACTGGGGTATAATATTAAAACAAACCATTCTAATCGGTGCAGCACATCACACAGAAAAACGTTAACACAATAATAGTTCTGTTATTAAATTAATCATCTGGAAAATTATTCATACAAGTTTATAACTGTCTCCTGAATGTAAGGATGGATGAACATCAGTGGAACTCTCTGGGGAAATTGCCTTAACAAAGTAAACTCCGAATATGTTTCTCTAGTAGCTACTCTTCTCTAGACTTTAGATGGTGTCTAACATTTGTCTTTGTTTCTTTGTTTTTTTTGCAAGAGCTATTTTAGTTTAGTAGCCAAGTCTGAATTACATAAGGGTCTGGATTATAGATTATTTGCTACAGTCAGTGACCTGTCTATACTAAATTGCTGCTCTGGGAAGTTGCTTTCTAAAGAGTGCTTTAAATCTTATAGGACTTAAAAAGTGCCTAACCTTGATTAGTTTGGGTTCCTAAATGTTTGTGGTGATTGTGTGTGAGAGGTACTTATGTACAAAATAGATTGAATCTGCTTGCTCTATAAATTTCAGAAAAGTGAGAAAATATTCACATCTTTTAAAAAGGCATGTACATGGCTGGCCTTTTTATTCTTCATTATTATTATTATTTAAATATTTTTTTATTTCACTTTGCCAGATGTCTGAAACTTCTGCCTAGAACATTTGTAAAAAGTCAGTCTTCTGTCCATAAATAACAATGTTAGTCACAATCCCAGTTTTGTGCTTATTTGCTGAAAATGGAGCTTTAGTTTTAAAAGGCTCTGTTCCACTGACCCAAAAAGCTAACATTTATTGATGTTAAATTCTTCTTTGTAGGTTGGAATTTAAAATGCCCTAAATTAATTCATTGCTGGTTATTGTGTGTGAGAGAGGTTTTCTAAAAGAAGTACCTGTTTGGTTCTGCAACCCAACAAGACAGACACAGACTTCAGAGGATAATTAGAACTGCAGAAAAAACAATTGCTACCAACCTGCCTTCCATTGAGGACCTGTATCCTGCACGAGTCAAAAAGAGGGCTGTGAAAATATTTACAGACCCCTCACATCCTGGACATAAATTGTTTCAACTCCTACCCTCAAAATGACACTATAGAGCACTGCACACCAGAACAACTAGACACAAGAACAGTTTTTTCCTGAATGCCATCACTCTGCTAAACAAATAATTCCCTCAACACTGTCAAACTATTTACTAAATCTGCACTACTATTAATCTCATCGTTGCTAGTATCTTTACGATTTATATTGACTGTTTCCTAATATGATTTGATTGCTTATTTGTACCCTATGACTATCATTAAGTGTTGTACCTTATGATTTTTTGACGAATGTATCTTTTCTTTTATGTACACCGAGAGTGTATGCACCAAGACATACGTTCTCAGTGTGCACAGTATTCCTTGTGTGTCCAATCACACTTGGCCAATAAAGAATTCTATTCTATTCTATTCTATTCTATTCTATTCTATTCTATTCTATTCTATTCTATTCTATTCTATTCTATTCTATTCTAATACAGATAGATAAGTTATAATGATGGGTAGTAAATTTTATATAATCAATAGTAAAGAAAATTAAAATTTAAAATAAATATTCATGTTGCTATGAATTAGAAAAAGTTATAATATTTCAACAGTGAATATATCTAACATTTGTATGTATGAGTCCTTCATAACCTAAATCTTGACATCTTCCAGAACTATGGACTGCCGACTCAACATTCTTAGTCTTATTTGCATTGTTGTTTTCTTTTCCTGTGCAGCAAACTTCCTAGACAGCAGGCCCTTGAGGAATTCTGGGAAAGGAAACATAGATGCTAGGAAAGAAGATGGGGGGAGCACAGCAGCTGCTCCTACCCAGAAGAAGCTGTGGTGTCACTGTCATCACTACTGTCCTGAAAATTCAAAAAACAACACTTGCAGGTTGGTGGGGAAATCTTCACACAAATTTACCTAATTTGCTGCATCTATGATTTAAATTGGTATCATGTCCATTTGACTTAAATGCATATAAAAGATTAAACCAAATCATGAGAAATGCATCTGTAAATGATTGCTAATTTTGCTACCCAAATAAATACTGAGATTTTAGGAACAGTAAATATCAGTTGCTAAAGAAAGGGATAATCTGATAAGGAAAATTTTGTCTAACTGTTGTTTAACTCAGGGGTCTCCAATCTTGGCAACTTTACGAGTTGTGGACTTCAACTCCCAGAATTCCTCAGCCAGCATATGGAATGTCAGAGGAATTCTGGGAGTTGGAGTCCACAACTTGTAAAGTTGCCAAGGTTGGAGACCCCAGGTTTAACTCATGTTCCTGCTTAACATATCTGATGGTGGCCTTTGTGCAGGTTATTTTTTTCTCCTCCTAAGCTCATTTTCCTATTTTGGTATTCTTTCTGGATAATGCTTTCTACATTTCTGAAAATACAGAAATATTTTCTTGGCAGAAAAAGAAAACAAATGTCTTTCCATATGGTGTTGATTCTGTTAACCTTTTAAACTTTATATTTGGTATTTGGAGTTAATACTGATTAATACATGACAAAATATTAAGTATATTTGTTCTGTGCCAACACATTTTCCTACAAGTCTTAGGCCCAGAGACACCCAAGTCATACATAGAGTTTACACTGATTTAAGGGAGAATGGCTCTTGATAGAATAAAAAGGCAAGTACATTTTAGACGCATGTTGTTTACGTTTTTCATTCAGTTAAGATGATGGCTTGAATGGCTCTCAAGTTGCCCTCCTTCTTTTCTTAACAATACACTTGCTGTCTTGGGTTACTTAAAAAAAACACCTTTGGGTTAAAAAAAAAGTCTATTGTTAAAATTACATGGTAAATCAAGGAACAAACTTCATAGTTTGAAAATATAGTTTACTCAATATTCTATAGAGGCAGAATTTAAAACACTTGTAATATTTGACTCTTTTACAGAATAATATGTTTGTACATGTAAACACTCAGTTCTTTCAAAAGACATTAGGTTGTCTGCATTGTTGAATGTGAAAATGACTTTTATAAACTCACCTTTTCAGGAACTTTTAAAAAAGTGTTCCCCTCTGTTTCTAACTTTCTTAAGAGGTTGCCCGCCTTTGTGTCATAGAAAGTGTAACTTCAGTTATTCCTTTTGTGCAACTTCACACAGATAAGGGCTGTACGGTGAAGAATGCAAACATGAAACATCTAACTGCAAATATTTACTTGAGTACATAATACACCACAATGTCTGTCCAAGTGCCACATAGTGAGGGCTGGCAATTTGAATTCTGCTTGGAGAATTTCACAAGAAGGGGACAAGATTTGTTTAAAGCATTTAATTTTAGCTCAGAATGAAACCCTCAGACTCTGGTATATTTTTAAGGCCGTGGTGTAGGGTTTCATTGTTACCTTGCATCACCACAAAGAATATGTAAATACTGTCAACCTACCTGCAGGAGGAGGAGATGGCTGAGTGCACAGGTGTGTCTGTTGGATGGATTAACAAGGACCTTTTCCTGGGAGAGGTGAAAGCTATTGAAAGCATTTCCTAAACCCGGGCTTGTAAAGGTTATGTTAACCTTCAGCCTTTGGAAACCCTAACCATCATCATGTAAACGTCCTGCACCTGGGAAGTTCCAAACGCACATTTATTTTCCTAGCTCTTTAGGAACAACTTTCTGTAATAAAAACTTGGATGTTGTCAAAGCACTCACACATCTCTTTAAAAGCATTGAATTGTGAATAATTCCAGCCAAGCGAATGATCATTTTAGGGAGCTGGCCATGTTTAAAAACATGATGCTTATCTGAGATGCTGAATTTGAGACATCTTCTTAAAGATGCTTATAAAAAGTAGCCAACAACAACTGTCCTCACAGAGTTAAGTGTGCTTTTCATCTTGAAGCAGCTCTATATTTAAAAAATTGAAAGGAAAGGAATTTAGGAAATGTTGACATAGCCCCATAATTATAAAGGCACTTTTGAGCAAGGAAAAAAATATGTTTATCAATTTTAAAAACTGGCATGTTTTGTCCTCATAATAAGAAAGAGCAGTTGTGTAATTTATTTCTGTCAAAAATGTTTTAGTCACTATCCTTTTGTTAAAAACAATCTAAATATAAAAAGCACGGATTTAAAATACCTTGCTTCTACAGTTAGTCCCCACTTAATGGATACAGTTGGGAAACCTCATGTGACTGTGACATCATTTTCTCTGCACTCATAAAGTCAATCTTTAAGCAAGACATCATATGACAGGAATTTGTGATTTCACTGCCAACTTCATTGATTTGCTTCATCTGAATCCAGCTGTGAAGTGTACAAATAGTGATCAATGACCATGGGATGCTGCAATGGTAAAGTTATTTTCTCAGCACTATTGTAACTTCAAATGGTCACTAAACAGGGCAGTTGTTAAGCAAGGACTATCTGTATTTGTTTATAAGTTAACCAAAAAGTTAACTTCTTCATACAGAAGTTTTATTTCTTTATTAGTTTAGTCCCACCTATATTGTTTTTACAAATGACATGTTCACTACTCCTCTTATTTTTCCCACAACAACAATCCTGTGGGTTGGGCTAAGAGTTATTATTTGCTCTTATTAGTCAGTGAGGGAAATGGAATATTAGATTTTTAAAAAATCTCATTTTGGATAATCTAATTAAATGCTCTGGGATTCGAATCTACTACTTTCATTGATTTATTTAATTGCCCAGTCAAAGACTTAACTGGATCTTTAGGTATTTACAAATAAAAAGAGAAAGTGGTATTTGTGGTGTTTTAAAGAAAAAGAGAAGAGAAAGTATAGTAGATAAATCCAGATTAAATTGAAGATTTTTGTCATCTTAATTGACAAGGGTCCTTATTTTGTAAAATTAAGAGTGTATATTTTATAAAACCTCAGATGCTGAGCTATTTTACCTGGGCTCTTGTTAACTATTTTATATGTTTAGTAAATTTATACAGTCGTCCATCTCACATAAAGTGACTCTGGGAGGCTTAGAAGCAAAATAACAAAACCATATCACAATATAAAAAAAAATCAGGCATAAATAAGAAAAATAAAAGAAAAACATAACGGATAAAGCAAAAGAAGAGTAGAACCTCATGATCCAGAAATGGGCACATGAAATTCTGCAGGCCCTGTTAGCCATGATTTTCACCTGTTCCTTAAACAGGGATAGATCCACCTGTCTGGTATTACCATTTCTTTTCTGAAAAGAGCTTTTTGAGGTACCTTTTTAGAGAACCCATTTTTATATCTGTTCCAAACTCTTGGGACTGCAGGTCTAACAAACTGATTCTTAAAATCAACATTTATTTTTACCTTAACATTTACCTTACCATAAGTAGGCTTGCTGTCTTAATCATAGTTCATGACTGTCTAATTCAAATAATCTCTTGTTTTACAGAATCACTCATCCAGATCAAACAGCAGGCATCAAAGTAAAATTTCAAATCTAGTAAACTCAAACTTTCTCTTTCTTTAGCATCTTGCAGGTTTATATCTAATTATTGGGGGAGGGGGTTTCCTGTGCCGTATAAATGTAGAAATATCCTTTTGCCATTGTTGAAATGGACTGTCAGTTGTTAATATTGGTAAACTCTGAAATAAAAATAACATCTTTGGTAAAATATTCATCTTATTTACATAGATTCTGTCCAATGAGGATAATTGCAAGTTATCTCATGTTTAATATCATTCCATGCAGCTACAAAATTGTTTTGAAACAATTTAGAATTTATATTCATCAATATAATCCCAAAATATTTAACCCTTTTCTCCAACTTGAACCCACTTTCTGCTTTTTTATATGCCCAAAATAAAGAACTTATCTTCTCTGTCCTATTGATTTCTTTGTCTATACTAGACAGAAGACATGTGACCCAGTAATAAACCATACATGTTAATTTATATACAAGGAATTTTTTGACACAATGGGCTTCTTTCATATGGATTTTGTAGCCTTCAAAGTGGCTACAAAGCCTTTCAGTAGTGAAATCTATTTACCATAGATTTCATTATTCTAACTTGGGTGTATTGATTTAGTAGATTTATTGCACTTTAAGAGAGTAATTTCTCGTGCCAAATATATATGTAAGTAGTGTTGTAAGGGCTTCTCAGTTTAGAAGGATTGTGTCTAATCCAAAACAAGTTTTAAACTGAATTTAGGTCTTATTCACAGACTTCTGAGATAAATGGTATAAACATTTCTTCAGGGCATAGTTCCGTTTAAATGTAATCACTAACAAATTAAACTTCTTTTACTTTAGGCAATATATATATTTCTGAAAATTAAAGCAAGGATGTTTAGCATCTTATAGTTACAAATTATCATACCATATCCAGGAGCTATGTGGTATGTTTGAAGAATATGTATATATTGAAATATATGGTATTTAAAGCCTATATCAGTAGTAGTGTATCTGTTGCACGTGGCTAAAATTTCAGTAGCTTGCAGCAGCTGCCCACTTTAGATTCTGCTTCACTCAGTCCCAAAGATTCCTATGAAAAAGAGACTGCAAAGTTTTCAAAATGTGTCTCCAGGAGGATGAAGTTTCAATTTGCTTGATGGGGGTCAGTGCAGAAAAGAAGGGTGAGCTTTGAAAATCTTTGCTTGAAGTGGAAACCAGTTGTTGGAAAAAAAGGAGAAAAGGCATGGAGTGGGGAGTGGGGGGAGGAAAGAAGAAAGAGCAAAAACAGATGGCAGAGAGAGAAGGCGAGAACAAAAGAAAAAAAGTGGACTAAATAGAGAGAAATGACAGTAATTTTATTGTTTCAAGGTTCTCTGTGTTACTCAAAGTGATTCCATTTGAAAAAGTTCTCTTTCCAACCACAGCGTGGAAAAGAATCATATATGTTGTCCTCTGGGGATCAGAATTGAAAATCCTTTGGAGATTTTTAAAAAATTATCTTCCGAATTCTTTCATCATGATCAATATTTAAGATATTACAACTTGTTGAATGGAAACAGGATAATGATGCTGGTTAAACAGCTGCAAAGCCTCTGGGTTATGTCCCCCCTTTCTTATATTTAGTTAACATTTTTAGTTAAAATCACACCATGGGCTAGGTAATCTTTAATTAAAACTTTGCCTTTTATTTTCAGGGTCTGTCAGTAATTCTATTACATGTTTTATTATTTTTCCCCCAGTTGTTTACTTTGGCAATTAAAAAATTACTATTGACCATAGAACACAATATACACAATATATTTCATTTCTGCTTTCTTAGTTGTTCTATGCAACGCAAGACTGTAAAATAGTAATAAACCGGTTTCCATTCAGTCTTGATTGTATGTGTGCACACTTGAACATGTATACATCAATGCTAAAATATGTCAATATTTTAAAAAAAAACAAACCAGGAATATTTGAGTTCAGCTGGTAAGTCATGATTAAGTTATTCTTTTTTTGGTTATTCGTCTTGTCTTACTTTGTTTTCATATTGTAGATTGTTGGAAACCTTTAAAAAAAATCTCAGTTTCCTTATTTTGACTTTGTAGAGCATCCTAGTTTTTAATAAGATTAGAATGACAACACAAAAGTTCGTCTCCTGAGGAAAGGAAGTGCCTGGGTGGGTATTTATTTGCTTTCAGTTCATGGATCCCTGATTAATACCTGAACTGGCTCAGTTAGTGCCTCTTTCTAATGTAATTAAATGTTGTATCTTTCATCCTGAATTCCAGGACAGTCATAACAACATATTAAAAATCAGACTGTTTGCCAAAAAACCAGTGATGCTACTTCCTCACACTTGGAAGCAGGAAACAGTATTGTAGCGCTGTAGTATAAAACATATTGTAAGCTTAACATAAACTGGGGGGAAAAAATCCTCCACCAAAAAGATGTTTTAAAAAAATGAATATCGGAGCCCCGTGTAGTTTGCCTAATTGTACAGTTTATTGAAACCCAAACATTTTGGCTCTCCATTCATCACGTTTGCTCTGTGATAGGCAGTTCTGGCTGGAGATATGCCAATTCTTCCTTAGTGAACAGTCTAAATTGGAAAGTTGATTTTCCTTGCTCTGATAAAGTTGGCTGTGGTTTTTTGCAACATTCTCTGCCAAAGTTAAGGATGATGTGAACAAACCGTAGCATGACCCAACTTGTGCATTGCTCTACCTCTTTCTGATCCGTTTTCCCGGCAGTCCCCAGAGAAATAGGAACGAGAAGTCACTAACAGAAAGCTCATACTAACAGTTTGTCAAATAATTGAATATAGTAATAATCATTAGAAGTCAACAAATGCTGCACATTTGGTCTTCCTTACTCTTTTCTAGTCAAACACCAGTGGAAAATAACTCCCAAATAACAGAAGTACCAGATTTTTGGACAAAAAGCGATTTTCTGCAAAGAATGGCTAACCACAGAGCATCATGCTGTTTGGTTTTTAACAAACGTTTACTGCAGTTAATTGAATGATTTCCAGGTTAAGATGCTTCTGAATTATGAACAACGCTTATGAGAATCATGAATATTAAAGGCTAAATGAAACATCTTTGTCTTTTTCTTGTATTCAGCACGGATGGCTATTGTTTTGCAATGGTGGAAGATGAAGATACGGGAGGACAGAGTTTTACTACAGGCTGCATAGGTTTAGAAGGTTCTGACTTCCAATGCCGAGTAAGAAGATGTTTTGAACTCAACCTGAACTTTCAGAATCGATCTGAATATTGTCGGGAATTAAAATATTAATGTTTTCCATTATTTTTACAAGGTCAAAGAAACAAATTGAGAATGTTATTGCCATTAATATGATCAGCAGAAATATTCTGTTGTGTTTGACCAACAATGCTAAGGAAAGACCAGCTCAGAATTGTAAAAGTAGAAAACTTGAATACAGTAGTCCTCGATTTATGACCAAAATTTCCGTTGCTAAGCAAGACAGTTGTTAAGTGAATTTTGCCCCATTTTACAACCTTTCTTGACATAGTTATTAAATGAATCACTGCCGTTGTTAAGTTAGTAACATGGTTGTTAAGTAAATCTGGCTTCCCCATTGACTTTGCTTGTCAGAAGGTTGGAAAAGGCGATAAAGACACTGCAACTGAAGACAGTTGCCAAGCATCTGAATTTTGGTCATGTGACCACGGAATTGTAAATGTGAAAAATGGTCATGAGTCATTTTTTTCAGTGCCATTTTAATTTCAGTCACTAAGCAAATGGACCTTAACGTATATCCACAATTGGAGCTGGAATTTCTACCCTAAGTTGTCGCAGTTGTAACTCGAGTCGGATCCAGTTTTACAATTTTTGTCACTCGTTAAACAAATCCAACTTCTCCAAGGTTTTTGCTGGAAATTGGCAAAACAGGGTAGCAAATCACCAGCAGGTAGCTGCAATACATTGCATCTGGCTCTAAATGCCAATTTTGTCATTAGTAAAGTCTTCACTATATTGGGGCCCTTGGTTTTTAATACAAACTCAAATCCTAATTTGTGTGTGTTTTTTTTTTAACATTTTCTCATAATTGGAATTAAACTGCACATGTTAAAAAATATCCAAAAGAGTTTGATAATGATAAGCATTGCATCTATATTGAAATAGTTGCACTCTTAATTTTTTTAAGACAAGCACCTTGAACTGTTTGCATGTACACACTTTTTCTTTATGTTTCTCTTTATAGTTTAAAATTGTGATGAACTGTTTCATAGCTATTTTATATAAATCTTATCTATAATTATTACAGGACACTCCATTATCTCAACCAAGGAGATTAATTGCATGCTGCACAGATCAGGATTTCTGTAATAAAGATCTTCACCCTACTCTGCCACCATTAGAACACCCAGGTAACAAAGATTACTAAATCCTAATATCTAACACATATCTATTTTGAAAAAGACTATGTAAGTTTGTCAATGATGATAGGACAATGTAAGGATTTTGTATGCTGCCCTTTTTCATTCAACCTAAGATGATATCCTAAATAGTCTGCTCCTCTGAAATCAGAAAAACTTACCTAATAACATAGCCTCACTAGAACCTGTGACTAAAGTCTAAAAGCAACCATAGCAATCTTTGTCTAAGTCCGTGATGGCGAACCTGTGGCACGCGGAGCCATATTGGTGGGCACGCAAGCGTTGCCCTAGCTCAGCTCCAGCATGCATGCACACGCTGGCCAGCTGATTTTTTGGCCTTCTGGGCCACCAGAAGTCGTCAAACAGGCTGTTTCCGGCCTCCATAGGGCCTCCGGTGGGGTGGGGAAGGCTGTTTTTGCCCTCCCCAGGCTCCTAGAAAGCCTCTTGAGCCTGGGCAGGGCAAAAAAAACCAGGCCTACCATGCCCACCGTGCCATCACATGCCAAAAGCAGGGGACCATGGGGGGGTCACATGTGCATGCACGGGGGGCAGGGCACATAGAATTATGGGTGTGGGCACGTGCGCTTGCAACTATCCTGTACTCCCCCAGTTTTTGGCACGCGATGGCAAAAAGGTTAGCCATCACTGGTCTAAGTTATAAGTATAATGGTATGACATAACATTACATAAAATATGATACAGGTAGTCCTTGACTACGACCAGATTTGAGCTCAAATTTCTGTTGCTAAGCGACAAAGTTATTAAGTGAGTTTTGGTCCAGTTTACAACTTTTCTTCCCACAGTTGTTAAGTGAGTCACTGCTGTTATTAAGTTAGTAATATGGTTATAGAGTGAATCTGGCTTCCAGATTAATTTTGCTTGTCAGAAAGTCGCAAAAGGTGATCAAATAACCCTAGGATACTGCAGCTGTTACTAATAGGAGCCAGTGACCAACTGTCCAAATTTTAATCACGTGACCATGGGGATGGTCATAAGTGTGAAAAAAGGTCATTAAAAGGTCATTACTTTTTTCAGTGCTGTTGTAACTTTGAATGATCACTAAACAAAAGGTTATAATTCGAGGGCTACTTGCAATGTCTAAAATTACAAAAGTGATAATAATTTATGTGGGTGATAACATCTAAAATTGCAGAAAAGTTAATAATAGTTGAAATAACATAAATATATATCTATGTAGCAGGAGCTTGACCTTACAAAGTGCAAAACCTATCCACTATAGTAAAAGGCAATTAATTTCTAAGCAGCTTCAGAGCTGAGTCAGAGCAATAAAAGAGCAAATGTCTCTATGAAAGGAGCAACAAAGAACATATTCTGTGGTTTCTACCTATCCACAATCACAGAAGCAGACTTGATGTCACAGCTCTTTAGCTCATTGTGCTCTTTATGAAGTGATATTTGTTTTTCAAGAAATCTACAATGTGCTGAGAAGTAATGGCAATGGCACTTAGACTTATATACTGCTTCACCGAGCTTTCCAGCCATCTCTAAGCAATTTATAGAGTCAATATATTGCTCCCAACAATCTGGTCCTCATTTTACCCAACCTCGGAAGGATGGAAGGCTGAGTCAACCTTGAACCGGTGAGAATCGAACTGCCGAACTGCTGGCAGTCAGCAGAAATAGCCTGAAGTACATGGCTCAAGTAAGAAGAGCACCTGGAAATTTTACCAAACCTTTGAACAGTTTTGATTTATCAATTGTCAGCTGTCCAAAATTCTTAAATTCATTATTCTGAAAATCAAAAATTTAAATCCCCAGCTCAATATTTTTCTTTAAAGGGAAACAGCCTGACCAAAATCGATTTCCATTTTTCACTTGTCATTGGAAAAATAGTTGTTTCTGATTCGGAAAGCTTATGACCCATGGTCATATCTCAAGGAAAAGCACAGTCTAAAGAAATTCTAGTAGTAGGTTCCTTAAACTACAAATTAACTCAGATACAGAAGAGATGGTAGGAAAAATAAAAATGCTGTACTTTCCATGTGCTAGCAATGGAAACGATCATTTTCTAAATATGAAAGAAATGTGTATACACGGATATGTCAGAGTGAAAGCTAACCAAACAAAGGCCAAAAAAAAAAAAAGTCTTAATTTACTGGAAACAAGATAAAAACAGAACATTCACCCCCACCCAATGTTCCTCATTTTAAACAGCTTTCCTACGCAGTAAAATGAAATGTCTTTGTAAGAACAAGAAGACCCTATAATGGTTAGGCAGGATGCTTATTAGACAAGCAGGAAAAAACAGTTAATTCCCATTATAACTTTGGAAAGAATAAAAATATTGGAAGTGAAAAAAGCAGGTTTCAGGCAGAACAGATAAAAAAAATGTCTTTACTGATTTTATGCTCTTGCAAACAGAAATGGTGGTGCCACTATGTCTGGGTCTCAGGCTGGCGATGAAATAAGTGGGGACACGAAATTGAGTTTGATAGGCTTTCATCGCACAGTTAGACTGCAACCATAGTAAACCTGAATGCTTCTAGTTTGTGAATGGAGAAAATTAGTTGGAAAAGATTAGGTATTTCCGAAATGTAGAGGGGTCTCTAGATACATTTTTACAGGAGGTTGTATAGAATCTATCTCAGAAATATTCAAACTGCCTTCAAGGAGAGGCATGGCAAATGGAAGACATTTCTCTGAAAGCAGAGCTGATAACTGTAGCAAGGACCAAACAAACCAGGGAATAAACTGATTCTCAAAGCCTCTCCGGAAAAGAGAGGACATGAGATGACCCACATATACTCTACATCAGGGGTGCTATTCAGCAGGTTCTGATAGGTTCTAGAGAACCGGTAGCGGAAATTTTGAGTAGTTCAGAGAACTGGCAAATACCACTTGTGGTTGGCCCCAGAGTGGGGTGGGAATGGAGGTTTTGCAGTATCCTTTCCCTGGAGTGGGGCGGGAATGGAGATTTTGTAGTATCCTTCCTCTGCTATGCCCACCAAGCCATGCCCACAGAACCGGTAGTAAAAAAATATTTGCTACATGGCTGCTTCTCTTTAGGACAGCGGTCCCCAACCCCCAAGCTGTGGCCCACTACTGGGCCACGGCCTATTCAGAACTGGGCTACGTGAGCAACGAGCCGGTGTGCACATGCCCGCAGCTTGACTTGTGTGAACAGTGGGCCAGTGTGTACATGTGCACAGCTCATTTTGTGCAAGCTCTAGGACACTGCAGGATAGTAGTCTTTCATGGGTTTGAGTGCCAGGAGATATAGGAATGTAGTCTTCGACTTACAACCTTGATTTACAATTGGGACCAGAATTTTCATTGTTAAGCAAAGCAGCGGTTAAGTGAGTTCTGCCCAATTTTACGACTTTTTTTTTATTCTTGCTATGGACACTAAAAGTATTTTTTCACATGGTAAGAAATTTCAAAATCATCAGCCTTGTTTGGTCTCTACGCTAATAGTAGATACTATAAAATGAAAACATTAAACCTGATGCAAACTGAAGATAGATTCCTTGTCTGCCTCTCCCATTAGAGGCAAACCAGAAAGGAAATGTTGTTCGGGGGGCCAAAATAGAAGATGAAATCAGAGCTTGGAAGTAAACGTGCTTAATAAGAAAGCTAAGAGTCCCTTAGGCACCTCCTTGTTGTATCATGCTGGTAGATCCGAAATACAATAGCCGTATTCCAAGACTGATCAATAAGGATAGAGGACTTGCAGCTTATGGTGTTATTTCTCTTCATCTTGTCTTGCTCTATAGAACACCAAAAGAGATCCTCTTACTCTCAAACAGCCAGATGCATGCTGGATCAGTTTGCAGTTCACAGATAAAGAAATGTATACTTGAAATGGAGACCATAATCCCCTAAAGTCTTATTCATATTTGTGATGGTGGCTATTAGAGATACATAAATCACAGTAAATCTTTTTTGCTGCTACTATATTAATTGGACAGTACTTCAGGATGAAATATTCTTTCTGCCTAATTTTCCCACATCCCAACATTTCCTAATAAAAAAGCATAAATTTTCATAGTTGCTAATAACAATTACACTAGAAACATTTACAAATGTCATGATTTATTGTGTGGATGTTCTGATGTAACTTTCATAAAAACATGTTTCTAATTTTTAAGCTACGTTTTGATCAGTCCTTTATGATGTTGTTTATTTGCAGACTCTGCTAATATTCAGCCCTGGAAATCCCACTGCTGATACGTTTGATTTTTTATGCATTTCTTTGTTAAATTTATGTGCCACTAAATCCGTGTAGAGTCAAGGTTTCTTATGGAAAAATGTTAATGGTGGTAGAAAGTTAGAATAGAATATGATCGAATTTGTAAACTTTTAACTTCCACTCATTTTTTTCTAGAGATAAGTTGCCTATCTCACAATGTGTATATTTGATAATTACACAATACTATGATGGTAGTATTGCAGATTCGTGGAAGTGATGGTAAAGTATTTTACCATGCATACTTTACGGTCACTTCTGCATTAGCGACTATCTCAGAATTGTGCAATACTCAAACTATTAAAAAAGAAGAACAGATTTCCTTGTAATTAACAAGGAAATCTGAATTTAAAAGTGATTCAGCCTATTACAAAACTGTGGTTGAATCCAAAAAGTTCAGGACAGACATATTTTTGAACCAATGTGATTTTGTTCCAGCTCCTATTCTGAATAGCAATGGGTAATGTGAGAAACTTTATAAGTTACATCCGGGTACTTCAATTTTTAATGTCATCACTGCCTTGATTTTATCATTCCCTCCTGTGTGGGGCTCATAAAACCGTGCGAACTGAAGTTAAATATGATAAGTAACATTATCTCTGATTGATAAAAGCTTTTGTTTTCTTATTTAAGCTTTTTCAAAGGGAAATGTTCACCAGAAGGCTCTGCTAATTTCAGTGATTGTCTGTAGCGTACTCTTGGTGTGCATCATCATATTCTGTTACTTCAGGTATGTCTGGAAAAGAAAATCATACTTTCTTCCTTAACTGTTTCTTTACAGCACAATTTGACATGAACAATCATTTTAATGTGTTCTAATTTCTTGGGTTTGTATGATGATTGAGAGAACAATTTGTTTTTAATAATACTTTTGACATGGCTTCGTCAGTCAGAATAATTCCAAAAGTATTTGATATTCAGGCATAGATTGAAATGTCGAAAATGTTCAGATTTATCTGTTAAACTTGATTAGACATCAAATTGTAATTTTCTTTTGGTTAATGATGAATTTTAAAAGTTTTATTACTTTTCCGGTTTGTGCCAGAGTTTAAATAAACATTGCGGAATTGTTTTGTGAATTAGGCTCATGGAAATAATACTCTAGCATACAGTGGGTTCTACTCAAAGGGATCTTTCATAAAATTAATTTTTCTACCGTATTTCCCTGAAAATAAGACATCGCCTGATAATAAGCCCAATCGGGCTTTTTAGCGCATGTGCTAAAATAAGCCCCCCTCCCCGAAAATAAGCCCTCCCTGAAAATATTTAAATGCATGTGTAATCAGTCCCTGCCATTTCCTCTGGTTAGAGTTAGGGAGACAGAGCTGGAAATCAGGTAAGACGGCAAGAGGAGCCCCATCTTGCTTCATGCGCCCCAAAATAATAAGACCTCTCCGAAAATAAGGCCAAGCGTTTATTTCAGGGTTCAAAAAAATATAAGACAAGGTCTTATTTTTGGGGAAACACAGTATATGTTTATTAGCTGACATGCTTAGAGGCATATATCCCATTATATATGATTTGAGATTTACTTAAGTACTTGTATGACACACACCCGGACCACCCCAATGATGCCCTTAAAGTGATGTCCCAGTGCCTGGAGGCTGTACGGATCTGGATGGGGAGGAACAGACTCAGGCTCAACCCATCCAAGACCGAGTGGCTGTGGTTTCCGACGTCCCGATATAGTCAATTGGTGCCATCACTGACTATTGGGGATGAGTCATTGCCCCCCACGGAGAGGGTTCGCAACTTAGGCGTCCTCTTGGACTCACGGCTGTCTTTAGAAGAACACTTGACAGCTGTGGCCGGGAGGTCTTTTTATCATGTTCGCCTGATTCGCCAGTTGCGTCCCTTTCTGGATCGGGACTCGTTAAAAACGGTCACTCATGCCCTCGTCACTTCACGCCTGGACTACTGTAATGCTCTCTACATGGGGCTCCCCTTGAAGAGCACCCGGAGGCTCCAGCTGGTCCAGAATGCGGCCGCGCGGGTAGTTATGGGAGCAGCATGGCGCTCCCATGTGGCTCCCCTCCTGCGCGAGCTGCACTGGCTCCCTGTGGTCTTCCGGGTGCGCTTCAAGGTCTTAGTTACCACCTTTAGAGCGCTCCATGGCTTAGGACCGGGGTACTTACGAGACCGCCTTCTGCCACCAATAGCCTCTCACCGCCCAGTACGCTCCCATAGAGAGGGGCTTCTCAGGGTGCCGTCAGCCAAACAATGTCGACTGGCGGCCCCCAGGGGGAGAGCCTTTTCTGTGGGGGCACCCACCATCTGGAACGAACTCCCCCCAGAGATACAGAAGATTCCGGATCTGCGCACTTTCCGCCGTGCCCTCAAAACATTCCTGTTTCAGCAGGCCGGCCTGGGCTAACTTTCCCTTTATATTGCTTTTTGATTTTATTTTAAACTGGGTTGTCTTGAATTATCTAGGACCAGAATGTTTAGTATATTTTAATTGGTTTTTTATTATTAACGTTTGTATTACATGTATTTTTATCGTTCGCTGTTCACCGCCCTGAGTCCCTTAGGAATAGGGCAGTATATAAATTTAATAAATAAATAAATAAATAAATAAATAAATAAATATTGGGACATCCTGGTTGAACTTTGCTTCTTTTCTTGGATATATGCCACTATGCCTCATGGTCTTGGGAAACATATTTTGGATTTAAGAAGGTGCTAGCAGATGTACCATATTTGCCCATAGGTAATTCAGATCACCCTTTTTCCTATTGAATTTGGGTCATTGTACATTCTTAATGCTTAAGTCTTTGTGATTTCTGTTTTTTCTTTCTTTCTGAGTAACACAGTGTCTTAGAAAAAGAGGCTGGCCAGCCTTTCTTTCTTTCTTTCTTTCTTTCTTTCTTTCTTCCTTCCTTCCTTCCTTCCTTCCTTCCTTCCTTCCTTCCTTCCTTCCTTCCATGGTTTACAATAACTCATAGAGCAAGTACATCTATCCAAGAGACAAAACCCTTATCAAGTTGTGTATATCTACCATTAGCATGTATGTGTATAATTAGCATCATTCCCAAATCATCTTGGATAAGGCAGTGACAAATAAAGTAGCATAAGCTCTGTTGGATATTACCAAGAAGGTTATGTTTTCTGAACACACTTTCTCAACCTGGGGACCCTTAGGACATGTGGACTTCAGTTCCCCAGGTAGCACAACCACTGCTGATAATTTGGGGAGCTAAATTGCTCACATCTGGAAGATACACAAATTAGGCAAAGCTGCTGGCCTGCAGAATGAAAAGACAGATTTTTTAAAACCGGTTTTAATATTTAATTATTATGTTCCTCTGGACAGCTGTACCACCAACATAGCATGATAATAAAGCACTTTCATTCACAGGGGGAAGAACTGACCAAACTTCCTTTGAAATACATTGTTTTCTTCCATCGATTTAATTAGGATGGATTCCCATTTGGCTCTTCCATTCATAAAAGTATTTCCTGCAGCTCCACTGTGTAATTTTATTAGATTGCATGGTATACCTTGGCACCTTTGAATGGATTTTTCTTTTTTTATTCCTGTCACTTTCTTCCTTTTCTATTGAGTCTCTGAGATATTTTATGTAACATATAAACCTGCTTTTACTTTAATCCCTTTATGTACTTTTGTACATTACTTATATTTTCAGGTCATGACCACTCACGAAGGGATAAGTTGGTGTGAAAAATGTACTAGAAAATAGTGTTGTCCACTAGCCCTATCCATAATTTAATTGTGAATGAGAGGATAGACTGGTATATTACTGAAATCTGCCGATGGTGAAGAATTTCCCCTCATGGAGGCCTATTTAGTTAGTCTCTGTGCATCAATCTTGACCCCAGAGCAGGGGGAAAATTGTGCGGGAATTGTATACTGGGACTAGGGCTTGCTTATTATACTCAGAACAAACTCAGAGAGCTTGTATTTACCATTCTCCCAGCTGCATGGCAGCATATGTTTTTCAATTTCATTGCAAGGATGGTTATGATTTCGTCCAGGCTGCTAGTAGTACTGAGTAATTTTAGCCTCCTTTCCCTCAGATAGGAGGCAGAGTTAATGTTTGTCATGACAGCCATGTGCTTGTCCCTGTTTATTACAAAGGTAATAATTTTTTGCTCATTTTTAAACGTAATCAGATAGTTATAATATATGTATATAATGATGGTAATGAGAAGGGCACAAATTTACAAAGAGACAAACAATGTCATGAGGGCCCTAAAATGCTAATTATTCATAGCATTTAACGATGGAAAAATGGTAGCAAACAATGGTAGAAATCAGGGGTGAAATGCTACCGGTTCGGACCAGTTCAGACGAACCGGTAGTAAAAATGCTACCGATTCAGGCAAATCGGTATTTCTGACAATCAGCTGGGCAACGATCAGCTGTGACACGTGATTTATATTAGCTAGAATCATAGGATTTCCTGCTTTCTATATAATCTAAATCGCGTGGCACAGTGGATCCCCCCCCCCCCGCTGTTCTACTTACCTTTGCAGACTTGGAAGGCTTCAAAATGTTTCTTTTTTAGCATTAATCGTACACTTGGTAGCAGACTCACAGAACCAGTAACAGACTTCACCGCTGGTAGAAATATATTCTTTTGCTTGCTCTCATGACCTGCCAGTATTGGTAGCATCACCTGTAGTTATTCTTATATATACCTGCAGGTATAAAAGGCTAGAAAGGAGACGGCAACCTCCTCATTACAGTATTGGACTTGAACAAGATGAGACTTACATTCCACCAGGAGAATCCTTGAAAGACCTGATTGAGCAGTCACAGAGTTCAGGAAGTGGTTCAGGGCTCCCTCTATTGGTAAGAAAAGAGTACTGAGATCATAATTATAATGGTCAACCTATAATATAAGAATTGTCATCCTTTGCACACTTTGTTTGCGTTGTATCTCAACTAAAGAAAATAACAGCATTAGTATTTCATGAAAAATATAGGACAAAATCTGTAGGATACAGGTGAACACTAAGAAGAACCCTGTTTTGTAGGTTCTCAGTTCATGCTTTCGTTTTATTATTTTGATAGGATTTTGTCCATTTTTAAAACTACAGAAACTTCATTTTAATTTTGTATTCTTAAACTTCATTTTCATTTCAAAACAAATTGAAAGAATTTGAATCTTATAGGTGAGCTTTGTCCTCATTTTCCAACTGAATATTCACAACTGAATGAATTGAATATTCAGGGTAAACTTGATATAAAAACACTTGAGATGCATCTTAAGATAGACAGCTTTAGACTAGGAATTCCGGGAGTTGAAATTCAGACATCTTAATGTTGCTAAAGTTGAGAAATATTCGGTTAAGGAGTTGACTAAGACCAGGGAAGTCCAATTGCATATCTCTACTTAATCATAGAAGCTCACTAGATATCTGAGCATCATTTGTTAGTGAACACAACTCAAAGTATATTTTGTCCTGATTTTGACCTATTCAAGATATTTGTTGGCCACTGAGAGAAAAGAATCCTGGACTAGATAGGGCAGATCTGCAAGATCAGATCAAAGATCTACCATATTTTTTGGCATATAAGACGCACCGGAGTATAAGACGTACCTTAGTTTTTGTGGAGGAAAATAAGAAAAAAGGTGATTGGTAGGTGGATCGGCATCCTGGAATACCCCCAATCAGCTGTTCCCAGAGGTGAATTTTAGCAAAAGTTTCCTTGGTTGTGAGTTCTGTGCCTTGCTTTTTTTCTTTTTCTTTTTTTCTTTTTTTTTCTGTCTCTGAAACTCTGTTCCAGAAAAAAACTTTTTTTCTTGCCTCTGAAAGCCTCCAAAACAGAGCTTCAGAAAAAAAGCCTCTGAAGCTCTGTTTGGGGGCTTCTTTTCTGAAGCTTTGTTTCTGATGCTTTTTTCAGCCTCTGAAACCTCCGTTTGAGAAGCTGGGCGGGGCTACATTCAGAGTGTAAAACGCACCCAGATTTTCACCCTCTTTTTTGGGGAAAAAAGGTGCATCTTATACTCTGAAAAATACGGTAATACTATTAGCCCAAGAAGAAATATCAATTCTTGAAAATGGTTCCAACTTTTGAAAAATTACAAAAATTGTGTCTAGTTGGAAGTAGGTATAATTCCAACGTCTTATGTCTCTTAACAGGTACAGAGGACTATAGCGAAACAGATTCAGATGGTGAAGCAGATTGGCAAAGGTCGCTATGGGGAGGTTTGGATGGGAAAGTGGAGAGGAGAAAAAGTGGCTGTCAAAGTTTTCTTCACCACCGAGGAAGCCAGCTGGTTTCGAGAGACAGAAATCTATCAGACTGTCCTGATGAGGCATGAAAATATTTTGGGTGAGTGGCACGGCTAAATGTAATCTCTTGCATTGTCCAATCTTGTCTCGCCTGAGGTGAAGTTTGCCTCCTTCCTTCTGATCTTTTGAAGGTCTCTATTGTTAACATGTCTTCCTCTACTTTTTACTTCAGCAAAAGTTTTTTTTTATATACTTTTTGATATTTTAATTGTACATAATTATAAATATTTTTAGTAATTTAAGAGTAGAGCTAGGTTTTTCAGATAAGTACATTGCTGGGGTTATATATCCCATCATTAGCATCCTTCAGTCTCAAGAGACTATGGTATTGTGCTCTGGAAAGAGGTCCTAAAACAGCATCTAGTGTGACTAAAAAGACCAATTCGAGAGTGGCAATCCCTTCCGCATTGAGGGCAGATACATTCTGTCCCCTGCCCAGCCCCCAGATTTCGCTGGTTCTGGGACTGCCTCTTTGCCTCAGCCTGCCGAACAAGTGTCTCTTCGAATTGGAGAAGGCCATGCTGCGTCTTTAGCCTCCAAGCTGAACGATCGGAGGTCAAGGTTTCCCACTTATTAATGTCCATTCCCAGGGCCTTTAGGCAATTATATATCCCATTGCTACTTTATTATGATGAAGTAGCTCCTACTGTTTTGTAGCTGGTCTTCCACTAGTTTGGCTGAATCGTCGTCCATTTCTCAGCTCAGCTTGCTGAAAAGCCCATTAACTATCCTAAATTTATGACCTAGAGCAGGGGTGTCATACTAAAGGCCCGGGGGTGCTTAGATCTGGCCCACGGGATCTCCCTGGAAACAGCAAAGCACTGGCCCACGGTGCCTCTGCCAGCAAAAACGGAGCTCGGGAGGGCCGCATGCTGCTTTCCCGAGCTCCGTTTTTGCTGCCAGAAGGCTGGCAGGAGACCGTTGCAGCTGAAAACGGATCTCAGGAGCCCGTTTTCACTGGCAGAGCACTCGGGCCCCACCTGCGCCCCTGACATGAGTGATACCGAGTTGGCCACACCTACAGTACCCTTGCCACGCCCACCCCGGCTCCCTGAGATCAAACACAACCCTGATGTGGCCCTCAATGAAATCAAGTTTGACACCTCTGGCCTAGAGCATCACTTCCAGTGCAAAGCTGGGTCTCCACATCTACATTGAAAGTTTTTGTAGAACATTTTAAATGTGTTTCAATGATTTGTAACCACTATCCGGAGGTGAACATGTTGGTTGTTATTTCTTCAAAAAGAGGTAAAAACAGAACAGATGGTTTGCGAGAGATAGAGAGAGAGACAGACAGAGATGGATAAATATAGATAGAGGAGAGAGAGAGATCTGTTGTCTATTTTCTTTGCTTTAACAAACCCTCTAACCTGTCAGCTTATTATTTTAGAAAAAGCCACATGACATGCTACTGCAGTACTGCAGCAGAGCAAGTACACACTAGGTGTTTTTGTGTGGGTTTTGAAGATTAGGTGCTAGACCAGGTACTTTAATTTGTTTTCCCAAAATAGACAAACTGGTCACTGCTGCGAACCATATGCATGAAATACTTGACATTTATTCTATGCAAGTAATTTTCATATTGTAGCTTAATTTTCCCAATTCATTTTCAATATTGATTGTTGATTGTTTCCTGATTGCTTATTTGTACCCTATGACTATCATTAAGTGTTGTACCTTATGATTCTTGATGAACGTATCTTTTCTTTTATGTACTTTGAAAGCATATGCACCAAGACAATTCCTTGTGTGTCCAATCACACTTGGCCAATAAAAATTGACTATTGACTATTAAGTCACAAGTGAGATAATTGGAAAGGTACAAGTGAATTTATGTTTCTTGTGTTGCAAGTTTTAGTCACAACACTATACATTATACTCAGCTGAGAGACAACAAAGGGAAATAATAAATTTATCAAATAATTATTAAAATTTAGATTTAATAATATAGATAATCTATATTTATCTGTTCTGAGCCAAATTTCAGGTTTGGATAATAAACCTTAAAAACCCCAATGTGCTTCTAATTTTGAACATGTAAAGTTTTGTATTTAGAAATGTACAGTATGGAGCAATCTGAGCTGTTCCTAGAGAAAGCAGGATGACTTTGGTGAAAATGTTGTAGTTCAGCATCTTGGCCTTAAAATTCTCTAATTCAGAAAGGTGCAGTACAAACCGTTCTCATCTGTGACAGTAAACGAATCGTACTTTTGATGACTTCCTTCAGCATAGAGACCAGAAATGGATTCCAGGTCTTAATACTTTGGGACCTTTGGAAAATGCAGATAGATTTCTCTAACTCCTAATTTAATCCCAGAATTCAGGGCATTTTTATTTAAATTGAATTTTGAAGAAAAAATCATTACCAGAAGCACCAATACCACTAGTAAATATTTTGGCCAGCATTATCTTCCCTTAAGGTGAAATTCTTGAATAGAAAACAAAGAAGGTAATGATAGTTCCAGATTTTCCTCTACAGAAGAAGCTTTCATTGGTTCAGAAGCAGATCACCTGGCAATTAAATAAAATTAATTGAAAACACATCAGTTTTCCTGATGTGGCTGAGTTAAAATTATTGTAAATTACATGAATAAAAATCCTGGAACAATAATAAAAAATTCCATGTTAAGAAACCAATGGCTAGTGGCTAAAAGACTATCAAATATGTGATACTGTGATATTAAGATGAGACTAACATTTTTTTCCCCAGATGTATTGGACACTAAAGATAATGTTTAAAAAATGTTTGCTGCTAATCTGACTCTTAATATAAATCTATCCTACTATTTCTTCATATCCTTAAGTATAAATAATAGGATGTTGAAAAATGAATATAATTTAATATATTCATGTACTTTTGGATTAAATACAAAACATTCAGAATCTTATCACATCCCAATGAACTGTACTGAGCATTGGGTGCTGCATGCAATGCTATGTATTTGTTTTATTTATTAAATTTTTATGCCTATTAAATTTTTATGTGCTAGGGAATCTGGGTTTGCTGTTTCTTAAAAATTACTAATGACATTAGAAAAATCTTAAGGAGGCGCAATGGCTCGGCAGTTAAAGACGCTGAGCTTGTCAGCTGGAAAGCTGACAGACGGGATTCAAGACCTGAGCGCTGTGTGAAGGGGGGGGGCTCCATTACCCACCCCAGCTCCTGTTCACTTAGCAGTTTGAAAACATACGAATGCAAGTAGATAAATAGGTACCACTTCAGTAGGCTCCTTTGGCTGGCCACATGATAATGGAAGTGTCTTTGGACTATGATGGCTCCCTTAGTTAAGAAATGGAGATGAGCACTGCCCCCTAGTGATGGACATGATTGGATAGGGGAAACCTTTACTTTTACCTTTTAGAAAAGTCTTGTTTTAATTTTGTCTTTAAATTTGTCTTGTAGGATTCATTGCTGCAGATATTAAAGGTACTGGATCTTGGACACAACTTTATCTGATCACCGATTATCATGAAAATGGATCTCTGTATGATTATCTAAAATCTACTACCTTGGATACAAAAGCGATGCTGAAACTGGCCTATTCCTCTATCAGTGGATTGTGCCACTTGCATACCGAGATCTTCAGCACCCAAGGCAAACCAGCAATTGCTCACCGGGACCTCAAAAGTAAAAACATTCTGGTGAAGAAAAATGGAACTTGCTGTGTAGCAGATCTTGGTCTGGCAGTTAAATTCATTAGGTAGGTAAAATCTTGCATATCTTAATGAAGCTGAGTCTGTTAAACATTTTTAAGGGGAAAAAAGTTCATCCTCTCTAGCAGCCAATCTGTTGTGGTAGGAAGGAACAATTTTGAGGAGTTGAATACCACAGCTAATGTTGTGGTCTGTCAGCCGCCGGCCCCTCCAGCAGCCAAATCACATGAGGTGGCATGGGAGTCAAGGCCAGCAGCCTGAGAGCTCCAAGAGGAAAGAGGGAATGGAGCTGTGGAGGTGGAACCTGGGCCATCTATCAGCTCTAAGATGGAGAGTCAACAGCCCCCAGGTTTGGAGGTGGCTGATGAGGAAGAGGAGGAACAACTGGGTCCAGTGCCTGATGCGCTGATGCGCAGAAGGCAGAAGAGAGGAGAGCAGTGGAAATCTATGGGCCGATCCTTGGCATGGAAGAGCCACTGCTGCTAGCGAAGCCCCACCCTAGCTCTGGGGATAAAAGGCAGGGGGCGGGGAGATGAATAGGTGTGGCAGATCTCTCTGCTGGACAGACTTGTTAGCCTGCTGTGAGAGAGAGAGAGACTTTTTGCCGGGGCTGCTGGCGCTCCTAATAAAGGAAACACTTATTTAACTACAGAGGTTTTGTCGTGTTTGGGAGCCGGGTCAGAAAAGCTAACTTTGCAACCATTTCAAAAGGTCACCATCATCCTATGATGATATTACCCACTGGAACAGTGATGGCAAATCTTTTCGGCACCGAGTGCCCAAATCAAAATCCTCATGCATGCATGTGTGTGTGCACATTGCCAGAGCCCCGGAAACCTGAAGACCAGCTGGCTGGCACACGCATGCCTGTTTTTTGGGCCATTTTCAGGCCGTTTTTCGGACTGTTTTCAGGCCATTTTCTGGCGCTTTGGCACCCATGAAGACCAGCTTGCCAGTGTGCATGTGCATGTCGGAAAGCAGCTCTGCGTGCCACCTCTGGCATGGATGCCATAGAGTCGCCATCACGGCACTAGAAGGAGTAGAGAGAGGATGTGTGAATTTTGTGGCATCATGAGAATAAACCAGTTTCATCTAATATGTTTTCAAATGGAAGACGGTCCTTTTCAGTAGTTTGAATTATACTGCCAGGGCACAGGTGCCTATGAGATAAGACCACACCTAGAATAATACTAGCAACCAGTTTTGGTCATGACGTTACAAAAAAAGATACTCAGACTTTGGAAAAAGTGCAGAGAACAGCAACTAAGATGATTAGTTTAGTTTAGTTTAGTTTAGTTTATTTGTATACCGCCCTACTCCCGAAGGACTCAGGGCGGTGAACAGCCAACAATAAAATACATAAATACACAAAATTTAAAAACCCGATAAAATCAAATTAAATTATTTGGCCCAGACAAATTAAAATACCCCAATAATTTAAAAACAGATTAAAATTTACATATTTAAAAAGGGAAGAGATTAGGCCAAGCCCGCTTGATGGAATAAAAAGGTCTTCACAGCACGGCGGAAGGAGCGCAGATCCGGGATCCTCCGTATCTCCAGGGGGAGCTCATTCCAGATGGTAGGTGCTCCCACAGAGAAGGCTCTCCCCCTAGGGGCCGCCAGTCGACACTGTTTGGCTGACGGCACCCGGAGGAGTCCCTCTCTATGAGAGCGTACTGGCCGGTGGGAGGCTATTGGTGGTAGTAGGATTAAGGGCCTGGATGCTAAAACATATGAATAACGGTTACAAGAATTGGGTTTGACTAGTCTAGAGAAAAGAAGGACTAGGGGTGACATGATAGCAGTATTCCAGTATTTGAATAGTATTCCAGTATCTGCCACAAAGATTGGGGGGGGGGGTCAACGTATTTTCCAAAGCACCTAAAGGCAGGACAAGAAACAATGGATGGAAACTAATCAAGGAGAGAAGCAACCTGGAACTAAGGAGAAACTTCCTAACAGTGAGGATAATTAACCAATGGAATGGCTTGCCTTCAGAAATTGTGAGTGCTTCATTACTGGAGGTTTTTAAGAAGAGACTAGACAGTCACTTGTCTGAAATGGTATAGGGACTCCTGCTTGAGTAGGGGCTGGACTAGAAGACCTCCAATGTCCCTTCCAGCTTGATTCTGATTGTGATGCAGAGACACATTAATATAAATGGTTCTGTTCCTAAACATTTTTATTAGCTAAGCATCGTATGTCTTGATTAAGATCATGAATAGTAATTCTTTAGTTTTTTGTTTCTCGCCATGAAAGCCTTAGCATCTGAGGTGTCTTAAGATACTTGTAAGAGAAATATAATTGTAACTCTCAGTATCAGAATTCCAATTTATTGCTAGCAAACTCTCAGAAAAGTCTCCAGCATCCTCTGCTGAATTCTGAATTTTGCAATTGAATGCTTAATGTAACATTTGGTATGGATTGTGTTGAGCATTTGGTTAACACTTGACAAGCTTTCTCTGTAAGAATAATTTCCATTGAGATTATCTGATAATTCTGATTTGCATAGATATAATTTTAATTTGAAAAGGAGTGGGCGTTTCTCTTTTAATAGCAGTTTTCGAAGAGAAACTGCTTACATACTTAATTTTTATGTCTCTTTCCCCTCACCACCCTTCTCCATCTTCCAGTGATACAAATGAAGTGGATATCCCACCAAACACCAGAGTAGGAACAAAACGTTACATGCCCCCAGAAGTGCTGGATGAAAGTTTGAATCGAAATCACTTTCAGTCATATATTATGGCTGACATGTACAGCTTTGGGCTCATCCTTTGGGAAATAGCAAGGAAATGTGTTTCTGGAGGTAAATATTTTAGGCATGGCTCCATGCCTTTAACATTATATTATCATCTTTTAGTATCTACAAAATTTGTGTTGGAATGTATTATGTGTCGTCCTCGACTTAGGAACACAAGTAGGAACAGAACTTCCAATGTTAAGCAAGGTGGTGGTTAAACAAGTCACACCTGACTTTTATGACCTTATTTGCCCCAGTTGTAAAGTGAATCACAGCAGTGGTTAATGTAATCATGTGGTCGTTAACCAAGTCCGTTTTCCCCCATTGACTTAAAGTAGTGACCAAAATTTGGGAAAAGTGTATTTTCTAAAACTAGCTAATAACACCACTTTTTTTTTTTTTTTTGGAGTAGTACCATAAAATTATGTATCGATGGAAAGATAATTTAATCAAGAATGTAATGCAATAACTTTTATGAAGGATTTGATACTAGAATTCCAGTTACAGTATAAAGAAGAAAAGTGAAACACGTAGAAAAAACGAGATATACAAAAATTATCACCATGTCAGTTAATACTTAGTTGGGTAACCTTTAGCATGAATTACAGCCTTACAACGTCTTCCCATGGAGTGAACCAAGTCTTTTAGTTCTGCAGCTGTTATAATGTGAAACCAAGATGGAATGATTGCTTCTATTAAAGGTAAAGGTAAAGGTTCCCCTCGCACATATGTGCTAGTCATTCCCACCTCTAGGGGGCGGTGCTCATCAAAGCCGAAGAGCCAGCGCTGTCCTAAGATGGCTCCATGGTCATGTGGCCGGCATGACTAAACGCCAAAGATGCATAGAACGCTGTTACCTTCCCACCAAAGGTGATCCCTATTTTTCTACTTGCATTTTTTATGTGCTTTCGAACTGCTAGGTTGGCAGAAGCTGGGACAAGTAACAGGAGCTCACCCCGTTACACAGCACTAGGGATTCGAACTGCTGAACTGCCGACCTTTCGATCAACAAACTCAGTGTCTTAGCCGCTGAGCCACCACGTCCCTTTGCTTCTATTAACTGGGTTTTATTGCTGGGTCGTTTCTGACTAACAAGATTATTTAGTTGGCTCCATAAATTTTCAATTGGGTTAAGGTCTGGGCTATTCCCAGGCCATTCCAGCAATAGAATATGATTATCTTGAAACGCCAAAAAAAAAAAAAAAAGGGGTGTTATTAGCCATCAAACCTCAAAAATACACTTTTCCCAAAAGGTTTCCACAATTTTGGCCAGTTGTTGGAAGTTGGCTGGGAAGATCACAAAAGGCAATTTACATGACCTCAGGATGCTGAAACTATCATAAATACATGCCAGCTGCCAAGAGGCCAGATTTTGATCATATGGCTATGGGGATCATAGGGGATCATAAGTACAAGGACCACTTACAAGTAACTTTTTTCAGTGTCCTTGTAACTTCGAGTGGTTCCTAATAAATGGTTTGTAACCTCAGGACTACCTGTAGTTAGATTTTTAAGGTGCCATAAAATTTATTTTTGCTGCAACCTGTTAACCCAAGCTATTCTCCAGAAAATGTTTGTGTATTTTTTTTTAAACAAGAACGAAAAAGAATTATAATAGCTTTTTAAAAATAATTGGTGGCACTAAACTAAGTCCCTTTATACTCTTGGGACTTATTATTCCTTTTCTGGAAGGTCTTACTTAGCCTATAAAGATTTATTCTCTATTTTAATAGACTCTTTTAAAGATGCAATATTTCATAATTGTAGTGGGAATTTGGAGTTCATTTATGGGAACTCTTGTGGTTATAAAAATTACTGCTTAAAGCAAGAGCACAGCTGCTGTTTGAGCAAAAATACAATGAGGTTGATTTTGCTGAGGTACCATGATTAACAAGGAGATTAGTTAGATTTAAGAGCAGAAATATAGAAAATACAGGTGTTACTTGGCTTTAGAAGGCCTGCAAGTCTGTAGGAAGGAACACATTATCCTGATAAAAAATTAATTCTGGATTCAGAAAGATTTGGAATGCTAACCTTTTAAAAACATTTTAATTTATTGTATTCTTTGTCTTTTGACTGTTTAATGTTTAAATGTTTGTAAAGTGAAATCAGCATATTGTGGTATCCTTTTTAAAGGGGCATAGCATGAAGATCTATTCTAATAATCTGAAGTTATGTAAAAAAGGAAGTTGGACATTTTGGTAGTACCTTTTATTACTAAAAAATCAGAGGACAGCTTAATCTTGGGAAAGACCAGGTTCTAATTTTCTTTCTAAAGTTTTCATCGTGAGACTTATAAACCCATTACTGGAAAAGGACCTTCAGCTTTAGCTGGTTTATATACCACCCCACAGTGCTTTATAGCATTTTTTGGGGGGGTGGGGGAGGTGTTACAAATGTCAGCATATTGCTCCTAACAATCTGGGTCCTCATTTTATTGACCTTGGAAGGATGGAAGGCTGAGTCAATTGTGACTCATCCCATCAGGATCGAACTCCAGACTATGGGCAGAGTTTGCATGCAATACTGCATTCTAACCAGTGGTGGGTTCCTCCCGGTTCGGTCCAGTTCGGCCGAGCCGGTAGCGGTGATGATATGATGTCACCGAACTGGTTCTCCCCCTCCCGCCCTCCCACTCCCCCACGTTATTTTTATCTTTATTTGGTCCCACCCCCAATCTATTGCTGCCTCCTGAGTCCCAGCTGATGACTAGAGGGAAAAAAACTGTTTAAACTCTTGCTGCGGGGCTTCAAAGGGCCGTCCTACAGCTGATCAGTGTTAAAAGCCAACAAATGAGTTGGGTCGTAAGTGCGAGGACTGGTCGTAAGTGCGAGGACCTTCCAGAAATGACTCTGACCAGCTAGCCACGCCCACCTAGTCACATGACCTCCAAGCCACACCCACAGAACCGGTAGTAAAAAAATTTAGAACCCACCCCTGATTCTAACCACCAGGACTCATCAGCTATGATGAGGAATGATCAGGGAGGGATGAAGACAGCTCCTCCCTGATAGTTCCCAGAGCATATATTTCATGTATGTGTAGTCTGCTTTAGTGTGGCAAGATTTTGTTTATAGATATGAATTGATAAACAAATCTGCTTCAAAGAATCACTATGAGTCTTTCTTGATTTCTGAACCCCAGCAACTTTCTAAATCAGGGGTGTCAAACTCAAGGCCCGAGAGGCCGGATCCAGCCTGTGGGATGCTTAGATCTAGCCTGTGGGGGCTGCCCTGGAAACAGTGAAGAACCGGCCCGCAGTAACTCTGCCAGTGAAAATGGAGCTCGGGAGGGCTGCATGTGGCCCTCCCAAGATCCATTTTCGTTGGCACAGGATTGCAGAAGGCCGTCGCAGTTGAAAACAGCTCAGGAGCCCATTTTCGCTGGCAGAGCGCTCGGGCCACCACAGGCGCCCTGACACGAGTGATGTCGAGCTGGCCACGCCCACCCTGGTCACACCCATCCCGGCCCCGCAAGGTCAAACACAACCCTGATGCGGCCCTCAATGAAATCGAGTTTGATACCCCTGTTCTAAATAAATTCTCTTTCACCGTATTGATCAGAATAAAATATAGCTTGATCTTTTTCCTGCCGCTATCCATATCTGTTTTGAGCTTAGTTAAATTTCTAAGTTCTTAGTCTCACAGGAATGTTTAATTGGACATGATTTATATATTTGCCAAATGGTTTCCTTGCTAGGTATTTTTGAGGAATACCAGCTTCCTTATCATGACCTTGTTTCCAGTGATCCTTCATATGAAGACATGAGGGAAATAGTATGTATCAAGAGATTACGACCTTCATTTCCCAATAGGTGGAGCAGTGATGAGGTAAGGAGACCATTTTCAAAAATAAGATTGTTTTGTCCCAATTATGTTTTTTTTTTTTTAAATTTGAATCACGTGTTTTAAAAGAAGAAAAGGAATACCTAAACGTTAGGACACTATTCTTACTTTAGGGAGGTATTTTCTCTTCAGTCCATCCATTACAGGTAGTCCTCGACTTACGACTACAATTGAACCCAAAATGTATGTTGCTGAGACATTTGTTAAGTGAATGTTGCCCCATTTTACAACATTTCTTGCCACAGTCGTTAAGTGAATCAGTGACAGTTGTTAAATGAATCAGGTTCCCCCACTGACTTCGCTTGACAAGGAGGTTGAAAAGGGGGATCACATGACCCTGGGACATTACGCCCGTTACAAATATGAGTCAGTTGCCAAGCGCCTGAATTTTGATCATGTGACCATGGGGATGCTGCAAAGGTCATAAGTGTGAAAAAAAGGTCATAAGTCACTTTTTTTCAAAGCTGTTGAAAATTCGAATGGTCACTACACGAATGGTTATAAGTCGAGGATTACCTGTACTGAATGCTTTTGAAAATTATTGAATAAAATATAGGCACAAAAAAGAGATTCCTAACCCTAATAACGGAAAACCAGAGGTGTAGCTTAGAGAGAGAAATTTAAAAAAAAAAAAGATTCTAGAAAAAGGAAGTAGAAAAGCCACTTTTAAAGCATCGATGGATTGTTGTTAAGTAGGAATCAGGTTGAATTTAAGAGCACTATTTTTACCTCAAAAATAGTTGTAACTTTTATATTCTAATCTGTTCCAGTGGTTTGACATATTTGCTTGAAATATTGTTAATAGTTTTTTCTCATGAACAACGCAACCATCCAACCAACCCATTTCTAGGCATGGCTAACTTTTAAGTACACTGTTGACTGGATCGGTCTAATTCTTCAACTTCGGTGTTTGCGGAATTCTTAACCCTATGAATCCCTAACTAGGATGGCCAAAATTTGTGTGATAAGGAATGGAGATGGATTGATAAGTGGGAAGACAAGAATATGGACTGGATAACTACTGGATCATATGATATATGATCCAAAGAGGGTATCTAGGGAATTGTGTTTTTTTTCTATGCCCTTTATATTCTCCCAAATACAGTCCTAGATAAATTCTTTGTAGAATATGTCCCAAAGGTGCTTTTTCAGGAGGCAACTGGACTTTCTTGTTTTTTCTTTGAAGATGTTTCGCTTTTCATCCAAGAAGCTTCTTCAGCTCTGACAGGATAATGGGAATGGAAGGATTTATATTCCTTGCAGACAGCCGATCTAAGCACTTGGAGGTTTATCTGTGCCCTCAGGGTCACCTGAGTAGTGCTCCTGGTTCCTGTAATCTGCAATTTTTTTCTCTGGAAATCCATTCCTACTCCCACACCATTCAAAGGGTGTTCATCCCAAATTGTATAGCTAATTGTATAGCTCACTACTCACGTGGCCCTGAGGACACAGGTAAGCCTCCAAGTGCTTCAACGACCCTCTAAAAGGATGCAAATGACCAGCTGTCTGCAAGGAATATAAATCTTTCCATTCCCCACCATCCAGTCAGAGCTGAAGAAGCATCTTGGATGAGAAGTGAAATGTCTTCAAAGAAAAAACCAGAAAGTCCAGTTGCCTCCTGAAAAAAACACCTTGGGGACAACCATGAGCTGGGTGACTGAGAATAATCTCTTGTTACAGATGAAAATACCTAACCTGATATCTGTAAATATGTGTGCTTGTTTATATGTCATTGTGTGATGTCATTGTGTCACTTACCATTGGTTAGTACTTACCATTAGCCCCGCCTTCTCTGTATATAAGTTCTTGCTCCTCCCAGATTAGTGCCTGTCTAATTGTGTTCCTGAGGAAGAAAAGAAATAAATATTACTATTACAAGAAAGCCTACAGTCTCTTATATATGGGCCTAACCAGGATAACCAAACTAGCAACATCTCTACAGACTTTGTAGAATATGGATACATATAAATTATTTTACAAACTGGCTAAACAGCAAGTAGCTCTGCAAAAGATAGTCTGGGGATGCTGAGAGTCTTCTGCTCCTTGTTTCCACTTTTGTAAATTAATATGGGAAATTGCTTTTCTGAAGCTGATATACTGATATTTTCCTTTAGGGGAAGGAGGGAGAAAGTAGTCTGTACACTTTCCACTGAGAATTTATAATGAAGCAAAATTGTGTTTTGGAATCAGTAGACCAGTAATTGATGTATTGCAGACAAAACTGCCGACAGTTATGGCGATGCTATGCAGAGGTCATTAATCTTGTTAAGTGGTACAGTGTAATGCTATTATTGTAGGAGACAGCTGTGATTTGGGAATAGCAGTCTTCACTTAAGTATTCTGCAATTAGATTTAAAAAGACTTAAAAATGGCAAGAGTTGTAAACAATCTTGAGTGAGTGATGGTGGGGGCATGGGCAAACTGGACTTTTTTTAAAAAGTGGGAAAAAAATAGAGTAAATTGCAGGAATTCCACAGAGACGTTTGCTTACTACATTTACTGACTTCTTGGTAATCTTCAGTAACTTAACCCAATTCAGGTTTAAAATAGCACGAAACTGAGTAGTTATGTTATATAAATTGCAGATCTCTTATTGTAAGTTCAAATCAGCCCCAGAAATATCTTCCTATCCCCAACATTTTAAGAGATACGATGCGATTGAACCAGAGGTGGTTTCACATATTCTTACCACCAGTTCACCATACGCACACTCGCTTCTTGCGTGCGCACACCTTCTGCACATGCACCCGGTCTTCCACGCACGCGCTTTGCTCGCGCATATGCCTTTTGTGCATGTGCCCAGCTTCAAAAACGTGGCTAAATAGGATGGTATTACATCGGGGGTGAGGGAGAAAGAAGAGCCACCCGCAGTCACCGCTACCGGTTTGTTCGAACCAGTCCGAACCGGCTGAATCCAATCTGGATTGAATCCAGATTGGAAGAGAACTGGAGCAGGATATTTGTTCTAACAACAGTTTTAGGTGTAATCTTCAGATATTGCTATTCGATGAAAAAAAATACATATCATCAAATGCTGAGAGAACAAATATATCGTCTGAATGTTATTAATCCCACTGATCTAGTTTCATTTTGAAGGAGAATGAGATTCTCTCAGAGGCCAAGTCTAAACAGAACTATAGACAAAGATCTAGTAACCTCTACATAATCAGAGCAAAGAGCAAAATAAGGTGACTTTTTCATGTAAGTTTCCTTGCTCACATGAGTTCTTTTATTTAGAATAGATTTTTCAGTAATATTGAAGTGTTCTGTCTATAATGCCAAATAGGTAATACTGCCCTATGAAATATTCTTCATATATGTTTGTGTGTGTGTGAGAGAGGGAGGGCGAATGCTTGTATATAGATGTAAATATATGTATACCTATTTCTTTTTCACAGTGCCTACGACAAATGAGAAAATTAATGAATGAATGCTGGGCTCATAACCCTGCTTCTCGGCTCACAGCCCTACGAGTAAAGAAAACACTTGCCAAAATGTCAGAGTCACAGGACATTAAGCTTTGATTCAGCTAACAAAAGCTAAAGCTCAGAGAAAAAATGGACTTTCCTTCTGTGTTTCAAAGAGACAGGAAGAAGAATGACATGCCTTCAGTAATATGAACCTTGAATACAGATTTTTGGCAAAGCATTTTGCACACTGGGGCAGAAACCTTTCCAGGGGAAAGAAATGTGGCTCAGTCAAGAATTTTTGGTTCCTGTATGACCGACCAGACAAGAAGACTTTTAGCCTACTTGGAGATTAATGCAAGAAAATGTATCGATAATTGTTTCTAGAATATGTATGCTGCTTTCTGTGAAAGCCTTTATTATTAATATTGTTATTAATATTTGAAGTTTTTAATTTTCATGGGAATGAACCATTGCAGTTGCAAAGTCCAAGGAAAGAATTATTTTCTAATGCTAAAAAAATACAAAATTGCATCCAAAGTCCTATTACAGTGATGGCTAACCTTTTTGCCATCGCATGCCAGGAAGGGGGCGTGGGGGAGGTTCGTGTGTGCATGTGCCCACACCCATAATTCTATGCGCCCCGCACATGCGCGCATGACCCCCCTCCCCCCTGCTCCTGGCATGTGATGGCCCAGTAGGACCGTTTTTCTTTTGGTTGGACAGGAAGTGATTTTTTTGCTGTCCCCAACCTCCAGAGACTTCTAGACAGGCTCTGGAAGCTGGGGATAACAAAAAACGTCACTTCCTGTCCAACCGGGAGTTGGGAAATGGGCCATTTCAGGCCTCCAGAGGGCCTCTGAGGGGGTGAGGAAGGCTGTTTTCGCACTCCCCAGATGCATAGAGAGGATATGGAGCCAGGTGAGAAAAACGGGCCTTCTCCCCCCTACCCCCAGGCCTTCCGGAGGCAGGAAATAGCCTGTTTCCCTACTTCTGGTAGGCTAGAAGGCCCGAAAATTAGCTGGCCGGCACGCACATGCACACCGTAACAGACCTGGTGGGCCAGGCGACATGGCTCCACATGCCACCTCTGGCACACGTGCCATAGGTTCACCATCACGGTCCTATTATTTCCTACGGATAGAAAAAAAAATTGTTGCACTCTTAAAATGACCCAAACCCAATTTTAACTTGTTATGCAGGATGCACGCTACACCTGAAAAAAAAAAAAGGCTCACCCATGAATTTGCAACCAAGCAGTGCCTTGAATAAAGGAGATACTGTCATGCAGTTCCTTGTGCATAACTTTTAATATTTTACATTTATGAAACTTGCAGGAGCATGTCATCAAAACAAATTTCTCTTGGCCAATTTTAAATTGTCATACTTGTAGAAACATGGACTTTGGTCATACCCACGGGGTGTATGCTCTGCTCATGGAAATATGGGAGTGATATCAGCATATAGTTATTCACTTAATGAGACTTATGCAAGTTATTCTGACAGAGGACTGTGCCTTTGAGGGCTTTTTGACACTTTCTGGCCTTTTTACACGTGGTGTTTTCAAAGGAATGTCTTATAGAAGGTTTGTTAAAAGTTGAACTTGTGTATTCTCACTAGCATTTCAATGGTAAATGAAGCTGTTCCCAAAATTGCATTAAAAACCTTTTGCCTTAAGGTAATTGACTTAAAATAAACTCTGTTGATAGAAATGTTTCTAGAGAAAAATTAAGGTACTGTTTCCTTTTTTTTATTTATTTTTAAATATATATATATAAATTGGACACCAATAATCCCTTTCCAGCATCCGGTAGTGTAGGTGGAAAAGGATAATGTTATTTAAAACTTTTAGCCAAGATGCAAAAGTCTGCATATTTCGGAATTCCTGTGGTACTTTCTCCCAATTTTGCATTTTTAAACAGCAAAAATAGATTCAGTATATTGCAGAAATAATTTTGAACATGGATCTCAGCCTGTCTTAATCTTTAAACTTTGTACACTTTCTACCTTTTAATCTTAAATTTGAATTGCTCATTTAAAGAAATTCACAAAACAGTAATAAGAGCTATAAATGGGATACATATAAGAAAGATACGTCTTTGTGACCTGGTTATGCCCGCTCCAAATATTTCTAAGCTGCTCTAGACAGCGAGATGGAAGCATATACATTTTAATAAAAGATTTTCATATTCATATTAATTTTGATGCAATCTTTAAAACAATTTGTCTGAGGAGTAATTTTAAATGACAGAACCACAGTTGTTTCAGAACAGGTTGGGAAAATATAGATTTGAGGACTTGAGATTTTCTGCCGTGCCCTTCACAGAGAGAAATTGAAAACTTGGGAAGCACTATGGATTTTCTCATTCTAAAAGCAATGTATTTAATAGGACATTTTTGAATCCAATCTTCTTCCTCTATGAAATTGTTAGAATTCTACTATTGAACTTCCTGTCTCTTTGTAAGATGCATGGATATTATTGGAATGAAAGCAAATATAAATGATAGTTAAACATTATTTCCAACACCAAATTTCAGAGAAGAATATGATGCATTTGGATGGATCGTGTTCATTAGTGTATCCTTTTACAATGGCACTTTTAGTAATATGAAGGAATTTCTACATTCAGTTCCCTAAGAAGATCCCACAAAGCTATCTAGAAAGATTCATTAATTAAATACAGCATAGAGCCTCCATGCTTTTAAAACCAGCATGGACTTATTGCTGCGTTCAGTTAAGCATGGCTGATTCTCATTGATTTAGAGTAATTTATAGGCTATTCTAAAAGCAATTCGACTTCTGAAGCTATTAGCTGTCTTTACACGAACACTTCTGTTCCAAAGCAGAGTTGATCATGCACAAAACCAGTCTCTTCATAAGTTGTACTCTTCTTTCTCCTGGGTGCCTGATGTCTTGACAGCTGGCTTCCATAAATTACCCAAGTCATGATTGTGATTAGCTTAATGGAAGCTAAGAATGCAAAGCTATAAAGAATCTTCTACATGGTTTGAACCAAGAGATATATAACCAGTTTAAGCTCTGACTACATCATACATGGGTTAAACTATTGCAATTAAACTGCAGATCTCCAAGACATCTTTCATTCCTCAGAGGCATAAATTCCTCAGTTTCATTTGGACATATCCTGTAACTTATACATGTTAATAACTTGTAGAAAATACTCCATTTCAAAGCAGAAGAAACTTAAGGAAACCTATTGGCCCCTACACAATATTTATAGTCAAGTTGCATTATTTTCATAGTTTCCATTTGCAGTTACTCTTTACCACTTAGTCTTAGGTTGATTAGCAAACAACCAGAATTTGCAGGTGTTATTTAGAAATTTTGGAATAAATGTCCACACTAGTTGGAGCTTTCAAGAAACCATTGGATGCCTGAATGATGAAGTCAAATCCTCTCAGGGCTCAAAGAAAGTTCTTTATGCCCTGGTCTCAAAATGTTCCTAAAAGTCTCAAAATCTGTAAATCATTTCACTTCTAACCTTAAAGCTGATTTTTTTAAAAAAATCTGTTTTTGAAAGAAATGGTCTTCAAGTGATATTATCCTCGAGTTGAATATTTGTGTGATTTACATCTGTCCAGGTGCCTGGATTTAAATATATATGTGGTTGTATCTCACACTGTTGGGAATTGGAATAAATCCACCATGCATATTAAATGTAAGGCGTTATATAATAGCCAATAACAGCTGCAAATAAAACTTTAATTTATGAAAACACTATAGGTAATTTTCACAGTGATACTGTGATCTGAAAACAAGACATGAAAAAGGTACAATAATTTTTCTTTGTTTTGCTCCAAAAGTGAATTGCACATTCACAGAGTCAGGTATGAATGATTCAAAATGCTGTCTACAAGAGATATTTTATTTAAGGATCTATTATATTTCATGACTACAGATTTATATCAGGCCAAAGGGGAGAATACCTGGACACAATTGTTCGAGTTTCTTCAAAGAATACCAAGTTAAAAAAATGTCCAGAAAGTTGTATTGACTATCAAGGTACATTGAGAGGAAAGGAAGTTTGAGATGAATAATGATTTAATGTTTGTTAATGTAGTTCAAGGAAGGTTGGTGATGTGATTTTTTTTAACGATACTGATTTGTGTTCTTGTGAGAACCAGTGCCTTATTCGATCTGTAATTATAAAACAAACAGAAACATAGGGAACAGGCCTGGGTTGTGATTGTTCATAATGTTGTATTTCATTTTAACATTCCCCAAATAAAATGTTTTCAATACCTCATTAAAAAAAAAAGTCTTTTCAAACAGCTAGCTTCATTGCAACTTTTACCAATATTTGTCATTCTTCCATTTATAAGCAGTCAGAAAGCTGACCAAAATGCTTTAGTGTTCCTTTTATCAGCATCAAGTGTAAATTAGTAAACTATAAAAACAATACTTTGAGGAAAGTATCACAATACTCTATAATGCATCAAAGAATTTTGCCTTCCATATAAGAGCCAAGTTGAAAAATTATTGAACAATGGAGAAACATTTTTATGTAGGATGTAGGATAATTCTACAGTAGGAGTAATTCCTTGTTCCTGGCCAGATTGCTAGAGATTACTAGCTGTAACATTTGTAGTTATCATGAAAGTTGTTCATCCTGTTCCACAATTTATACTTCTCATGTTTAAAATACAATAGAGTTCTGCTACAGGACAATAGGAAAAAGTATAAAGTTTATCATTCTTCTGAAAGTTTTAAATAGTGGTGGATGATCTTTTCTCCATCCTATTGAATGTGATTTCCTCTGTTTGTTATTGTGTCATTCATTCTCCAAATTTGTTAACATAGTTTGGTTAGAACCTTTTCTGATTCTTGTTTTGTTGCTTGCCATATTATTTTAGATAAAAGCCTTTCAGAGGCTTTTTTTCTGAAGCTTCTTTCAGAGGCTTTCTTCAGCCTCTGAAACCTCTGTTTGAGAAGCTGGGCGGGGCTACATTCGGAGTATAAGATGCACCCAGATTTTCACCCTCTTTTTTGGGGGGGAAAAGTGCGTCCTATACTCCGAAAAATATGGTAATTATTTAAAACAAGATGACAGTGTTAGCATTTGGATAGGCCGAACATTCACTTTTTACAAATACTTTTTATGTGTGCATTTAAATTGATTTATGCTTCCAACAACCTGATTTTCATCCTCCAGTATTTTATTGCAGCTGTAGGGAGAAAATTGTACTTCATCATTAGCTCTGCTGGAATGGAAAATCATTTGAAATGCTTTCATAAAATTAGCTGGTGGTGGATTTGTTATGAATAGGCAGTTATATTTATTTGTGAATTTACTTTGTATCAAAAAGTAAATTAATATGTTTGCAATGAGTAAACATTGGGGTTTTTTTTGATAGTTGAGTGGAAAAACTGAAGTTGTGAAAGAAAACATACAGTGCGTAGTCTTTAAAATATTGAGAAGAACTTCTAAATACTTTATATTTCTCACTGTTACTGTTATTTGTTTTCTGTCGAGTTATGACAGGTTATTTACCCCATGCATGAGGCAATTTTTAAGATTGCAGTAGACAATCCATAATCCATTGGGTCATCTTTGTTGACAGGTGTAATCTAGGCTGGCGTCATTTCCCGTTTCCTCATGACCTTCAGCAGAGCTCCACTGAAATCATTTTTTCCTTCTCCTCCAACCTGTAGAACTGCCTGCCACTTTACTGGAGGGAAAGGAAACAAGGGAAGTCATGGACCACAAGGAGAACTACAATCCTATTCCTTATCCCAAAGCCCCCCCCCCCCCTTCCAGGGAGGACGAGACCTTGCCAGTCGACCTCAGTTTCAAAGCACACAATTGCTACTCATCCATCAGGTCTTGTTGCTAGCTGATTGGGTGGGGGTCGGAGGGAGGTAGAGGCCAGAGGAAAGTGGAAAATAGGATGGAGAATCTGTCCCTCCCATCTTCCTTTACACCTCACAACCAGGTTTCAGGGAAGTGTAGCTGGAAATCCCAATCACGTGACCGTGGCTAATTGCACACAACTATGAACAGTACTAGTATGAAGATTCTCAAAATTTCAATTCCATGGGCATCATGGGTCTCAGATTTTGGAACCATTATTTAAATTAGTCCTTTTGAGGTATCTTGATTCAAAAACTGTTGCCCTGTGATGCAACGTTTCACCCAACTGAATGTTACAAATCCATAAACAGGAGAATTTTAGCATAGAGAAAATATTTTCTTTAATTTCAGCCAATAAAAATAAACATATCCATCCAAGCACCATGAAATTTAGTACACATCATAAAAGGCATAACCATAATTAGTTGTCTAGATTGGATAATATGTGAGAAAAAGTGATTAGTTTATGAAATGCTGGCATATGGTGTGGGTGGAAAAACAGAAATTGATTTTATTTTTGTGGCTAGAATAACTTATAGATTCCCACAGCTTATTTTTTAATTTTGCAGTTTGGGAAACATGCAAAGAGATTCCTGATCAGCGTTAAATTGGCAGAAAGGCTTATTTTAATAGGCATGAATTATAGGCAAAATAGAAATGCAGAGTTTAAGATTTATTTTAAAATTGCAGATTGTCATTAGGAAAAATGTTTTTCAACACAATTTTTTTTGACAAGTTTTAAAAGTATGAAGTTTCCTTATTCCTGGTTTATTGCACTTAGTATTTAAATTGCTTCTTAATCTTAATCTATTAAAGAAAAAATGGGGGGGGATTTGATTTCTTATGAGCGGTGTGGTGGCCTAGTGGTGACGAGGCTTGCCACCCACTTGGAAGGTTGAGTGTTCAATCCTAGGTAGATGTTTTTCTCTCAGAGTGCAAAGAAAAAAAAAACAGCTACTGTGAACTCCATGTGGTGTCAGGAAGGGCATCAGGTCAGTAAATGCTCACCTCCATAACTAAGACATTACAAGGTTGTAAAAAGGAAGTTATTGATTCAGTATATGCAATCAAGTTCTTGTTGACTCTTAACCACATATATTTTCCCCATGTTTTCTAGACTAAAAATAAAAATATTTAGATGAGAACCCAAGGGGTACACAAATTGGTTGAGATATTCAGAGATTTATTTACTCAATTAAAAAACCCTACAGAATTTAATAGTTTAGTTGGGTTTGCTAAACTTACATTGAATTATTGCCTGGAAAAACTAGTTCATTCCTTCTTTAGGAACCTATTGCAGCCAAACTGTAGTCACTCTGAAATGACCATACAGAATTTCTACAGGACTTTAATGCAGCTAAACATTTATTTTCTTAGAATCATTAAAAGCAGAAAAAGAATGTAGTTAGACTTACGTTAGCCCTTGTAATAAAGTAAATGTAAACCTTATTTACTGATCACCTTGTTTAGTAACTTGAAAGTTAGGTAAAGGTAAAGATTCCCCTCGCACATATGTGCTAGTCGTTCCTGACCCTAGGGGGCGGTGTTCATCTCTGTTTCAAAGCCGAAGAACCAGTGCTGTCCGAAGACGTCTCCGTGGTTATGACTAAACACCAAAGGCGCACGGAACACTGTTACCTCTCCACTAAAGGTGGTCCCTATTTTTCTACTTGCAATTTTTACATACTAGGTTGGCAGAAGCTGGGATAGGTAATGGGAGCTCACCCCCTTACACAGCAGTAGGGATTCGAACTGCTGACCTTTCAATCGACAAGCTCAGCGTCTTAGCCACCGAGCCACCGTGTCCTTACTGGAAAGTTACAACAGTGTAAAAAAAATCTTTGTGATCAATCCTCACTTTTACAACAATCACAATGTTCTGTGGCCATCAGATCATTCATTGCGACAAGAATTAGTAGAGAACACAGATGTCAGGTTGTAAGGTCTTAGAATGTTCTGTTTAATGACCAAAGGGGAAGTGAAATCATGAATCTGATTTTTCCACTTAATGACCGTAGCACTTAGCACCAGATTGGCCTGTCTCCATTGTGGTTGCTAGTCTCTCTTTTAACATTAGTACTTGCCATGTGCACTGAGCCTGTGGAGATATAGAAAAAGGAGAGGAGGTACTTAGCTGCCTTTCACTTTTGAAATTGGAACTGCAAATTCATTTTGAAGAGGAAGATGTAGCAACAAGAATGCTTTAGAAAACAGCAAAGACTCTTTCATCCAAGACACAATAGTGAGACAGGTAACAAATTATGCATTTCCATCTCCATTTTTCTCCTTTTTGGAATAAAGTAATTCGTGTAACTACATTCCACATGGTATTACATGGGAACAAGGCAGTAACTTAAGAGTGTTATTGTCATTGATTGATTTAACTCCCATTCCAATTCTTGTCTGGCTTTTTAGCGGCCTTTATTATGCTTTTAGTGTGCTTTATGAAGATATTTTTCCTTAGTACTGGTTGTCCGATCATTGAAATGTCCATTCTAGTGCAATGTCTTCTTCTTGGTTACCATATGGATTGGTGTTTTGCAATGATTTGATCAGCAAGATCCCAACTTCTCTGTCCAATCAGAAAGGCCCCCAAGGAAAATATAAGAATACCTGCCCACCATTAATTGCTCCAAAGACTTACCTTTAATTTGCTTAAATCTAGTATATGATGAAATTTTAATATGCTCCTTTGAACACCCAATATTTTTGCGAGGCATACAACCTTTGGCCATGGCATGACATGTCAGAAAAAAAAAACCAATTCTGGGTTCATGAAGCAAATGGTTTCATTTGTGAATTGTGGTTTGCAAAGCAGTTAATGTCTTGAAATATGTATATTTTCCAATGCATTTGTATGTGTCATTCTCTGCAGTGACTCTCTTGAGGCGGAGGCATAAATGTGAATGTGAACAAGTTGGGCTATAATATTAGAAAACCCAAACTGCTTTCCCACCAACAAGAAAAACCGAAAATGCTTTTACTAAATGAAAAGACACACACAGTTTTTTTTTCACTTGCTTATAAATATAATTTATAACCTGTTTAAAAATTCTTTCTTACACTTTGTACATGTCAGGCTGACAGCATAAATGCAGGCATTTACAAACAGAGGGCTGAAGGAAAAAGGGAGAAGGGGACAGAGGCACACTCTGAACTAGTAAACTACACCTCCACTGTACAGCAATACAAAGAATGCAATGGCTAGCACTTTGCTCTGTTAGTCATAGTAATTCTTTAGAAAAAGAATTGCATAGAAGATACAGCGATAAGGGAGATCAAAATCAAACCACACCCGTTCCCTTAAACTGGTTCAACAAAACAAATGCAAGCCCAAAAATCTACTCCTAGCATAAACCTAAAGCAAATATTCTTGCGGTTCAACTGTGAGATGTGAAAAGTTAAGAAACAAGATTCTCCTCTCAAATTGTACGTTGTTTCCTCTTTTCTCTCCTGCTTTTAAGCAGGGATGTCTTAGCCCAGGTTTAAACCAGTATCAAGTGTCTGCTTTCTTTCTGCTACTGCTCAGTAATAGATGGAAAGAGCATCTCAGTTAAGATGTAGATGCTCTACTATCAGCCCCAAGAGAATCATATTTCTTACCAATGATTATGTTCAGTGCCCGCTCACAGAATGAGGGGTTAGAAGGTGATGTATTGTGGTAGTGATGGTTATTATTTTAGAAGGGATAATCAGCAAAGGCCACAAAGGGGGAATAAAAATGAACATCAGGCATTTTTGCTTCATTCTACCTTGTCTACTTAATTTGGTTATTATTTCTTTCTTTCTTTGTTTGTTTGTTCCTTCTGGGTTTATTTTAGTTCGTTTGTCGAAGCACAACCAGTGGTGGGTTGTCCCTGGTTCGCACCAGTTCTATAGAACTGGTAGTAAAATCGGCGGGAGGCTCCGCCCATCGACCCCAACGTCATCAAAACGCAGAAACTTCTGCGCATGCGCAGAAGACCGGGCGGCCCCGCTGCGAACCGGTAGTAAAGGTAAGTAGAACCCACCCCTGAGCACAACATATGGAAACCAACAAGCTCAACTAAACTTTTCCAGCCCAGCAAAAGGCATTTATCTGAATCCCAGCAGGCCCAAATGGAACTGCCAAAGAAGTGAAATTTTAATTAAAAATCAAAACTATCAGATAAGGGCACCATAAAGATCATAATCTTACCTAACAAAGCTTACATCAATCACACAATTTGTACTTTATAAAAAGAAGATAAGAAAGAGGGAGTTGAGGAATGAATATATTTGTCAGTTAAAATCAATACTAAAACCACAATATACATTTTCACTGTTGTCACAGAGGGTTGAATTATTATTTTTTTCCCCCAGTAAGATACATCCGGCTGTCTTGATCTTTTTCAAAGACGCAGTTAAGAGAATTGAACTATAATAGCAGCGAAGTCACAAACTGCTACATTTTAAAAAATATCTTCATAAAGAAACAGCCTAGTATATTGTGATCAGATCAAAGTTCAAAGTCTTTAACCAATAATGCAAAGTGTACTACTGATCGTTTCTTTCACTTTAGATAGTCTGAACCATTGATCTTCAACCAATGGCTTTGAGTGAGGCCTATTTAATCAAATAAGGAATCAAGTCCATGAGGAGCAACAGTCAGCCATAAAAAATGGTGGTTTTGTATGGACTTAACCTCCATTTGTCTAAAAAGCTATCCAACTAATTTAATAGGGAATTGATCATACATCCAAAATATGCCTACACTGTCACTACTTGAATCACAAGGAATAACTATGGCGATATGAAAGCAGCTATTACCTGAAGATAAAGGGTGGAAAAGGTTATTCATCACATACACAAACAATGATCTTCTATGAATGACCTGTGCCTTTACATTTTTATGCCCTTTTATCCTTGCTAAAGATGGATGCATTGAATGACATGCTATAATCACCAATACTGTTGCTAATGTGTTTTCCCGAAAATACGACCTACCCCCAAAATAAGTCCTAGCCTGATTTTTTGGGGTGGGCCTAATATACGCCCTATCCCAAAAATAAGCCCTAGTGAAGGGGGTGGGCATGGCCAGCACAGGAGGCAGCCCTTCCCTTCCCTGGTCACTTCATGGCTGCTGGACCCCTTAACAGCAGCCTGCGGATCAGCTGATCCAGCGAGGACTGGTACTTCTGTCTCTTCAGGTGTCTGGAGATATTTCCAGCACACTCTTGCTATGCAGCCAAGGGCCCCTCTGTTCCGTAGCTGATCTGCGGGCCGCAGTTAAGGGGCCCAGCAGCAATGAAGTGACTGTGCTTCCCGCCTCCTTCACCTCAAAAAAAAAAAAAAAAAAAAAAAAGACCTCCCTGAAAATAAGCCCAAGTGCTTATTTTCAAGCCTAAAAGATAATAAGACTCGGTCTTAATTTTGGGGAAACACGGTATTCCTATTTTAGTATTCCATTTTGGAAATGAGTTTATGTTCTATGAAAACAATTCAACTTCAACCTTGCCCTGAGTTTTAGGACTAGGCTACTATTGTCCAAGAAGAAAGATCAAACATGTCTTCCACTCATCGTTATTCCATAAACCAAAAACAACAGGCCTTAAAACGGAATTGACACTGACAAGGGGACAGATGCAGAACATAAAAATCAGCAGGCTTGCTTCAAGGTTTCAAGTTACGTTGTTTGATGGACACAATTGGTATCCATACTTCTACCATAGGCTTATAATTCTATTCTGGCTCTATCTACTCAAATAATTGCTGTAATGCTGATGTGTATAATGTGATCAGTTGCAGCACTGCTTGTCTTCTTAAATACATTACTCAGACTGGGCATATATTTGCCTGATCAGACTGATATCTTCATTCACACAATGTAATATACTGAAGAAAGATAAGTAGGTAATTCAGCCTGCCAGCAAACAAGCTATGTTTCCTACTGGGCTCAAGTTGTAGATTTCTTAAAGCCATTGTGTAGCATAGGTAGTAATTACCTTCAAGAAAGATATATTGATTATATTTGCCATCCAGAGATGCTGGTCATGATATTGAGGATCAGAGAAAGAAATCCTCAAAAATTTGTGAAAGTCGAACAGAAAGTCTGCTTATCCTAATAAATCTAAGCAGAAAAAGAACGTATTTTCTACAAAATTCTTGACAGTTTTACATTTATTGCTGCTGATTGATAAAAAATCACTCCCATAATTAATGGAATAGTATACTTAAAATTTCATACCGCTGTTGATGAGTCAAGGGATTATTTATCTCTGTTATTTGACCAATAAGATGGACAATGTCATGTCAGACAAGGAATTGAGATTGTAGCTACTGGCATGCATAGAGCCTTTTAATGGGAGCCCAATTCAGTTTTTTTCCCCCAAAGGTGCTTTTTCAAGAGGCAACTGGACTTTCTGGTTTTTCTTTGAAGATGTTTTGCTTCTCATCCAAGAAGCTTCTTCAGCTCTGACTGGATGGTGGGGAATGGAAGGATCTATACTCCTTGCAGACAGCTGGTCATGTTCATAAAACACCCAGACACAATCTAAGCAACGTGGTATATGCAGTACAATGCAGCGAGGCATGTGCAGATCTGTACATTGGGGAAACAAAACAACCACTTCATAAAAGCATGGCACAACATAGGAGAACAAACCCACCAGGGCTAGATTCAGCAGTCCATCTGCATTTAAAATACAAAGGCCACTCTTTTGAAGACAGCAAATTCTACATTTTGGACAGAAAGGGCCACTGGTATGAAAGGGACCATCTATGTCAAAACTGAACAGCCCTTTCTTAACAGAGGAGGAGGGATATGGCATCATCTCACTCCAGTCTACAACATAGTCCTTTCAGCAGTTCCAAGAAGGCTCCACACCCATTTGCAGCATTCAGATCAGTGGTGGGTTGCTCCTGGTTCGGACCGGTTCGCAAGAACTGGTAGTAAAACCAGCAGGAGGCTCTACCCACTGACCCGGATGTCATCATAGGTGATCTGCAGAGGAGAGGAGCGCGCATGCGGGTGTGATGCAAATGGGTAGTAAAGGTAAGTAGAACCCACCCCTGACTCAGATGACTCAGATGACACAGATAAACCTCCAGGTGGCCTTAACATCTCACTAAAAGAATGCAAATGACCAGCTGTCTGCCAGGTGTATAAATCCTTCCATTCCCCACCATGCAGTCAGAACGGAAGAAGCTTCTCGGATAAGAAGCAAAATGTCTTCAAAGAAAAACCAGAAAGTCCAGTTGCCTCTTGAAAAAGCACCTTTGGATGCTGGATGACTGACAACTCTCCATAGACAACTCAGTTTTTTAGCCATTGCACTCCACAATGCATAAAAGTAATCATTGAAAAATGCTTCTGGGTGAGTCTTTGATATTACTACAAAAACAATAGCTCATAGGGAAAGGTAATGATGAATCGGGGAAAGTTGTAGGCTTTCATGGGGACTAACTATGAAACTAGTTCACGGCAGAAATTCTAAACATTATCTCAGTATTTGCACAGTCACTCCATGGATTGGTTCACACAATATGCTCAATGTGGACAGTGAATTGAATCACATCTTACACATTTGCTAGAATATAGGCTGAGTTCAAGGAACAGACTGGATATAGTCTAACATATTCAAACTTAGCGTGTTACATGAATGCAGCCGCTATATCTTATAACTGATCTAGATAAGTGTACTGTGCAAACCAAGTCCGTACATCCCTATGTGAGATTCCCCCTTCCTCAAGACTGAATTGGGATACGTGAGTTTTCCTCCGTTCAAGCAGTGAATGCAAAGCTGCATAATTATTCTCTTGATCATAATCCAACGGTAACATCCAATTCAATGAATTGTGCAGAAATGCATATTATTTCTGCACCAGCCAAAAAAGGAAGTTACTGCTAAGCATTCCAGTAATGTTTGAGAATGAGTTAAATTCATACATTCTAGCAATATGAATATTATAATTCACTTCATATGAGTATTTTGAGAATCACTTTCTCAAGAAAAAAAAATAGCAAAACATAAACAAAAACAAACAAACCATCAAACACCCTTAAATGCTTTTTCATTATAGGACTTTTTTTTTTTAAAAAAGAGAAAAACTAAAATGTTTTAAATATATTTAGTTACCTTTATATAACTGTATAGGTATAGTATTTATATATTTTACTTCTATCACTAGTATTTGATATATCACTGTGAGGACCTGTATGCACAATACCTATATATTGTGTATACCTGTATGCACAACAGACACATCTGCAGAATTCTTCAAAGGCGAGAAAACTTACAAATTCCTTTAATAAGTACCCAAAGTCTCTAGAACCTTAAGTGGGAAGTTGTAGCAGATAGTCCTTATTTTTTTTCTATAGGTCTCAAAAAAAAACAAAACACATGTATCTCATAAATGCTGTTTTGAAGACCTTACTACTAGATCTCAATATAGTTTAAAAAAAAAATCAAGGATAAACAAAATTACATTCAATGCTAAGACAAAAACTGGTTTTCAATATTTCTAAAATGCATTTAGATGGTCTACTACGCCACTAGATGGCAGTAGGCTCAAACATATTCAAACTGAGAATCTGTTTTCCCTTATAAACTCCACCATTCTTTTTGCTTCCACAAACAATGTTTCCTATTGAAATATGAAGTGTGTGTCAAGCTGCATCTTGGGGATTAACTCTATGTACTTTAAACTACAGGGCAACCTGAAGGTTATTTGGTCACACTCATCTACTGCACAAGTCTTACTTCAGAATAGTCTGAAGAGAATGTTTCTTTTCCATAACTGCTTTACAGTAACTTAAAAACCTTTGATCAATATCAGAACAACTATGACGATAGGTGTATTTCCTAGTTTGCTGAGCATTGATGGACTGTAAGTCCACATCACAGAAATACACATTCATCCCTATAATCATGGATTTTCTATACACACTTCAGCCAGACACATTTTTCAAATTTTTAAAGTAGGAATTCATGGCCAGCTTGTCTTTTCTAAATTTACAAATAGTGAGTCTATGTATGTGTATATTTGCTGTTCACTGCATCCACTGTAAAGCTGACAGCAGAAAATGACTTTTCAGACACTGTATCGTTTGTGTGGTATTACTATTTATAAAAAAAAATATTTTAAAAATAAAAATGCAAAAACTTAGTAGATCTCGAGAGAATTGATTTAAAATGTGTTAAGTTAGTTTTATTTTTTATTTGAGGTTTCTGCTAATAGGCACCATCTTGCCAATTCTAAATAATGGTCCAATTAAAAAGAAATAGATCAGATAATGAAAGTATGTGTGTGTTTTAAAACGATGGCTTCCCTTTTAATAATATCTCAGGTTTCTTAGATGGAATCTCTAGGCACAGAGAGAAAAACTGTGGTTCCATCAGCCTCCTTTAGATACCCACTTTTCTCTCTCTCACCTGTATGTTATCAGGCCTACTTCATTTCACGATAGCTATTTTTTTGGCATGGGTACTTGAAAAAAAAAATCACATAGATCATTTATTAGTGAATATGTTTAACATGATTATTAGGCAGTGATAACAAAACTGAAACTAGATAGATGACAGAGATAGATAGACAGACAGACAGATAGAAAGATGTCTGAGAGAGATGGATGATGGATAGAGATAGATGCTAGATAGATATAAACAGAGATAGATAAGAGATAGAGGCTAGATATAGATGAAAGATGGATGGATAGATAGCAGAGGTGGTATTCAGCAGGTTCTGACCAGTTCTGGAGAACCGGTAGCGGAAATTCTGAGTAGTTTGGAGAACCGGTAAATACCACCTCTGACTGGCCCCGCCCCCATCTATTCTCTGCCTCCTGAGTCCCAGCTGATTGGGAGGAAATGGGGATTTTACAGTATCCTTCCCCTGCCACGCTCACCAAGCCAGGCCCACTAAGCCACGCCGACAGAACTGGTAGTAAAAAATTTTGAATGCCCCCACTGATAGATAGGCAGATAATAGATATAGATAGATGGATAAATATAGAGAGATGAGAGAGAGGGAGGGAGGGAGGGAGGGAGAGGGAGAGAGAGAGAGAGAGAGGGAGGGAGGGAGAGAAAGAGAGAGATGTGTGAAAGGAGGCATTAGGAATGACTTCATCTAAATTCAATGGTTGTTGAAGAGCCAGAACTGGATTAAACACAAGGAGGCAACTGTACCAGATCAAAAGTTACTTTTAAAGCCCAACTAGGACGTTCCATGACCAAATGTTAACTACCCTTTCAAAACAAAATCCACATTAACTTTGATCAAAACCTGTTCACTGCTTCTGATTACTGAAAGACGAATGTCTGAGTTTCCTAACGGTATGTTTTATGAATGGTGCTCTGTGTTTAATAAAGCTTAGTCACTGGATGGATAATAAAACTCTGTGGAAATGTCAAAATGAAGAAAAGGTCAGGCAAAATTCACCTTCCCTGCTAACCAACAGTATTTCCATGGTTACTTTTAGAAATGCAGATTTAAGAAGCTTCACAGAAAATATTACGAGCACATACGTACAGTATGCAGAATCTTAAGCAAGTGAAGATGGTAAATAACATTTTTTTAAGATGGAAAGGGAGAAAAACGAAAGGGAAGGCTAGAAACAAAATTCCACGATATTGTTTTTGTAAGAGAAAAATGTACCAAACCTGGACAATTACCAGGTTTGCTAATTACCATTTGCTAACAGGCCATCAAAACCTATCCAAGACACCATGCATGTAAAACAGGACCCAACTCAAGTACTTAAAACTCAACAATGCATAGGGATTTTTATTCCTAACAATAAATATGAAACACCCAAATGAAATTATTGTGTCCTTTAGCTTCAAACTTTGCAATTACTTGCATGAAATACTTTTTCATCTTTGGATAAAAACCAGTATCTGGAGGGACACTTCTCTCTGAAAGAATAGTAAATAAGGAGCGATATGCATAGAACCAGAGATGGGTTTCAGCAGATTCTGACCAGTTCTGGAGAACCGGTAGCGGAAATTTGGAGTAGTTTGGAGAACCGGTAAATACCACCTCTGACTGTCCCCACTCCTATCTATTCTCTGCTTCCCGAGTCCTAGCTGATTGGGAGGAAATGGGGATTTTGCAGTAACCTTCCCCTGGATTTGGGAGGGAATGGAGATTTTACAGTATCCTTCCCATGCCACGCCCACCAAGCCACACCCACACAACCGGTAGTAAAATTTTTTGAAACCCATCACTGCATAAGAACAGATTGTAAATATTCAGACACAGAAAATTAATCCAGGTCCCATGGACATGCATGAAGTTTTGATGGCTTACAGCAAAGAGAAAAAGCATCTAATATCAAAACTACTAAATAAGCAGGAGTAACGTGCGGTGTTTCTTGCGAAACATCTTGTCTGGGTAAAATAATCCATTTTAGGCTGAATTTTCTTTATCAAGATGAATGCACTGTTACTCATCTGAAAAAGAAAACTTGTCAGGAGAAAGTGAATTGCATGAGAGTAATTCATGCAGCAATTCACTGAAATTGATAGGGGGTGGGTGGGGGAAGGCAGAGAGGGAGCCCCAGGGCCAGGAAAGAGAGGGGTAGACTCTCCCTCTTAAAGGGATTAGAAGGCCCAAGGCAGCCATCAACAGCTTTTAGGGAGGGTGCTGCCATTGCTGAAATGATTAATGCTGCAGATAATTTTGGTAAACAAAAATACTACTACTAAAAGAAATATAATATTATTTGTACTAAATACTATTCAGTTACGGTCATCGTACAAGTAACTTTTTTCTTTTTTAGGGAGGGTTCTTCTCAAAGCACACCAAAGTGAGTATTTCTCTCTCTCTCTCTCTCTCTCTCTCTCTCTCTCTTACACACACACACACTTTAAAGATGAAGGCAGGGCATATTGTAAACTGGGGGAGGGAAGAGGGAATCCCTGCAGTTGAAGTCACCAAGGGACACAAGCTACCTTGGTGAAGGTAGAGAGGGAACATGCATACCTGATCAGCTTTCAGATTATTTTCTTGCCAGATGCAGAAGTTTTAAAATTCTGTCTTAACTCATTCTAGGAAACGGAATAGGTAGGTTAGTTTAAGACATCTAATGGGCAAATTTGCAATTATGAAATTGTCTGAAAAGTGTGTTGGAGACCGATTCATCAGAAAAATAGCCAGAACCCTGCTTTGTCCACAGCTTGGTGTAGAATGGCTTTCAACAAAAGAAGAAAAAAAAACACCAATATATAAAAAGATAGCCATGGACAGTCATTTTCCATCCTGCTGCCCAGGATTTGATGTAAACAACGTTCATAGAAACTGGGATTGTTAAGAAAGTTTATCCATATATCTGGATAGCAATAAAAAGCGTTTCCTAGGAAACTGTAAAATCCTGCACTAAGCAGTGTACAGCCAAGCTGAGAGGAATGTTAGGTTGAATTATACTATAAAGGTAACAACTTTGCATGGTTTCTTTCAAATCCTGTGATAATATACAAAAAAGGGATGCATGTGAAAAGGCAGGATTCTGTGTCTTGTCCCTCAGGAATGCCTCTTGCTATGAAACACATTGGTTTGGGGGGTGCTTGGTTTGTGTTAGTCACAGCTGACGCGATGGTTAGCATTCCTTCATTCTCATTCCAAGGTCAGTTCAGTACTTTTCTTCTGCTACCAATGAAACAACTGTCTCGTGTCTTCCCATCTCTTCGAGGACGGTGGCCAGCATGCTCAAATTTCCATCGGGAAAATTTTGGGCTTCCCAAAGGTCTAAGATCACACCGGTGGGACTTGATTTTGTAGCAAAATAATTGAGGTACCTGCAGTGAGAAATCAGCTGCTATTAAAACTGTACTCTTTGCTATATATATCAGTTACGATCACACAGTTTGCCCATAAGCACCAAACAGAGAACTTCAGCCAGAAGATGACGAATGCGATTTCGTCGAAACGTCGCTACTACCCTTTTAAGGATATGTTTACAATTACACGGGAAGAAACCTGCGATATTAACTGTACACACATATATACCTGTGAAATATATATATATATATATATAAAAATAACTTCTACCTTATATATAAATGTAATTTACAGGGAGCAAAATATGAAATATCTTACATTTTGCTTCAGGTAAAAGGTTAGAGGTGAGCATTGTTAGGCATGGTTTCTAATCTCATCAGAGATTGGAGACTATAGTAGATGGAGTACTTTACAGAATCATTGCCGGGGGTTACTATGCAGTCATTTATATTTGGGGGCATCAACAAAATGCTGCAAAGACAAGATATGGGACTGGAACACATAGTTGTCTGACAGGTAACAGGACCAGATGGATATGTTATTGCTGTTGCTTCTTCTCACCTCTACCATAGTAATAGCAATAGCACCTAGGCTTATATACCTAGTGTTTTACAGCCCTCTCTAAGTGATTTACAGAGTCAGCATATTGCCCCAACCATCTGGGTCCTCATTTTACTGACCTCGGAAAGATGGAAGGCTGAGTCAACCCTGAGTCTGGTGAGATTCGATCTGCCAAATTGCTGGCAGCCGGTGATCAGCAGAAGTAGCCTGCAATACTGCACTCTAACCACTGTGCCACCGCAGTGACGCAGATACCATAGCATCACTTTGCCATGTTTTGATATGGGTTGGTGATTGAGACGACTAGGTTGATATTCAAGTTTATCATCTCTAACCTCGAGCGTTCTCAGGGGGCTCAAGATTTCATGGCCACCATGACAACCAAGGACTCATCTCAAGTCACCGCCAGCCTGACACACATTTGAGGCACACATTTATACCTCAGGACACTTGAAATAATCTGTTAGTGGGGGGATATAAGAACTATGTCCTTATTATGGACTTTGTTATGACTATGGAATTGACTAAGGGTGCAAACTTTGGAGAGAGATTGGTCAATTGGATCTCTCCAGGCATTTGATGTATCCAGGGGTGGGCTTCAAAAATTTTAGCAAGGGGTTCTCTGCCCGGTTGCTGAGTGGGCGTGGACATGGTGATCATGGCCTAGTCAGCCTCCTGCACCATGGTGGGATGGGGGTTCTCTCCCTGGGCTCTGGAGGCTTTCTTTGAGCCTCCAGGAGAGTGAAAATGGCCTCCCCAGGTTGCTGCAAAGAGGTAAATTGCTGGAGCAGATTTTTTTTCCCTTGTGCTAATCAAACTATGCTGAAAACGAAAATGAAAGTAAAGCGGGATGTTTGCTGCAACGAGACAAAATTGCTCAGAGGCAGAGGGAGATTTCTTTTTCTTCTTTTCCTCACCAAAAAAGGTAGGTGCGTCTTATACTCCGGTGCATCTTATATTCCGAAAAATACGGTATTTATTATTATTGCATCTGATATGTCTGATTAATTTTAAATTATTGTAATGCATTAAAATATATACAGTATGTTATATATAAGTGAGAATCAAGTGAAGGATACAGAAACAGTTGCAATTAATAAGCGTATAAAATAAGCCACCTGGAAACACAGACATTATTTCTGCATGTCCTTCTGCTGTCTCCAGGTATACCATGTTAATAAGGACATTGTGTCCTTCTTCCCTTCAACTGTCATTTATTAACAATCCAGAATATTATGTTCTTCCCTACTGTTTGATCTGTAACTCCGTTATAATAGTGGTCACTCCAAAAGTGAAAAGAAGAAAAGGAAGAAAATGAACCATCTTTTTTAAACAGGTTTTTTTTTCCAGATCAGTAGAATAATATAATTAAAATGCACCAGAGGCCATCACTGAATCTTCAATTGTCACATGCTACACATTTTAAAGAACACAGAACATAATTAGAACTTTTACAGAGTGCTTTCTACTCTGGTGTGTGTATATGGGAATGTGTAAAGAAGTGAAAAATACCAAACTAATGCCCAGGAACTATATCTTAACGTATTAATTTTACTGTTTTGGATGAAAAGATTTGACCATTTGGTATACTAAGCCCTCAGCTACAATTTGGATGGGTTCCCCAGTGTCGATTGAGACAATTGTTTCCAAAGACCAGGGGTGTCAAACTCGATTTTATTGAGGGCCGCACCAGGGTTGTATCTGACCGTGGGAGGCCGGGGTGGGTGTGGCCAGGGTAGGCGTGGCCAGCTCAACCTCACTCGTATCAGGAGTGCCTGTGGTGGCTCAAGTGCTCTGCCAGTGAAATTGGGTTCCCAAGCTTTGTTTTCGGCTGGGACAGTCTCCTGCAACTCTCTGCCAGTAAAAACAGAGCACGGGAGGGCAGCAAGCTGCCCTCTCGAGCTCTGTTTTTGCTGCAGAGGCACCGCAAGCCAGTCCTTGCTGTTTGCAGGGCAGCCCCGCAGGCCAGATCTAAGCACCCCGTGGCCCGGATCTGGGCTCTGGGCCTTGAGTTTGACAACCCTGCCATGGATTGTAAGTCAGTGATGGCGTGGAAATGTTGCACGTATGGCCACACACTTGTCGGGGCTGTGGTCTGGAAAAGCCAAACTTTCGGGTTCTAGCGCACATGTGCGCCCAATGATCAGCTGGCTAGCGGGCATGCGTAGGCCAGTTTTTGGTACTGCTGCACGCACAAAGGGATCACGCTCTGTAAAAGCCAAACTTCTGGATTCTATCGCGCATGCGTGCCCGACAATCAGCTAGCCAGCGCGCATGCACACACTGGTTTTTGGCACTGTCACACGTGCGAAGGGCAGCTGATCATCACATGCGCATGCACACCAGAAACCCGGAAGACAAACAGGCAAGGCCATGCGTGCCGTGCGACATGGCTTCGCGTGCCACTTTGGGCAAGCGTGCCATAGGTTCGCCATCATGGCCATAAGTCATTATATTACTTACTCCTACACAATACCCATGGTTATTGACACAAACGTCTGTGGAAGGAACTTTTTGAAGAGCAGATTTCAACGGTAAGTCTCTCTTACGAGTTTCAGAAGGATCAGCAATGCACTGCTAGCACAGATGAAAATGTTACTCAACTAATTTCAAATTTACTTTGACAATATGCTTGCTTACCTGTCCAATTTTAGTTTGTGGGCCAACATTCTCCAATCGTGGCCTCTTGTTTGAGGAGCATCTAGGCTACTGCAAAGCTTCTGACGGATAGGAAGAGGGATGCTGAATGCACAGGGTCCTACTACGGTTGTAATGGTACTTGCTGGATCCATAAGTGGATATTCAATGCCAGTTGGTTCCTGCATATATGAAAAGTAGAAAATATGGCCAGACAATAAGCGAGGGGAGAGAATTAGATTAACAAAGAAGCAATCTGTGAAATATAAACCCTTTGGGTTGTATTAGACGTAACCTAATGGCCATGAATCTTTGGAAGTTCTACTTTTATATTGCTTTTCTACAGTACCTTTTACTAGAAAGGCAACATAAAATCTTTTAAAATAAACTTTTAAAATTACTAGTATCCTCAGATACCTCATACGAGCCACAGCATCCAGGGAATTTTACCACTGTCTGATGCAGCTTCCCCTATATAGTGTCATAACAACTTAATAAATTAAGCATAGTCTTAATTTTAGGAAACGGCCTGAGACACAGTCATATAGTTCTCTACAATCTGGTGGTTGTAACAATGAATGTTTATTACCATCCCAGTGGAACCATAATGGGGCATTCATGTAACAATGAATAAATGAAGCGAAGTTGGTGTTTGGCTTTCAAATACCAGCTTCCTATTTATTTGCTTACTTTTTTTTATTTAAAAGATTATCTGGAACAAATTGGGTACTACATTCTCTCCTATGCTTATATAGTCCTCATATATAGTAGGACTTTGATTTTTTAAGTTGCAATTGATAATTAATATGCCAGGAATGACTTGAGGTATTTTCAGTATTCTTTAGCGGAATATCCTTGAGTAAACCCAAAGGTATTTTTTTCAAGAGTCAACTGGAGAAGCGAAACGTCTTCAAAGAAAAACCATGACAATACAGTTGCCTCTTGAAAAAAAAAATCACCTTTGGGACGACCATGACCTGGATGACTGAGAATCTCCATAGACATCCTTGAGTAAAGGTAAAAGAGTCCCTGCAGATTTGCTAGTCGTTGCCAACTATAGGAAATGGTGTTCATCTCCGTTTCAAGGCCGTTGAGCTGGTGCTGTCCGGAGACATTTCCTTGATCATGTGGCCAACATGACGTCACAGAACACTGTTTCCTTCCCATCGAAGTGGTACCTATTTATCTACTTGCATTTGCATGCTTTCAAACTACTAGGCTGTCAAAAGCTGAGTCAAGGATGGGAGCTCACCCGGTCGCATGGAGCTAGGGTCTTGAATACAAACTGTCGCCTTTACAGCTAACAAGCCCAGTGTCTTAACCTCTAAGCCACCATGCTGTCCATATCCTTGAATACCACTAGTAAATCATTCCTTGTGTTGCCCTTGAGAGAATTCCTCTGTGTTGCTGCTAGAGAACAATCCTTGGTCAAAAGATGCTCTTGCTATCAATGCTGAATGTAAAAAGCTTAAGGTTCTAATTCTGGTTTTTCATGTAGGTTTTTCAGAGTTGGCAACACTCCTCTCTTTAAATTTGTAAAGTTAATGTCAGTCATTGCCATAGTCCTGAACCAGATAGATGAATCTTCTAATCCAGGGGTGAAATCTACTTACCTTCCCTACCGATTCAGAAGTGTACATGCCCTGCATGCGTGCTGTAATTTTGGACCCTCTGCACATACGCAAAGCCTTCTGGGCATGTCCAGAGGGTAAAAACAGGTTACTTCCTGGTTAAAACCAGGAGGTAATGACATCTGGGTGGGTAGGTGGAGCCTTGCGCTGCCACTGCTACAGGTTCTCTGAACCACCCGCCGCCACTACCAGTGCAAACCGGTAGCATTTCACCATGTTCTAATCTATTATAGAACAATTCCTTCAGTCCTAGGAATCACCCATTTTCCCCACAAACAAAAGTATTGGTAAGCATCAACAAAGCTGAGAAAAGGACAAGTAAGATCATACTTCAGACATGATAGGTGGACGTATGCAGAGTTTGTTACGATATTTAAAAATTGCAGTGAGAGTAGTGCCTAAATATTTCAGCCCAAAATGCTACTATCATCACTATATTTTTGCAGATTGTTTTTGCCCATAAAAGATAAAATTCACAAGTCTTTAAAAAAAAAAAAGACATTTCTGCAACAGGAAATGTCATAATATAATGAAGATTTGAAATCCATTGGTTATACTATATTGAGAAACCAAATACCCCCCCCCCAATGAAATACAAATAACAGTGTAAACACAACTCTGGGAATCCTGATAACCCTGAAAATGCTCCCATAACTAATGGACACATAAGATGTAATATTCCAAATCAATTTACAAGGTGTAATTATCTCCATTTAGAGACAATTCATTTAGAAATGTGGAAATTAAGAGTAAAACACTATCATCACCACTTCCTCCTCCTTTATAATACAGCCCTACTATGTCATTGCTTTTTGCTTCTTTTCTTGAGAAAAGTACTATACTGCTTGGAAAACAAGATTATGTATAAGCCGGGTAGAAGCAGAAGTGTGTTATCAAAAATCTGTATTGTGGTAATACATATACAGTATGCACACACACACACATACAAGAAAACCTTAGATGACATTTACAGGAGATGAAACCAATAAAAACTTATTGTTTCAGGATCTTCTATCTCTAGCAAAGCAAAGGTTATGTTGTTGGTAAACTACTAAATAATAAAAAGGAATCTGCTTTGAATGTCAGTTTCTTTATTTTTCATCTACAGGTTTGAGTACAGCAGTGTTCCAGAACTCATTTCGACAAATAAAACCAATGTTAGACCTTGTCAGTGTCACAGTATAGTCAACACCTGAGAATGTAAATAAATTTCACCTGTGTAGTGAATGAAGCCTGACATAGGTGGATGTGGTTGGATCAAAGTGATTACTCACAGTCTATATTCTATACATTAGAATTGCTAGAGTAATTTTTCCAAACAGACGACAGCAAGAATTTCAGGGACATAGAAAAGGGATGAGGTTTTATAGATGCTATAACAATAAAGACTGATCCCATATTCCTACTTGGACTAAATTCCATAGCAGAGAAGGAAGACCAGTTTTACTGGCTGATAGGCATTTTGCATACTCTCAGCCAAATTTTTCGTGTGGGTGCTACTGACTTTGCAAAGTAGGAATTATGTGCCTAATGATGCCAGGCTGCTGGGTTACAGCGCCTCTAGCAGTGTTTTGAAACCTTGGCAATTTTAAGAGGGATAGACTTTCCAGAAATTTCCAGCCAGCCATGCTGGGAGTTGAATTCTGGGAATCGAAGTCCATGCCTCCTAAAGTTGCCAAGGTTGAGAAACACTACACTAGACTTTAAAGCGGCCAAATCAAAAAGTAAGAAAAAGGCCAACCTTGAAAAGCCAAATTCATTCTCTGGTTTTCTAGCATGTTCTTCTCTTCTTCAAAGGGCTCAAAGGGTCCACTGTATTATTGTACCACTGTATTATTTTAAAAGTTCGGGCCAGATGTCATTTCCGATCCTCTGTCCCCAAGGTACTTTTTCAGCTCTAAGAAGCTGATGAGCTAAAGAAACTTCTTGGACGAGAAGCAAAACGTCTCCAAAGAAAAAAACAAGAAAGTCCAGTTGCAAACATGATCTGGATGACTGAGAATCTCTACAGATTTCCAATCCTCTGATTTTATCATTTTTTCAATTATTTAACACTTAACAGAACAACAGAGTTGGAAGGGATCTTGGAGGTCTTCTAGCCCAACCCTCTGCTTAGGCAAGAAACCCTAAAACATTTCAGATAAATGGTTGTCCAATCTCTTCTTAAAATCTTCCAGTTTTGGAGCATTCACAACTAATTGTTCTAACTGTACAGGAAATTTCTCCTTAGTTGAGATTGCTTATCTCCTTAATTACTTTCCATCCATTGCTTCTTGTCCTGCCCTCAGGTGCTTTGGAGACTAGTTTGACTCCCTCTTCTCTGTGGTAACTCCTGAGATATCGGAACACAGATGTCATGTCACACCTAGTCCTTCTTTTCATTAAATTAGTCATACCCAATTCCAGCAACCGTTCGTTATATGTTTTAGCCTCCAGTCCCCTAATCATCTTTTTGTTCTCCTCTGCACTCTTTCTAGAGTCTCCACATCTTTTTTACATCATGGCAACCAAAACTTCTGAGGTCTTTTTCCATGTCCCTCTTGATTACCCCTTTCTTTCCATGTTTTAAAAAAATTTATTGCTTTCCTGTACTCTAAAATTTGAAGTGGCTAAAAAGAATCTTTAAAATGCCTTTTCTCTCAAGGCGCTAAAGCAAAGTTAATAGCAAATGATACCTTTATCCTCTTCCTTGGTTATTCTACATTATTGGGCAGGGGTGTACATGGAGAAGACGGAAGGGTTCTTGTTAGAGCAGAGGTGTCCAACCTTGTCAACTTTAAAATTTTGGGACTTCAATTCTCAGAATTCCCCGGCCAGCATGAATGGCTGCAGAATTGTGGAAGTTGAAGTCCACATGTCTCAAAGTTGACAAGGTTGGTCACCCCTATTTTAGAGTGACAAAAAGGGACATAGACAGCCACGGAGAAAAGAAAATGATGAAATATCACGACTTCATGACACAACCATGACTTGCATACTCGTGTCAGATGGAGGAGAGCAAGAGTGAAGTTTGCTGCATGTCATCACTGTGGACATGTCATAATTTAGACACAATCCTTGTTTCATGTAGAAACCTAAGAGGAGAGTAGGCAGAAATTATTATGCTCTGATTTTAATCAAAAACAGAAAAAAAAAAAAACCATGAGAACTGGTAAAACATTTCAAAATATAATTAGAAATGGTTTTCCTAATTCATTCATTCATCAAATTAGCACCAGTATTTTTCATTCGACAAAAATTAACAAAACATTGATGCTTCTTTGCCTGTAGCATTGCATTTGGGTGTCTGGGCTTCACAGGGAAGTGACACTGTAGCAATAGGAAAGGACTATCTCAATAATATAATACAATGACAGCATTGGTGCAAAAATCAGTTACTGCTTTTTGAAAGGTGAACTTCATCAACAAGACAACTATATAATGTAATATGGATTTTCTGAGGTGAAAATGAGTCTGCCATAGTGGTTGGAAGCAGCAACTGAAAGGAATTGTAAAGTTTGTGCTTTCCCAACTGGAAACTTAATCTTCAAATCCTGACACTCCCTTCATGCCCCCAAGTGTACGTTCTGGTGGAGTGAAGCAAATAGTTGCTTTTTCTCCTTTTCAAATGCCACAATGCAATTAAGATAAAGGACAAAATGGCACAACTTTGTATGCCCTATAACAGTGATGGCTAACCTTTTTGCCATCGCGTGCCAGGAGGGGGTGGGGTGGGGGAGGTTCATGCGTGTGCGTGTCCACACCCATTATTCTATGTGCCCTGCCCTGTGCATGCATGTGCAACCCCCCTCCCCCCCTGCTCATAGCATGTGATGGCCCAGTAGGCCCATTTTTCTTTCTCACCTGGCTCCAGATCCTCTCTGTGCATCTGGGGAGGGCGAAAACAGCCTTTCCCACTCCCTCGGAGGCCCTCCGGAGATCTGAAATGGCCCATTTCCCAACTCCCGGTGGGACAGGAAGTGACTTTTTTGCTGTCCCCAGCCTCCAAAGACTCCTAGAGAGGCATGGGAAAGGCTGTTTTCACCCTCCCCAGATGCACAGAGAGAATCTGGAGCCAGGTGAGAAAGAAAAACGAGCCTTCCCCACACACCCCAGGCCCTCCAGAGGCAGGAAACACCTGTTTCCCTACTTCTGGTCGGCCCAGAAGGCCCGAAAATCAGTTGGCCAGCGCGCACATGTGCGCCAGAGCTGAGCTGGTGTGCCCACTGATATGGCTATGTGTGCCACCTGTGGAACATGTGCCATAGGTTCGCCATCACGGCCCTATAATATATAACCAGTCTGCTATTCTAATGAATTTATATATAACTTCATACTTAAGTGGTCAGTAGAGGAGGTGTGCATAAGTGCACTAACATGCCTATCGTCATTGTATTTTTATTCTCTTATTCTCTTATTCTTGTTCTCGTTTTTGTTTGACAAATTCCAATAAATAAATAAATAAATAAAAATATAATAGCTTTTTCAGGGTGATTAAGAAAAAAAATGAACAAATGAACAGAGATTCTTCTGAAAGGCAAAAAAAAAAAAAGTTCAGCAATTCTGCAGATTTCTTTTAACTGCTTGAGAAATAAATATTATATATAAATATAATAAATATAGACCTGTGGTGGCACAGTGGTTAGAATTCAGTATTGCAGGCTAGCTCTGCTGACTGCCAGCAGTTCAATCCTGATTGGCTCAAGGTTGACTCAGCCTTCCATCTTTCGAGGTCGGTAAAATGAGGACCCAGATTGTTGGGGACAAAATGCTGACTCTGTAAAACGCTTAGAGGGTGTCTGTAAAGCACTATATAAGTTTAAGTTCTACATTACTATTGCTAAATAGAGTCTCAGCAGAAGCCAGGAGATAGGATCGATGATCAGATGAAAATTAACTTGACTTCATGATCTGACCATATCAAATCTTAAACTTAAAACCACCTAATAGGGCCTTCTGAAGAATTAATTCTCATACTTAATAATTAGACCACCTTTTTCATATGTTTTGTAATATTTACACCAATATCTTGAGAATGCCTATATGATCAGCTTTGATTAGTTATTGCTTTAAAATAATTCAAAATAACTTTTAACTTCTTAGACTTTTCCAGCTTGAGGATTTGTTCCAGTTACACTGATTTCAAAGTTATAAGTTTCAAGAATTATATTCACTGATTAGAATTTTAATACATTTAAATACATCCATCAAGGTCATTGGTCACTAGACCAGAAAATGGATTTTAAAAATATAACTAAAGGTATAAATCCGTAAAATCCGTGGGACGATAATGAAATGAGTTGGAGAATGGTGGCTCATTATTTCTGGTTTTCACCAAAAGTCCACTTGACAGAGAGATAATTGCAGATGACCAAAAGTTATGTGATTTATGATGGATGGGATGGGATGGGATGGGATGGGATGGGATGGGATGGGATGGGATAGGATAGAATAGAATAGAATAGAATAGAATAGAATAGAATAGAATAGAATAGAATATTTTATTGGTCACATAAAAATTTGTCTTTGATGCAGAAACTCTCAGTGTACATACAAACAACCAAGTAATATAATCATAAGATACCAAAAGGAGAAAATAATAGAAAAGATAACAAGGATAATAGTAATACAGACATACTACATAGGTAAATATCCTTAGACATAGGATAGTATTGTGGTAATTAGGTGTTCAGCAGAGTGATGGCTCAAGGGAAAAAACTATTTTTGTGTCTAATGTTTTGACATACAACACCCAATAGCAGCATCCTGAGGGAAGGAGTTGAAACAATTTATGTCCAGGATGTGAGGGGTCTGTAGATATTTTCTCAGCTCTCATTCTGACCGGCGCAACATACAAGTCCTAAATGGAAGACAGGCTGGTTGCAGTTATTTTTTCTGCAGTCCTAACTATCCATTGAAGTCTGTAGGTGTCCTGTTTGGTTGTTGTACCAAACCAGACAGTTACAGAAGTACAAATGACAGACTCAACAATTCCTCTGTAGAACTGTATCAACATCTCCTGGGGCAGTTTGAACTTTCTGAGTTGACACAGGAAGAACATTCTTTGTTGTGCCTTTTTAATGATGGTTCTAATGTTAGGTGCCTGTTTCAAATCCTGGGAGATTACAGAACCCAGAAAACCTGAATGACTCTACTATTGATACTGTGTTGTTTAGTATTGTAAGAAGTGGTAGAACAGAAGGTCTCGTCCTAAAATCCACTATCTTCGCTATAGTTTTCAGTAGTAAGGATTGGCAAGCACATTTGTTTCATTCATACAATTAAAGACATATTTTCCAAAAAAGACACACCACTATGTATGTCATTCTGAGTGGCTTCACACACTTGTGAGAAGTTTGTGATATGGCTCTTGGGTGTTTCTACTCCTCCTTGATGACAAGGAAGAAAAAAGCTACTTCCCTATTCCTCATTTCCCTTCCAGTCAATACTTTGCACTATCATAATTTTTAGATATGGTGTCATCTGCTGCTACGCAATCCTTATCAGCATTTTTCCTAGCCGCTGCTGCATATAGAAGCTTACACTGTTAACAGAATCATGAAATAAACCTTACTAAATCTCACATAAAGTCTTTACACTGATGCCACTGTCCCCTTTGAGGAAACAAAAATGCCCACAAAAGGGGGATTTTTAAAATCTTTTCATTTGTTTCTCTGTCTGATCCATTTTTTTTCTTTATCCCATCAGCACTTGCAGACAGAGGCAGCATTTATCAGAAGGACCGCTGGGTCTTTTTCCTATCCTGAATTTCTGTTCCTCCGGTTGTTGTTGGAGTTGTGCGGTTATTGAATGACACAGACCTGCTGGGCTCAGAAATAAAAACACCATCCAAAGCCAGCAGGGGTGGAGCAGTGTGGCTCAGAGATATGGCCAGCAGAACGAAACTGATGGTTGGTTGCTATGGCGCTGAGACTCCAGGATCATTCCTTATTAATGTCAGTGAGGTCTTTCATTGGAGTTGTTTTTAACTGAAAAGGCTAGTGAAAGTCAGAAAGAGAGCACCCATTCTGCCACTGCATGAAGCAAAAAGAAGGCCAAGGAAGTGATTTTTAAGGCTAGCACTTCATTCTGGGAGATAGAAATGAAAAGGATCATTTTTTTTTGTCCCGATTGTATAGCAACAATGGCAGGACTTAAAACACTTTCAAAATAAAATTACATTTTAATAAGGGTCGCCCTGCTTTTATCCCATCGCCCTGCTTTTATCCCATCACAGCCAAGAGATCCATTCCACTGCTCAGGTTTAAGTCTGAATTAAAACTCCCCAAACAAATTGGATTGTCCGTGGTCAACTTAACACTATGGCATTTTTTTACTGATTATGCTAGTGTGCAGTCAGATCTGCATAAGACAAATCTGAATTGCAATAGTGGTGAATAGTGGCAAATCTCAATGTTACCCTACTATGGATAACAGTCACCAAGGCCATCTCTATATAGGAGGGGCTGCAACTAGCAGAAATTGCTGCATATCAGAAATGGCAATGGAACATCTAAATTTAACATCTCAGTTGTGCTGAAAACCTTCATGGGAAAAGTGAAGTTATATAACGGAACAACTGTCTTTCAGCCTTAGACAAACCCTTGTTTCTCTCCTGCCAATATTATCTTTCCTTTCCTTATGTGTTCATTATATAAAAGCATTTCCAGACAAAATCATCCTTCTGTCATGTTGCTTGATGGTTTTATTTCATTAACTTCAATGAAACAATAACACACGTCAATCCTAGTTGGTCAAATCAAGAACTTTTGCATACTCTCAGTTTCTACGCTAAGAGCCTTGGTGGCATAGCAGACTAAAGCACTGTTAAGTAACACCAGCTGCCTGCAATTACTTCGTTCAAATCTCACCAGGCTCAAGGTTGACTCAGCCTTCCATCCTTTCGAGGTAGGTAAAATGAGAACCCGGTTTGTGGGGGCAATAAGCTGACTTTGTATAAAAAAGAACACCGCGGGGGGGCGGGGGGGTGAAAGCCCTACTAAGCAGGTATATACAAAAGTATGAAGGCTATTGCTTAACACATTGTAAGCCGCCCTGAGTCTCTGGAAAAGGGCAGCATATAAATCGAACCAATCAATCAATCAATCAATATTTCTTTGATCTGAAGGCAATGAATATCTTCCTCTGAGGATTTACCCAGTCATGAGAAAAGTGAGAGTGGAGGGATGCCTCACCTCAGACACCACACAGTTGAGTTGGAATATCTGTCCCTCTCCTTCCACCTGCCGTATGCAGAGTTTGCATACCAACTCCAGCGTGTTCAGGCTGAACCTTTCCAGGGTGAAGGTACAATGCAAATTTCTTTGACATCCACTCCAGATATGGTAAAAGGGAATTTCCTGAAGAAGAAATAACACTGATAATAAAAATGAATTTCCTATTTTTCACTTAGTCAAATCTATGTTGGAATGTAAATCTCACATGACTAGGTTAATGTAATAATTGATGAAATATAGTTAAGAGTAGAATGGAAAGAAATAAGAGAGTAATAGTTCCATAATAAAATGCATAATTAAGGTAAGTATATATTTAGCACGTTTGTTCTCCAGACAAATATGCTCCAGAATTTTATCGATAGCCTGGGAATTCTGGGAATAGAAATCCCAATTCTTTCAAATGGTATCTGAGAGTCTAAAACAAGAAAAAGTTTCTAACTTAAATTTAACTTAATGCCAAACAACTGAGATTTATGTAACTGATACTTATTAAATTCCCACCACTTCATTTTTATGTAAATTCCCATATAGATTTCTATCGTTATATAATATTTGCATTATAAAAAAGAGGTTAATTCTTGGGATTAAGAGCAATGAAACTGGGCAGGCAGGTAGATAGATTCTAGCTATGTTATAGGTGTTTCATTTGTTGTTTATATATATATAATTTCATATACAATCATTTTCTATACTATCATACATTTCTTCATTGTTTCTGTGATCATTATATAAATCATCAACTGCAAATTTTATTTATTCATTTTTACCCCACCTTATTATTTTATAAGTAATGCAAGGCAGCGAACATACATTATACTCCTACTTCTTCTATTTTCCCCATAACAAGAAACCTGCGAGGTAGTTTGGGCCAAAACAGTAATTGGTGCAAAGTCACCCATCTGGCTTTATGCCTAAAGTGGGACTAGAACTCACAGTCTCCCAGTTTATAGGCTAGAATTCTAACCAGTGGTGGGATTCAAGTAATTTAACAACCGGTTCTCTGCCCTAATGATTTCTTCCAACAACCAGTTTCCAAACTGCTCAGAAAGTTAACAACCGGTTCTCCCGAAGTGGTGCGAACTGGTTGAATCCCTCCACTGATTCTAACCACTCACAAGACTGGCTCTCTCACCTAATGTTCAAGATCTGTGGAAAGATGATGGTACACCTCTCAATAATTATAATGAGTACAACACTTAAGAATAGTTCTGTTGAACTAGGCCAAGGGACATTTTGATTCTCATTAGCCGACTATACTTCGGGATAATTGCATATAGGAGTCTCAGTCTAAAGTACTCTCAAACAACAGATAGTAGTGAGCCATCAAGATTAATAGTAGTTGGCAGATCTGTCTTCTATTGGTTTTCCCTATTCATTTTAAAAATAAAAGTACCTAAATTAGTGGCTATCATCACATCTTGTGGTAATGACATCCGCAGCTTAATTATACATGGGTCAGTCATACAGTCTATTAACCCACTAGTTCTTTTTCACCTACTGCTCACAACCCCTTAGTGTGCATGTGAAGTTAGTGATACTTTTGCCTCAATATGCATCAGTTTACACTTACTTAAATGAAATGGATATGCTGTTAGGTTGACCCTTCATCTAGTTTAAAAAGATCCCATTGCTATCCGGTTGAGATCTTCAGCGAACCTGGTCTGTTTACTGTGTATTCCGTATCAAGATCCTTTATGAGCATTTAAAAATACAAACCCCAATACACATACCAACAATGCAAATAGAATCATTTAACCAAACAAGGTAGCAGCAGGTGTTAAACATTCTTTTATCCTTATCAAGTATTCAGCAATTTCAGTATTCCCATTTGACTTTGAAATACTGGATGATGCTTAATATTGCAAGAGGGCTCATGAATTCTTATAGAATTTGGCAATTCTTACCTGGTATTTTGCTAGTAGTTTACTCTTCCATAGGGAATGAGTAATATCATGAATAGATAAGCGAAGATTATGAGTGCTACCCTTAAAATGTAAAGCCTTTGGGTCCTCCAATAATTGTCCGCCCATTTGCCTCTCCAACTGCAGCACTTCCTGAATGTTGGAAGAAAGACAAAATATATTTAGCATGGTATTAAAAGAATCATTGATAAGAAATAAATTAAAACAAAGTGGTGCACCTAGTCTGTTTTGTGAAGCTGAAGATCACATAAATTAGTCATTCATTCATTCATTCATTCATTCATTCATTCATTCATCATTTTTTATAGCACCCACTTAGCCAAGTGACTTTGGGTGGCTTACAATTCTAAAACATTAAAAAAATATTAAATATTAAAATAATAAAATATTAAAACAATAAAAAACTCAGAAAATAAATTCGTACTGTGATGTACGAGTGATATACGTACAGTGATGTACAGCAGCAGTGATGATTAATCAACTAATAGTAAAACCAAGTAAGGGGGCCCTAAATACATTAGGAGTTCCAAGCCCAGCTACATAGACAACTCTTTAAAGCTTTGCAAAATGTCAATAGGGTTGGACCCATTCTGAGGGAAGATTCTCTAAGGGCTACAGCAGAAAAACCCCATCAGCTGTATCGCTGAAATATCCACCAGAAATACTCACCAACTATATCTCTGAAACAATGTTATTAGCTACGGTACTCTGTTTTATAGATGAAAGGAGATTTGAACCCAGATCTCATTGCTCTAAGTTTAGTCTTCTGTTCTGTACACTGAAGGCTCACTGGAGAAGAGCCTAATACTGGGAAAGACTGAGGGCAAAAGAAGAAGGGGACAGCAGAGAATGAGGTGGCTGGGTAGAGTCACTGAAGCAGTCGGCGTGAGCTTAAATGGTCTCCGGGGATGGTATAGGACAGGAAGGCCTGGAGGAACGTTGTCTATGGGGTCGCGATGGGTCGGACATGACTTCGCAACTAACAACAACAAATTCTGATTCAAACAGGAAGTACCTGATAGGATGAATTATACTGCATATTTACAATGATTTTGCAAATTGATTCCACAAATCAAAATTAATGTAATTTCTATTTGAATGTTCATCAGCAGACAAATCTTTTTTCTGTACAAGGCTGAACTTTCTTACATCACCAGTAATAATCCAAAGCAGAGGAAGACTCCCTTCCTTCCTACTAAAATCATAATTAGAGGAGCAATGCTGCACTTCATAAATGAAGGTAAAAAGGGACTGTAGGGCACATATGTAACACCTGTCACAACTCCTGGAACCAAACTCATCTTTGGTCCTGGAAAATGTAACCATTTCAGAGACTTCCAGATAGGTGCTACGTGAGCATCTCCACGTGCAGTCCAGTGGTGGGTTGCCCCCGGTTCGCACCGGTTCTATAGAACCAGTAGTAAAACCAGCAGGAGGTCCTGCCCACCGACCCTGATGTCATCAAAACGCGCAGAAGAGCGCGCGTGCAGCCCCACTGTGAACCAGTAGTAAAGGTAAGTAGAACCCACCCCTGATGCAGTCCTGTTAGTTCATTGATTGGATTTTACACATCCACAGTCCCACCCCCACCCTCAGCCTGGTGTACGCATGCACACTCCACACATAAAAGAAAGGAAAATATGTCTTTTCTTCAACATATAAGATCATGCTTACAAACTATTTAGCATAACTGAGAAGGCTGTTGTCTCCAACTAACCTGACAATTCTTAAAGTCAAAATGGTGTTTGCATTTAAATTGGGGGGGGGGGAGAGAACCGGACGCTAATTAGAAAGCTTTTAGAATTATACTCTGCCAGTCAGTTTTAGCTTATTCCAAGAACACCTTAATTATCTTGTGAAGATGCCTAAAAACCAAAGCAACAATAATAATTTGATCGCTATCAATGTTAATTACACCCAAATTATATTCCTGAGTTGTGAGAAGAAAAATTCGCTGTATCTCCTTATGGTAGTTCACTGATATATTCCTCATACTGTTGTGCATAATTAAGATTCACTTAACCAGGAAAATTTAATAACACTGTGATCATTCTTATCTAGTAATCCTACTCAACGTTTCAAAGCAATTCAATACAAGCTTGAAAGGAATATGGATAGACAGTATTTCTAGTTTCATGTTACAAGCAACGGAATGAACATTTTAAGGTTTTCCTTGCTTTTTCTTCCTCTAAAATTTGGAAAATTTGACATTAGGGATTTTTTTTCCTGAGCGAATAAGGCAATAGATCACAGAAAGAGTAAAGTTTTTTCTTGGTTAATGAATTAGATTACATGTAGGAAGGATTAGATTCAAATCCCGTTTGAATCATCAACGCTGACTAGGTAACACTATTAATAATTATGTAATAATAATAATAAGCAATTTTACTTGGAATAGCTTGTATTCTGAGACAATACCTTTACATCACCAATACTGTATCTGCCTATCCCAGATCCTTGGGAACGACTTGGTAGTGTCAGGCTCCATTAAAATGCAAAATTCCAGGTCCACTCTGAACATCTGGTTGACCATGCAACCAACATAACAACAATAATATTCTTTCTTTCTTTCTTTCTTTCTTTCTTTCTTTCTTTCTTTCTTTCTCTCTCTCTCTTCCTTCCTTTCTTTTTACTAAAGTTCAAAACAATTTTAGCATGTTTCAACTTGCTCAAAAGAAACATGTAGTGTTGTAAGTTTCAGAAGGCTGATTTAATCTGAACGCCTCACAGTGTTTGTATGGTGCTGTCTTGTTTTTTTTTGTCAAACACATGTTTGACATAAAACTAGAATAAGTAGGCAACTGTACTGCTAACTTCTTTTGAGACACCTATCCTTACTTTCATCTCGTGTTACAGTACTAAAAACAGCTATAAATGGACCTGCTGTTTGGATACACGTTTATGGAAGTTTGCTTGAAGGTCTCCTTGGTGCTATGCACAACACTCCTGGAATGTACTATGGCTTGCCAAATGTTTCATAATGCTTGTGTTGTCCTGCCTGGTCAAATGTATGGTAAAGTATGACAGGGGGCTTTTATGCTACTCAATCCCAGGATAAGGCTATATAAAGTAAGCTTTGGATTTATTTAATCAGATTGGAGTACATTAACTTGCATATTATTATATATTATACTCTTTTATATATTAATGAATGCAACATTAAAAAAATAGGATGTGTATCTATATTAAGTACCTAAATTCCTAAAAAACCATTTGGCTCCATGGAAAACCCAAAAAACTTTGGAACAGCTTCACAGATTTCCTTGCATAAGCCTGCAGCTTAGTTGCCTCTATTACTAATTCCCAGAAGACATTTGTTTGCACATAAAAAAATCTGGGGAGTACGAGGAAACACGCCTACCGATTCTGTGGGCCAAAATGGGCAGATAAGAAAAAAATAATTTATCTCTGGGAGACTAAAACCTTGACACTGCTTAGAACTTAATCCCCTTTTAATGAGTTTGAGATGCAAGCAATAATATTCTAATGAATAAAATGCAGTCATTTTCTAACCACCAGATACTGCCCAAAGAAACCACATGTGCTTCAGAAAAGTTTTGCCAGCAATGTATTCCATTGCTACAGGCAGATAATTGTTTGTAAAAGTTTAAGGTCCTATGGTACTATCAGGTTTGGTCTATTGTTTCTATTCAAATAGGGGCTGTGCGTTTTTGAAACACTATTAAGCCCTAAAATTGCTGTTGTAAGGTGCCAGACTAAAGAGGATTTTTTAAAAGCTATTTCCTTTGCCTTTAAACGTGTATATGACTTGTTTTTATTGTTCTGTGGAGTCTTTGTTGGTTTCTGAGCTTGGTTGTTTGTTTGTACACATTTCATTACCCCACTAGATAACATCATAATGAAAGCACCAAGGACTACGCAGCGAACACTGAATTACAGATATTCTCTTCTACTTTACAGTTGTATCAAACGTTTCCTTATTGTGTTTAAAACAGTTGCAGAAATCAAACCGTTACCCATTATGTTACACACCCCAACCACTGTATCAACTGAGACATGAAATGTAAATGGCGTATTATCAGAGTGTACTACTACCACTATTACTAGCGGTGCAATAGTAATAACAACAGTAATAATTTGTTCTATTCTATAAAAGGCATTGCCAATGGCAGCTGGAGTCACATGGATTTGCAAGCAATGCACAACAATTCAGTTTTAGGAAGACTTTATGGATATATTTACTAAATCCTTATGTAAACCCGTTCAGAAAAATCCACTTAATAGACAACCTACAAATAAAGACTCAGATATCAATAATGCTGTGCTTAATGATGGAGATTATAACTGCACCCATAGATTCCAATGACAAAAGAGGTGATAAGCTGTATCTGATGAGCCGCGGTGGCGCAGTGGTTAGAGTGCAGTACTGCAGGCTACTTCTGCTGCCTGCCGGCAGTCTGCAATTTGGCAGATCAAATTTCACCAGGCTCAAGGTTGACTCAGCCTTCCACCCTTCCGAGGTGGGTAAAATGAGGACTCAAATTGTTGGGGGCAATAAGCTAACTCTGTAAACCGCTTAGAGAGGGCTGTTAAGCACTGTAAAGCGGTATGTAAGTCTAAGTGCTATTGCTACCTCTTGGTGCGGAAACCCTTGAGTTGAATTCACATGAATGGATAAGATTGTGTGTAGGAATACAGAAAGCACCAACGTTGGATCACTTATGTTGCAAATTCTCAGTGCAAACACTGCAGACAAAGTTATCTAACTAAGCAATACAACAGCAGGCATTGCATTAACAACCCTGGAGGTTCTTTTATCATTATAAAGTATTTACAAAGAGGCATTTATATGTTTTGTTCCTCTGGGGAGCTGGCACTTTGCATCAAAAATACATGAGCCAGCAATTAAGTTTTTGAGCACCTTATGGCCTTTTCCTAATGCAAATATTGTGGAATCCAGATTACATGGCAGGTAAACAAAAGAATAAGGTATTCTGGGAACAGAATTAGCTTATAATATGGGGGAAATGACGATGAAAAGGTCATTGTTACATTTTAATCTGCATTTTTTTTGTCTTACTTATAAAACAGATTGGTGGACATTTGCAAGCAAGCAAAGGTAAAGTCCAAAAGTAAATATTAAAGCAATCATCATGTCCTTTTAATGACCCCTTAATCTCAGTGTTTACTGGCTGGATGCCATTCCTGTCGCCAATGCGGAATTTTATTCAGCAGATATATTATACTGTTACGTATAAACTGGCTTAACAAAATCACAAATGAGGACGTGATAAGCCACCTGGGAAAGCAAAGGGAAATAATCAAAGCCATTAAAAAGCAAACGTTAGAATATTTTGGACGTGTGATGCGACACCCAGAAAAATATGGCATCCTTCACTTAATCCTCCAGGAAAAGATTGAAGGCAAATGAGGTCCAGGCAGAAGAACATCATGGCTTCAAAACCTAAGGGACTGGTTTGGACAAAACTCAGCAGCACTTTTTCATGCGGCTGTTGATAAAAACAGGATTACCAACATGATCGTCAATGAACCCACAGCTTCCTGATTGTGAGGTGAGAGCTCCACCTCTAAGCCGCCGCACCAATGCTATAATAATAATAATAATAATAATAATAATAATAATAATAATAATAATAATAGCAATAGCACTTAGACTTATATACTGCTTCACAGTGTCTCACAGCCCTTTCAAATCAGTTTACAAAGTCAGCATATTGCCCCCAACAATCTGGGTCCTCATTTTACTGACCTTGGAAGGATGGAAAGCTGAATCAACCTTGAGCCAGGTGAGATTCAAACTGCCAAATTGCAGTCAGCCGGCAGTCAGCAGAAGTAACCTGCAGTACTGCATTCTAACCATTGTTGCCACCATGGCTCTTGGTGGCAAGATATAATAATAATGAGAGTAATAGCAAAAACAAGAAATGGAGGATGAAAGGGAGAGCATGATGATATCAAAAATGAAAATTACTTTGAGGGCATCTTGGGTGTCATCCAGACAGTAGACACGGATGTTGTATTCCAAGGATGAGCAGATCAGTGGCCCAAATATGGCCAACTTCAGACGTTTTGTGGCTGCTTTGGTGACTGACTGCCCTACTAAGGCATAGGTGCTAAGAGTTTCTGTGAGTATATGGCATGCCTCTGGATCCAACTGGATATAACATGGAGTAGTGAAGTTTTCTTCTCCAACTGCTACAACATCCTTAAAAGATCAAAGACAATCGAATAAGAACAATTTAAAGGCTTGGACAATGTTGACATCAGTACATCAGTGCATATTATTCAGGCAATAGTATTGCTTTTCCAGTTACAATACCATGGATACATTTAAAGTATTTGGAGAAATCTGAGAGTAATTGATATCAAGCGAAGTGTGTTTCAGAAAATAGAATTCAAATAAATCAGGGATATATACTAGCTTTCAAAATACTTGCTCACTTATTTACTCTATATTTGACTATTATTTATAAAATATATAATTAATATAGTTTATTAGTTTTACTAATATTTCAAGTATGGGTGGCCCCAACTTATTTTGATTTTCAGAAGCAAATTAAATTACTGTATGTTTGAAGCAGTTAACACTTTTCCATGCAAGGATTCAAATCCAAAGTTTTAATAAAAGCATACATTCATATTTCATTAACGAGAAATATTCACTCAATAAGTTACAATAATAAGTATCATGACATATACATTACAAATATATAATAATTTTAACATGGAGACAAATAAAGATGGAAATTGACATTTGCCAAGAATGGTGTAAGCAGAACCATATACAATCAGGGCTGTCAAACTCTTGGCCCATGGGCTGGATGTGTCATGCTCTGGCCACGCCCACGCCCGGTTTAGCGAAGGGAAAAAAAGTCCCAATATTCCAATACGTCAGGTGATGGCCGCTGTGATGCCGTGAGTTTGACACCCCTGATATACATCTGAACAAATCTGAATGAGGAAAATGGGCAAAAATTAGAGAGAAAAAGAAAAACAGCTATAATTAGAGGTTCAGCATTAGCTCATATAAAAGGTACTTTCAAATATTAGAAAGATACTTCCCATTTGATTAAAGACCTTAAAGGAAGGCAAACTGGTTAGAGAATCTGGAAATGTAGATACCCAAAGACAGCTATCAGATATGCAGTGATAATGGGGAAGACCACTGAAATATCAAATTCATGAACATTTTTCCTGTTGCCTCAAAGTAAGGTACCTAGTAATCTTGATCTTATAAATGAATCACTAGGTTCAATGTTTCCTGAATTGGGGAAAGACTTAAAATTCCTTTGTTGAGGATAACAAGGTGATCTTGCATGTATGCAAAGTGACACCATCCTTCCTGAAGAATAGGAAGAAACAGGTAATCAGTAATGAGATCTTACCAACCATTGCTGGCCAAGCTATAAAACAATTGCGTTGGCACTTTCAAAACTCATCTGCCTTGAGGAGTTCTCAATGGAAGGAAAGAAAATCAGAATGGCATTAAAAATAGGGAGAGAATAAGCATATAGATCAGTGGTGGGTTGTCCCCGGTTTGGACCGGTTCGCAAGAACCAGTAGTAAAACTGGCAGAATGCTCTGCTCACTGACCCGGACGTCATCCTAGGTGATCTGTGCATGCGCAGAAGCTTCTGCACATGCGCAGAAGAGCATGCATGGGCGCGATGTGAACAGGTTGAAGTGGGGTCTAACTTTGCTGGGATTGTGTAGAAGAGAAATGGAGGCAGAGTTAAATGCATCATCAGTTTAGAGACTTTGTGTTGCCAGAAGAGATCCAAGTCCAGCCCTCCCCCCTTGAATTCTGTTGACCTTTATTTAGTGCCAATTTGTTGCTGACTGTTAGTTGAGTTCTAACAGATTGCTGATCTCTCTGATCATGACACTGGAAACCAAGGAGATGAAAACTATCATGATCACTAATGCTTTAAGGATGTCAAGACCAGTAGTGGGTTCCACTTACCTTCGCTACCGGTTCGGAACCGGGAGCGTGTGTGTGTGCACATTCGCTTCACTTGCACGCAGCGCTTCTGTGGGTGGGCGGAGCCTCCCACCACTGCCACTACTGGTTCGCCCGAACCAGGGCGAACCAGTAGAAACCTACCACTGGTCTAGACCCAACCAGATCAGTCACAAAAGAGGCACTCCCATAACTTTTCTATAACTGAAAAAAAAATATCCCCGTGTCAAAATAAGGCAACATTGGCAACAGAAAAATGCATTTGCACTGGGTATTGAATGTGCCATCACATGCAAGTGTACTTATGAAAGTGTGCTTTCATTGCTCAAACCCTACAGTTAGGTAGGAGACTGATGTACTGTAGCTAAAAGGCATGAAAAACAGCCCATATGAGAATATCTTCATCTTCCTGTTTGTCTTCTACGGAAGAGGATATAGAGAAGGACAAACAGAAGGAGAAAACATACACAAGAAAATTTCCTATCTTGTTGCTTGTGTAGCACTTGAAAAGGAACAGAGGAAGAAGTAGGAACATCTCTTAAACGTATACAATGGGACCAAGCATCATGTGAAAAAAAATCTGTTTTGAAGAGTACTGGTATACTTGCCTGAAACTCAATGCAGATATAACACCCAAGTGGGTGTTGCATACAGGCCACAAAGAGGAATAATACATGGTGTCAGAAGCTTGTTCAAGATTGCATGCTCACATGTACAACAATAGACTGAACCAAAATAATGAGTACATATAACCCAATTCTGACCATATCAGCAAGAGTTTTCCTAGGTTTGATGTTTGATAAATTGGAAATAAAATGTGGATCCTTATTTTTATATATGTAATGTTTGATATTCTTTCATAGCAAAGTGTTCCAAATGGTTTACAAGAATATTCAATACTGAAATCAAAGGTGTAGAAAATAACGAAACATCGTGTACAGATAAAAGTTAATAGCATGGTAAAACATCAAAGGGAAAACATGACATGAATCTTAACTTGATCAAAAGCAAGAAAAAATAAACAGAAAAGAGTCTACCAAATAGAGCTCCCTAGGCAGGATGACAGTACTATGAAATCTCTAAATGTAATTTCCATATATCTTACTTTAGATAGTAAAAGTATTTCACAAAAATACTGCTCAGTACAAATGGAGAAAATGATCATGACTCCTTAACTGGGCCCAGAAACTGATAATCAATGCAAGCAGGAAGCATTAGATATTCTTAAATACAAGGTCTTCCAAGATAAGTATAATACATATCTTATCACAGAACTAGTGTTTGAAAGAGCTTTTAGGACATTCTCTACTGTCAAATCCCCATACAAGAAGCAAGAAATAAAAAACCTATTGTAAAAATTTACCTGACAAGATTTGATCACTTGTCAAGATACCCTCAGTCAACAAGTGTTCAGTTTATGTATGTTGAGTGTGTATGCAAGTACACACATACTTTAGTTTATCTCCTGTTTTTCTGTATGTACAGTACTCAAGGTAGCTATCAACATTAAAAATAACATGGATAAAACAACTCCACATATACCGTAGTAATATCCTTCATATTCAAAGGGGCATCTATAAAGATCTTATGTGAAGTTAAGCAAAGAATGGCTACTCCAGTGACAATTTAGGTTCTCAATTTTGTAAGTTTAGTTTCTAGATAGTGAATAAAGCAAGCTGTTTATTTTACAACTCCATTGCTTTATATTCTGAACATTAATGGAAATATGGAACATATTTCCATATGGAATATTAATGGAAACAAAGCAAATATTTAAATATAAAACCAGTATATTAAAGCCTAGACATGATTTTAGAACTGGAGTATCTGGTGTTTTATTCAGTTGCTATTGCTATACAAGTAGCAAACAATTCAAATTATTATGTCAAATGCATTTTACAAAAAGTAATTATACAAAAAAAAAAAGGTCAGATTTTTGACAGAATTGCAACACCTATGTTTTCCTTTTTTCATATCAATATGCTACCAGGAGTAAATCTAAAAGGAAACAGTATGTTTTTCTTTAGCAAATAAGTATAAAGGTAAAGGTAAATGTTCCCCTCGCACATATGTGCTTGTCGCTCCCGACTCTACGGGGCGGTGCTCATCTCCGTTTCAAAGCCGAAGAGCCAGCACTGTCCGAAGACATCTCTGTGGTCATGTGGCCAGCATGACTAAACGCCAATGGCACACGGAGCTGTTACCTTCCCACCAAACGTGGTCCCTATTTTTCTACTTGCATTTTTTACGTGCTTTCGAACTGCTAGGTTTAGCAAATTAGTACAATATTAACCAGGCATGTCCCCAAACTAACAGCAAAACAATGCTGACTACTTTAAGGAAGGTACAGATTTATAAGCAGGTGCCTATTGCAAAGCAACATGCAGATTGTAGTCCTCCACTTATAACAGTTCATTAAGTTACAACAGCACTGGGGAGAGAGGGGGAAAGACCATTTTTCACACTTACGACCATTGCAGCATCCCCATGGTCACGTGATCAAAATTCAGATGCATGACAGCTGACTCATATTTATGATGGTATTGGTGTCCCGGGGTCATGTTATTACCTTTTCTGACCTTCTGAGAAGCAACATCAATGGGGAAGCCAGATTCACTTAACAACTATGTTACTAATTTAACAACTCCAGTGCATTCACTTAACGATTGTGGTAAGAAAGGCCATAAAATGGGGCAAAATTCACTTAACAACTGTCTTGCTTAGCAACAGAAATACTGGCTCAGTTGTGGCCATAAGTTAAAGACTACCTATATTCTTTCATACAAAACCTGTTTGGTCACATTTCCAACCACTTAGCACCACTAAATAGATAAAAAGAGTTATTAATACTATAAAACTGGCTTTTTTTTAAAAAAAGAAAGCCCAATCATACCTTATCTTTTTTTCCAGTGACTTTCAAGTATAAAGTTAATGTTAGATTATAAAAAAGATAAAAACATTTCAAGTAATCATAAATTATTTAAGATGGAAATGTCTGAACCAGATGTGCCACTTTTACATTTGTGTTATTGATAGGGAAAGTCTAAAGAAGAACTGTTTTAATACTTGGTTGAATGTGATCACTGTATTTTGTTTGATCGGGTCTTATCTCTGGGACTATATCAAAATTTTCAAGTTCATAAAAGGCTGTAGTGTTTATTTATTTATTTATTTATTTGTTTAAATTTCTATACCGCCCTTCTCCAAATAGGACTCAGGGCGGTGCACAGCCTAAGTAAAAACAAAGCATACAAAATTTAAAAAACAGTATTAAAATAATTAGATATTCTGGCCGTAAATTAAAACAACCCAATTTAAAACCAATTTAAAATTTAGCTCAAGCCAGCCCAGCTAGTGTTCATATGAATATCATTACATTCCTCTTCAAACTTTCCATATCAAGATGGAAGAATCAAATGTATATGGAGTATAACTAGATAGCTCCTATTTCTCCTTCATGCTTTTAAGAGTTTATGAATTAAGAAAAGGGCTTAAAATGACCAAAGGTGTTCCAGAAAGAAAAGAAATGCTCCAAGCAATACCAACTTCTAATAAACATTCAGAATTTTTTAAAAACCCATTTATCTATCTGAAATCTGCTTAATACTGATGGCGTTAATTCTTATTTGATATTTTTGACATGAATCATACTTTTTCCCCTCTAACATACCAAATGATTTTAGTATCAGGAATAACACAATATACTATCTACTATCCTTCGGAATTCATAGCTCTTCCCTTAATATAGTACTGTATCCTGCCAAGATGCAAGTATTACAACTCAAAACACTCCATGGAAATTGCAGTCCCAACGCTCAGTTGGGAAATGTGAATGAAATGATTAAAAACTGGCAACGATACATACGTTTCAGGAAAATATATTTTAATGGATATTTGATCAGACAATGTGAACCATGCCGGTAAAGGGCAAGAACCTCACCTCCCATTGTCCCTGGGCTGCTTGGTTCTTCAACTGAATTTTCCAGTCTTCGGTGTTTGGTTCTGCACAGTGGTGCATTGTTAGAATGATAGGCCGAGTTAGTAATGCTCCTGGAGGCCCACAACTCACTACAGGGGTCAAAAGGGTTTGACAATCTTCTACTGGTGGCCTGAATGGATTACAAAGGAAGAAGAAAAGATATATTCATCGGGTATCATTGAAATGGATTCATTTTAAACCCTGTTATTGTTTATCCCTGAATTGATATCAAAGTGAAGTTTGGCATTATTTATCATTTAAACGATAATGTATTAACAGTTATTTGTGCTTAAAATCTGCAAAAGAATAAGAAAGAAAATCAGAAAAAACAGGGGGAAAATAACTCTCAAATTATGGCAGGCAATATCTATGATAAATATTGATGAAAAAACTAATTAACGAGTAAGCTGCTACACATTCTATAGTAATTTGAAATAGTAATTCCTCTGTATTTTATTTATGTATCCTTGTAAATGACATTACTTCCACCACATAGATAAAAGAATTCATGTACCATCTTGTTCCTTGAGGATAATATAAGAACATATAGTGTGAGCTGAAAGGGAAACGTTGGACTCAGGACAATCTATTGAAACTAAATGCAGAATAATTCAAAAATACCTCAACACAAAACACAACACAAAATAAAATTTGTCCTAATTTGTTTTACAGTTTATGCTGAGATTAAAAATAAAAATAAGGTGTTATAACACATAGATTTTTGTCTTGTTCTTTTTTGTCTTGTCCTTGTTTAGTGTTGTTCATTTTTCATTTTCATTTTGAGTTACTCTATTGTACTGATGTTTTGGTGTTTTTACAATTTTTTTTACAGTTTATGCTGAAATTAAAAATAAAAATAAGAAGTGGTGTTATAACTCATCAAATCATAATTTTTAAGTTTTTTTCCCCTTTCTCCCAACACATTCACTCTTTCTTATATATTAGTTTTGCAATTTATTCTTTGTCTCTATAGATGGCCAAACATCTCAAACTATTACTGGTAACCAGCTCTATATTAAATCTAGAATGCAATGATTATTAGCGATCCATTATTATCTTTCCAATAGTATTTGTCCATTTTAGAAGGCTTTCTTTTATTTTCCCATACTTCGTAAACATTTTACCAAAGTATATCAATACATTTCCTTGCTCTAATTTCTCCCATTTCTATAATGCACCTGTGCATGCGCGCACACACATACAGACACATGTAACTATAAAATCACTTGATTTTCTGTCAAACACAACACTCCAAAGAACAACTATGTTTGTTCTTTGACAGATTAATTTTCAGATTCACACTCCTTGCTACAATTTATGAACATTCTATCGAATATTCATTGCAAATCATTCAGATTGTCAGTCCACAAAATAGCAAATGCTACATGGAAAAGTACATGTACATTTATTTTTGCAGCCAACACATCTCTAATGTCACAAGAGCAATTGCTTATATATTGACCAAAATACATCATAAAGCAAGGAGACATGACAAATCCTTGTCTTACTCTTTCTTTGTGCTGAACCATTTCTTAAGCATTTTCATTCCTAGCTAAGCTTTGCCTTTAAATGACTCTTATCATATTAGCAGCCAAATTTAAAACTCATATTCACCCAAAGCATTCCATACTCTGGGCCTAATCATTTTATTGTACATACAACATCTTCTTTCATCAACTTTTTTTCGTTCTTCAAGATTAATCTGCTTTATAATACAGGATTTATACTTTTGCTTCCTGAAACAAAGCATAACATTATGCGGATTCCTACAAATTCTTCATGCAAAAATTCACCCTAGCAATAATGCAAATATTTTCCTTATTGAAACCCTCAGTTTGAGCCAGAAACAGTAATACGAGGCTGCCACTAATCATAAAATCCAATCTAATGCTCATCCTCATGCTAAAATTATGCGGAGGCATACTGCTTGATTACTCAGCTGATCGCTCATGCTGTCAGTAGGACTAGCTAACCCAGATAGGAAATCTGCCTGCAGTTTGTTTAGCATTAGGTGTAACCTGTGATTCCTTGTTTGTCCCTCTACACAAGCCAGAAATAAGAAGCTGGGGGCGATTATGGGGGGGGAGGGGCAGAATCAAACTAGAATTCAGGTTTCAGTTTCTTAAAAAATAATCCACAATCACTAATTGGAATGTAGGCCTTGGTTGGAGGACTATCAAGAGGAATCAAGTAGAAGATATGAGCTGGGAGATTTCTGCTAATACAGGTTTTTGTGTCGATGTTCTGTATTGCGCTCTATAGAGGCATATTTTGATTGACTGACTGACTGATTGATCTGTATGTTGCCGAACCCATAAAGTGTCACTGTGACATATGAATGACAACTGGAACTACAGTGCCGCTCAGGTATATTTTATGGCCTTATTCAGATATATTTATAACTCTTCCCTTCTTGCCCCCAGCCAACACTACTCAAATGATGTTAACTGCAGAAAAGACTTGGGTATTCGATACAAATACACACAAGAGAAAAACTACATAGACTTCTTCATTAGGAAGAACCCTGACAATGGTTCTGGCTCATGTGGTAACCAATGCATGTACTGAGATACCCTCAACAGTTTTACTCTTGCAGACAGTTCTGCTCTACAAAAGTCTCTATCTTTTGAACAACGTTGCCTGCAGATTCTTGCGAATTTCCTATGGTAAATATCCCAAATACTGAATAGTGCTCATGAAACTGACTGAAATCTCTCTCTCTGAGTGGCACTGTAGTCCAGTTGTGTGTGTATATATCTGTATGTAAGAGAGAGAAAGAGGAGAGAGAGGAGGGGTGGGAGAGAGGGAGAGGGAGGGAGGGAGAGGGAGAGGGAGAGGGAGGGAGGAAGAGAGAGAGAGAGAGAGAGAGAGAGAGAGAGAGAGAGGGAGGGAGGGAGAAATGAACTTAATTCATGAACATATTTAGCCATAATGCGCCATTAAACGTTGTTGTTTCTGTATAGATAAATATTCATTACCAGACACAGAACACAGTAGAACTAAGTAAGCCATTTAAATATTGCAATGCTGTTGATACCACATTAGTCATATTTTGCAACACAGATTTAAGAATGGTCAAAACAGTAGATTGAGAAGACAAAACGTAAAATATCTTCTGTTATTCTAGGCTAGTTCTTGTTTGCAGGCTAAAATCTAGGATTATGTTACAAATGCAGTTAGTATCGGGAAATGTCACAAAGTGCATCTTCAGTGTAATTGAAAAGTGTATTAAAAATACCCATGAACTGTTATTATTGAACCCCTTCAAGATTTTTAATGACCCCCCACTTCCCATTTTCATAGACTAATGACTTAGGTTATTCATTCCACAAAGTTTTGGGCGGTGTTTACTATTCTCATTAGAATGCATTGAAAATAGTTTAAGAAATAACAGCTGTGAACTCCAGCAATGACATTGCTTCATTTGAAGAGCATAAACCAGAATAAATTTTTAATGGGCAGGGAACGATTTATAGTGATCTGCTGTTGGTTCCTCAGAAATATGTGGTGAATGTCATGTACAACTTAAGATGACATTCACTTATGTACTACAATTACCTATGTTACATCTCTTGAAACTTGGTAGGAATCTCTTTTTTTTTTCTATGTATTTATCCTAGAGGGCATCATTACTATATTAAGCATTCATCTATGAAAATCAAACTCAGTAAACAGTTATTAGGACTTTTCCCAAGGAACCTGGTGTCTGTAGTTATGATTTCTGAGAACGCTATTAATGATTCTCTCTAATCTAAATTACAATATTGGGTTCTCCTCAGGGGAAGCCATGCTGGCAATTAGTATGCTTGCAGAAGTTTATAGTATATATAATTCTGAGTGACATACAGATTTCATTATTTCAATTGTGTCCTCTGTGTTATTGTGCCAATTATTCGGTTTGCTGGAATAAAATACTATACTTTGATTAACACAGAATTTAAAGGGGGGAAAAAGAATATAGAGTGGAAGAATTGAGATGAATAAGGAGAAGCAAGACGGTTATCCTTCCAGACATGTTGAGTACTTTGCAATTTTTTTAACTTTTTGGTATTTCACTGAAGTTTTGCTTCATGCAAATGTTTATACAGATGTATTGTCTTCTCCAAATTGGCATGATCAAAAATGTTTTGGGCAGCCTCCACCAATCCTACATTTGTACTTCTTTATTTTGCCCAGAAATGCCATATGCTAGATTCAGTACTTTTTAATTTTTATTATTTTTTTTATTATAACAAATATTCATTTGAAAGAACAATGCCAGATTATTGTAGGTGGCAAAAAAAAACCCAAAACAAATTGCACCTGTAATAGCAAAATCCATGTTACATAAGAACTAAAAAAAGAAATGTGAAGATATTATAATAGAAACTGTTGTTATGTGTTCTTGATAATTAGGACAAAACTTTATTTATCTGACATTAGTCATCTACGTGAGACTTCCATAAATTGACACTCAACGTAATTTTGGCCAAGAAAGTACATACTGTTAACATTGTTCATAACACAAGAAAAGCTTTCTGGGTCCATCTAATCTACTATTGCCAAAAATGCACTCAGAAAACACATAAACCTAAACATATTTCAGATAATCTTTCAGGAAAATTATTATACTTATACAAGATAGGATGATACCAGAGATGTCGCACTGAACTTGCAAAATTATTCTTGTCTCAAAACTATCTTTTGAGAACAGCAAAACAAGATTATGTAGTGTCAGGGGGGAACACATACATTTCATGAAATAATGTAAATACATTTTACAATCCAGTCCTGAAGATTTAGCCTAATGAGCTATTACATGTAATGTTCTTTCCACGTTGACATATATTCATTATCAGACTGTACATAGTGAAATTCTAAACTATCAATGCTTTTGAGAGTGTTATTCCTTGTCTTTCCCAAATCTCCTTTTTTAAAAATTCCCCAATCCAGCTAATGCCCCTAAATTTATATGTCATTCCCTTCTACTAATAATGTAGAATTCATTATTAAGAGAGCTTAATTTCCCATGAATCTGTGTAGTCCCTTTTTAAAACCTTCTAAATTGATTATCATCATACCATTTGGCAGCAAATTCCATATTTAACTACATTTTTATTGTTTATATTTATGTTATTACATTTATATGACCTCCCATCTTGCGTATGTGGTCCATTTAAAACATCAGTACAATACAGTAACTCAAAATGAAAATGAAAAATGAACAACACTAAATAAGGACAAGACAAAAAAGAACAAAACAAAAACCTACATGTTATAACACCTTATTTTTAATCTCAGCATAAACTGTAAAAAAAATTAGGACAAAGAACTTGTTGCGTTATTCCTGAATTATTTTGCATTTAGTTTCAATACATTGCCCTGAGTTCAATATTTTCAAAGATAAAAACATTTCCCTTTCAGCTCACACTATATGTTCCTACTTTGGAAAAAGTGCAAAGAAGAGCAACTAAGATGATTAGAAGCCTGGAGCCAAAAAAAAAATGAAGAATGATTGCAGGAATTGGGTTTGGCTAGTCTAGAGAAAAGAAGGACTAGGGGAGACATGATAGCAGTATTCCAGTATTTGAGAGGCTGCCACAAAGAAGAGTGGATCAACCTATTTTCCAAAGCACCAGAAGGCAAGACAAGAAACAATGGATGGGAACTAATCAAGGAGAGAAGCAACCTGGAATTAAGAAGAAACTTCCTAACAGTGAGGACAATTAACCAGTGGAACAGCTTGCCTTCAGAAATTGTGGGTGCTTCATTACTGCAGGTTTTTAAGAAAAGACTGGACAGCAACCTGTCTGAAATGGTATAGGGCCTCCTGCTTGAGTAGTGGGTTGAACTATAAGACTTCCAAGGTCTTTTTCAGCTCTATTCTGATTAAATATCTCTTCTTACTATCCTACATCCAAGGGAAAAAAAAATCGAACATTTTCATCTTCCCATCTAGGAGAGTTATTTAAGCCCCTGATGCTCTGATTGCTCTTTTGCAACTCTACTATACCCTTTTTTAAAGAGACAATAACATTATAGTTGTGATTTCCATTTGAAAGGCTAATGTTTGTTTCTTAAAACAAAACGGGTGTTTTTATTTAATACGTCACTACAAAAGCAGAGGGGAAAAGCACAGGGCCAAATGTGTACCATAGGCAATCAACAGTGTATTTGTGTCAAGGTACATTTGAGGTGGGCTGAGTGTGAAGAAATTGTAGCTGTGATGACCTATTAGATCAGGGGTGAAATGCTCCCGGATTGGACCGGATCGCCCGGTCCGGTAGCGATCTTGGCCGGTGGTTCGGGGATCCGGTAGCGATGGCGGAGCAAAGCTCCGCCCACCTGCCCAGGTGTCATTTCTTCCTGGTTTTACCTCCAGGTGTTTTTTACCTTCTGCACATGCGCAGAAGGTTTTGCGCATGTGCAGAAAGTCTGTGTGTGCATGTGATGCGCGCAGGCGTGGCATGTGCGCTTCTGAACCGGTAAGGAAGGTAAGTAGATTTCACCCCTGTATTACATGTTGACTGAATAAAATTGGGCTAGATTCTACCTTCCTGCAACAGATATAGGGACAGCATTTATTTAAAATTTGACCTGCATTGGAAATTAGGCTTATGAAGATGGAGGGAATAGGTAGTACTTTATGAAATAACTGGCAAATAGTCACACAGTCAGACCTTTGTTATAATTCCCTGTTTCTAAAATATAAGTGATATATTTCTCTTATAATTAATTTTCTGAAGCAATTAGTTTAGGGATAGAGAACAGATTATCAGATTATAGAAGTGAGTCTAGCTGCAGCTGAGAACAGAACAGGCTGTCACTGGAGAAAGTCAGAGAAAGCTGAAATGATCAGATCAGAATGCAGGGCTTTTTGGACCCACTGTTCTAAAACGGAAAAGAAGTGTGCAAAATACACATCACCTTCAGTAGTTCTAGTTCAATGAACACTTGTTCAGCAATTGTTCTAAATTACAGTACTGTGGTCCATGCATCCCCATGGTCACATAATTGCGATCTGGCTCACACTTATGATGGTGGCAGCATTGTACAGTCATGTGATTGCTCTTTGCAATCTTCTATGCCCATCTTCCCACAAGTAAAGTCAATGGGGAAGTTAGCCAGGAAAGTCAAAAGTCCTTCTGGCAGCAGCCACTCCAGTCTTCCTCACCTGACAGCAGTCACCCCTGGCTCTGCTGTAGTCATGATGCAGCTTGTGGGTTACCCTGCATCCCCTCCTCTCTGGCAGCAACCATTCCTTTGCCTGTTGTGAGCCTCTCGACACTCCATTCAATGTTTACATTCATGCCCTCTCATTTCAGATGCTCAGAATAACACAGTTGGAAGGGACCTTGTAGGTTATCTAGTGCAGCCCCCTGCTCAAGTAGGGGACCCTATACCACTTCTGACAAGTGGCTGTCCAGTCCTTCTTGAAAGCTTCCAGTGATGAAGCTCCCACAACTTCTGAAGGAAAGCTGTTCCATTGGTTGATTGTTCTCACGTCAGAAAATTTATTCTTATTTTTAGGTTGAATCTCTCCTTGACCAGGTTCCATCTATTGTTTCCTGTTTTGCCTTCCTATGCTTTGGAAAATAGGTTGTCCCCCTCCTCTCTGTAACAGCCCCTCAAATATCATGTCACCCCTTGTCCTTCTCTTCAGTTGACTAGTTATGCCCAGTTCTTGCAGCCGTTCTTCATGTTTTAGCCTCCAGCTCCTAATCATATTTGGTTGCTCTTCTCTGCGCTATTTCTAGATCCTCTACATCTTTTTATAGTGTGGTGACCAAAACTCGATGCAGTAGTCTAGGTGTGGCTTTATAGAGCGATATTAGTACATCACATGACCTTGATTCAATCCCTGTGTTAATGCAATTTAGGATTGCTTTGTCTTTTTTCGCTGCTGCCACACGCTGCTGCTGGTTCCTTTAACTTCTTTAACAGTCTGAATTCCTTGCTTAATGACGGGAATGAGGAATGCCAGAAGTGCTGTCACTAAGCAATGTGGTCACATGACATTATGCTTTACAAACTTATGACAGAGTGATAGAAATGTCAGTGCCAATTACTGTCATTAACTAAGGACAACCTGTATGTAAGGGAATAAGATGCAGAATATAAAGTTTGCATGATCGAGAAAACCATCCACACTTTCCTCTGCCTTGGGAACGGTACCCTTACAGTTGCGACTTTCCTTCCTTATTTTGATACCGCTCCCAAACAGCTATTAACTACTCAAGCTGTTCAATTAATAGTCTAGAACAGGGGTGTCAAACTCAATTTCATTGAGGAGCGCATCAGGATTGTGTTTGACCTCGGGGGGCCGGGGGGGGGGGCATGGCCAAAGTGGGCATGGCCAGCTCGACGTCACTCATGTCAGGGAGCACTCTGCCAGCAAAAACAGGCTCCTGAGCTCCGTTTTCAGCTGCGACGGCCTCCTGCAACCCTCTGCACGTGGCCCTCCCGACCTCCATTTTTGCCGGCAGAGGCACTGTCGTTTGCTGTTTCCAGGGTCAGTTCTAAGCACCTTGCGGGCCAGATCCGGTCCCCGGGCCTTGAGTTTGACACCTGTTATCTAGAATCACACTGTGAGTGAGAGGGGTGGTATCTAAATTTGACAAATTAAAAAAAAAACCCAGCTAGGGTGAAAGATCTCATCGCTTGCTCCTGTCTCAGACCATAGAGAAGAGACATCATTTCCTCAGCAAGGCTTCTCAGTTTGTTCACAAACCGTTTTACGGCCTCAGCATCTCTTCAGGCTTGCCTCAATCCAAGCAGATATGCTGATCAGCACAAACAGCCTCCTCCCTTCAGCAAGCACTCAAGCAAATGCAAACAGCAGAATCTCTTTTACCTCATGTTCTCCTTTCGGTGAACCGTCACATACATTTCATAGACTCTCCCCTGAGGAATCGCCCCCGCAGGAATCAGCAAACTTACTCCTATAGAACAAGATGACAAAAAAAAAAAAAAGCTGAAGCAAATGAAAGAGAAGGGGGGAGACAGTCTGACCTTTTGAATAATATGTGGGGTTTTCTTGGAGATTGACAGAATTTTACCCATACTCTTGAAACACAACTGGGATTTTTGCAGCCATCTTAATAGATGTAGTTTTCTGACTTGGTGGTGCCACAGTGTTTGCTTTATGCATTCTAGGAGTCTGAAACGGCTTTTGTTTTATTTAAGAAATGAGCAGATGGTTGCTCTGCTGCTTAGATTGTAAAAATGAAGAGGGGAAAACCAAGAGTTGCATTTACTATTCCAAACAGTGGTAATGGGATCATTGTTCTTGGCAATTCTTATTTAATGAAACCTGGGAAAAAAGGGCAACGAAACATTGCTCGTGAAACAACAGGAGTCTCTTTCATGTTCCTGAGGATATCAGTGTTATTTGGTCATTATTCACCATTTGGATGAACTAATGTAAGTTTTGTTATGAAGAATGGGGAATCTTTGTTAACGTTTTTGTATTGCCAGCAGCTTGGACTATTTATTGGATTACAACTTAAAAACACAGCCTGTAAAAGTATGCTATCAAAATGCAATTAAATTGTAATCATTTTAAGATTCAGCAGCTGCAAAATTAAAGGTACTGTTAAAATCTCTCAACTAGTTTTAGAATCCTTACCGGATCTTCTCCTCTGAGAGGAAGACTTTAGACAGGTGTGGTTGGGATGCTAAATGTACCAAAACTGCTTTTTCAAAAGGCAACTGGATTTCCTTGAAGATGTTTCGCTTCTCATCTAAGAAGCTTTTTCAGTTTTCAGTTCATTCAGTTTTTGCAACTGAAGAAGTTTCTTGGATGAGAAGAGAAATGTCTTCCAGGAAAAACAAAGTTCAGCTGCCTTTTGAAAAAGCACCTTCGGGACAACCATGACCTGGATGACTCAGAATCTCCATAGACATTTAGGGATCCTAAAGTTTCCCTTGGTGAACATTCTTGTCAGTTCAGGAACCAATCACGTTTCCATTGGTATCCTTCCATTTCAGATATTCTACATGGTAAGAAGAGCATCTGTGTGATGAGAGGAAAATGATGCGTTATCCCTTTGACCCTGATCAATATATGCTTATGAGAATGTTTGCAAGCTCCAAGACAGAGGGATAAATAGGCAAAGAGTTTGCTAGTGGTTAAGTCCTGTCCTCATGACCATCCAGATTCTGACACCAACAAACTCCTTTAACGTCACCCTGGCCTGTTGGTCTTGCCCTGCTATGCTTTGTATATACAGACTATGATGTGGCCTCAGAAGCTAAATAAGCACATTAATTAACAATGATTATAATACATTGAATATTCCCCACCTTCCCTTTCTAAAATCCCTCCTGTATGGGAAGGTCCCCAGTGCCTCCCAAAGTCTGGTAAGAACTTCAGTCCAACTAAGAGCTGTGGTGATGCAGTGGTTAGAATGCAATGTTGCAGACTAATTCACATTGCCAGGACTTTGATTCCTTCGATCCTAACCGGCTCAAGGTTGACTCAGCTTTCCATTATTCTGAGGTTGGTAAAATGAGGACCCAGATTGTTGGGGGCAATATGCTGACTCTGTACACCTGCTTAGAGATATACCATATTTTTCAGACTATAAGATGCACCGGTGTATAAGACGCACCAAGATTTCAAAAAGATAATCAAGGAAAAAAAAGGTTTTTGCTCTCCCCGGCACCCTGGAGCACTCTGTAGGCCTCTCAAACCCTCTGTGTGTCCGGTTTTTCACAAAAACGGGGTGCGCAGAGGCTTTGGAAAGCCTGCAGAGTGCTCCTGGGGGCTGAGGAGGGCAAAAATGCAATATATGCAAAAATGCAATATATGGGGGGTTTGGGAGGCCAAAAACGGGTGCCACAAAAATTGGTGCGTTTTTGCCCTCCCCAGCCCCCAGGAGCACTCTGCAGGCCTCCCAAAGCCTCTGTGTGCCCTATTTTTGTGAAAAACGGGCCCGTTTTTGCAAAAAAGGGACACGCGGGGTGGGGCTTTGGGAGGCCAAAAATGGCTGTATTCGGTGTATAAGACGCACCAACATTTCCACCGTCTTTTAGGGGGGGGGGAAGTGTATCTTATACTCCGAAAGGAACGGTAAGTCAAAGTGCTATTGCTACATTGTTCTGTGTCATAACATCTCTTCTTATGAGGAGATGGAACTTCACACACAAATAAGTTTATTGGAATACCTGCAAATGGTCATTATAATTGTGGAAGATAATTAATTTAATTGCACAATGGATCTTCTTTTTTATTGTTCCCCCACCCATTTGACCGCCAAAGAGTTCATTTATCTTTAAATATATAAATAAAAAAAATTCTGAGGTTGCAAATGCAGAGAGAAAGAACTATTGCATTATAAACACCTGCCTTCTTACTGAGCTGGAGGAAACAAACTGAAATTTGGAACGGATTTCTTTCTTATAATTAGTTTGTTCTTTTTATGTCAAGTGACATAAAAACCTTCAAGGTTTTCTCCCTCGTCCCTCTTTTTTTTAATTGTGATACATGAAAGAAAAAAAAAGCCAAAGGGTTGAGCATCCTACTTCAAATAAGTTGACAGTAGAAGGTCTCTATCTGATGGCAACAACTCAGAGTTCTGCATTTTTCTCCTTCAGAAGAAGTTAGAAGTTAGTGAGAAGAATATGTATAATAGCCAAGTAAAATCTAATGGGAGAAAAATATTTCTCTGATTTAAATGTAAGATACAGCTTTCTATAATGACCCAAACCTTTGCTAGAGGGGGAAAAAAAACCAACCTCCGATAACTCTGGAACTACGTGAGAAATGTTATTTAAATGGCTGTAAATAATAATTTACCTGAATTAGGTACAATCAGATGACCTCCAAGAGAATTGAAGGTCCCAAAAGCAGTGCACGATGGATCTGTTTGCCGCGCGAGGCTCTGGTTTTTAATGTTTAATGCTTCATTATCCAGTAGGGATTGAGTAATCTGTGGAGAGAGTTTGGATGAAAAATCGGACAGCTCATCCTGGGGTGTGACTGCACCCGAATTATTGTAAACTTTGATCTTCAAGTTGGGCAGTGGATCCAGGATTGGAGAGTTGGTCATTGGAATTTTATCAGAGACGTCATGCAAGGCATAGACCGGGCCTCTATACATAGCTGCTGCAGACGTAAGGTCAGGAGGAACAGCAAGGAGATCTGTTTTAAAGAGAGAAAAAAAAGCACCGTTAAAATCAAGAAGCTATGGCCTTAACAACAACAGCATTCCCAACAGGCCCTCTCTGGATTTGATATGAATAAAACCCTCAGAGTTCCATATTCAACCTGGCCTTCTAGGGCAACTTTGAACATATTCTGTTAAAAAAAAATAAGGTGCTCATAAACTACAAATTAAAGGTAATTTCTATTACCCTGTTTTCCCCCAAAATAAGACATCCCCTGATAATAAGCCCAATCGGGCTTTTGAGCACATGGCAATAAGGCCAAGCGCTTATTTCAGGGTTCAAAAAAATATAAGGCAGGGTCTTATTTTTGGGGAAACACGGTAGTCAGGAAAGGCTTCACTAAATCATGACTGAGGTATGCGGAACTTGAAATCCGAAAATGTTTGAAAATATTAAGCTGCTGCATGCTAAAATTATGTGAGTGGTAATGTAGGCAGTCATACTAAGGCATTTCACATATGAAGATTCACCTTTACAGGTAAGGACTTGATGATATCTGCTTATGGGTGAAGAACATGATTAATTGTTCCTAAGATAGGATGGAAGGGAACGGGGCTATGTAACAGAAGCAGCTTAAATATTTGAACTACTTCTAAACAATGATTTCTCATAGATGCATTATATCAACCTGCACTTCTGGAGATGTCCCAAAGTAAGACTTTTTGCAGAAAGGGAAGCAAAAGCTTTGGCAGCATGACTTTTGACTTTGCACAGCAATTGTAGACTAGCAAAGTGAACAACAAAATTGACAGAAATGTTGGGAAGAGACAAGAAAGCTACTGCAATGTCAGCATGGCAGGAAACAGATGTAGGAGATTGTAAAGGTTTAAGATCTAGCCAATGAAAAGAAATCCCCAGGAGGCTGATAGGGCTGAGAAAAGATGTGAAAAGTGCTATATCCTGACTCTTTGAAAAGTGGAAAATACTTTGTAGAAGTTTAATCAAGATGGAGGACAACCTTGTCAACATTATACCATACAATATAGAAAGCATCCTGTTATAGTACTCATTAGTCTGACAAGCACAAATTATTACCTATCTGGCAGAGTACTTGGGGGCTTTAAATTTTAGCATGCTTACATCTGTGGGCTAAAAATTGCTACAGGACTAAGAGTTCACTTGTATTTTAGCAGCAGGGGTCTCCTGAGAATGGATTCTAGAAGATTTCAAGAACTTGGGAAGCAAACTGAGAGTAGAAAGGTTTTCCAACTAATGCAATCAATACAAGAGCAACCTAAGTTCAGGATCAAGTTCTCTTTTGCTTCTTTATATAAAAGATAGTTGTCAGGCTATACGTGTTTTAGAAGTAGGCAGAATTGAAGTTCTATGATATGAAGGTTCCTTTCTTCAAAAGTTCATAAAGCTGAAATCTGATGGGGCCCACAATCTGTCCCTTCCAGTCAGTCTATTGTGTTTATCTGCAGTAGATGTGATCTGAAGTGTCCTTACAAGCTAGATGTCACACCTGCCTCTAGATGTCACAGCTTAAACCTCTAATTAGAAACGATCCTTGATTCCATTTGTTGAGAAAGGTATAGTTTATTAGAAGTCAAGCGTATTGCAGTAAAGGATATCCAGAACTGAGAATGGCATGCCAAAATCCCTAAATTCAACTTTTCTCTCCCTTAATTGACTCTCCCATAACCAATCAGGTTTAAGCAAGATGTTTTCAGAACGGTCACTTCAAGCATAGGTTGATATGTAGCTGCCTTCTTCTCCCAGCCAGGTGACCTTGAAGCAGCATCTTGAGGAGATACAGAAGTTACTTTCACTTTCCCCCTCCCATCTACCCTCCTTAAAGTTCATGGCAGACTGTCATTGCAAGACTGCGAGGCACAGGCAAACATGAGGTGGCAACTGACAGTAGATTGCATTGATTTCCCTGCTAAGTAAAGGACTCAATAGAGAGTAAGGCAGAATGACAAAAAAGCTGCTGCAACAAAACCCATAGAAACCAGTTGTGGAGAGAATGAAGCCAGAAAGGATGAGAGAAAAAATAAACAGGTATCATATAGGCCATAGGCCAGTAAACATTTAATCATGGAATGCTCCCAACTTCAGGTTGGCCATTCAAAGCATTCTGGTCTTGAAACTAGTGTTGGAAAATGTTCCAGGCCTTTTGGAAAGTTTCATTTTGGGGTTGAAGTACCTATTTACAGGTCAGACTTTCATGACAAAATACACTGCAGAACCATAATGAATTTTTGAAGGAGAGCAGAAGCATGTCAGGAAATAGATTCTATGTTATTTTCCTCCCCAAAACGAGTTTTTTAAGGCTATGAATTATTGGAAAGCACATGACTACCATGTAGCTGCCACAACTTGGAACGATTTAATTATATTGCTTTCCTCCTATTAAAATTCACAAGGAGCAAATTCGGGTCATTTTTTAATTTTTATTTCCCATCTTCTAAAAAGTTTCTTTTAATAGACATGGGATGGGACTTTTCCCACACAGAAGAAGGAAATGCGAAGTGGCAGCAGTGATAATAGAATAAATTGGAAGAACTGGAAGAAGTGAGAAAATTAAACAGATTCTTTCTTATTTAGTATTGTATATAGGAGATTATCAGAACATTCCAAGCTTCTGAGGGAAATTCAAAAGAATCAAAATGTTTTGGATGTTTTATAGTTTTCTTATTCATTTGGCATTTCTTATTGTTCAAATTATTTATCTTTTTTTTCTTCTACAGCATAGAAAAAGGTAATCCTTGCATGGCTGAATTCCATGGGTAATGCAGATCTTCATGGAACAAATTTATTCCCAAAAACAAATCCTGAAAAATGGCCAACCACAGATTCTCTCATATAGTTCTCTAGTAAATAAACTTATCACAAATAAATCTACAGACCAAACTAATGGAAGTTATCTTGGCACTGCAAGGTTAAATAGAAAAGGGAAAGAAAGCTGGAAGGGGCTGCATTTCACCACCCAAATTATTTTTTCTTAGAATCCTATACAGGATATTTAATTAATGAAATGTCCTAAAGTCATTTAATGTCCTAAATGACTAAAGAACTTACAATTTAGATTGGATAAGAGGAAAAGATAGGTAATGATTTTTTTTAACAAAAGGAGGATGCAGAAGAGGGCCAAATTACATTAGTTCTTATAGATTAAGTTTTGTAGATAAATTTATCTACAGGGTATTTAGTTAGAGAAATCTGTTTTATGGCATATCTCTAAATTTTGTTAATAGTGACTGGAAACAAACAAACGAACCCTGTCTTTCAGCTTTTGTTTAAATTTTGTTAATAGTGACTGGAAACAAACCTTGTCTTGCAGCTTTTATATTTACAGGCTGAAATCCACCATTTAGTGCTGAGGAATCTATAATATCTGACTCGAAGTCTCGATGGTTCTTCCGGTAGATGAATAATGCAACAGTTACCGAAATAGCCAAGCACACAATCACGGCTATCACAATACCGACGTAGAGAGCGACATCATCCGAATCAGGAGCAGCTAGGGGGGGCAGGAAAGAAAAAAAAAATTGGGACACAAAGCTAGAACATATTAATTGTCCCACATACTTCTATCAGCTCTTATAGGTGTTTATTATAGTTTTGCAAGTTAATTTGAAATCGAATGCTCTGCCACATGATTTTGGAAGGAGGAAAAAACATTCGAGGCTTTAGTCATAACTGTTTTCTTACTTTTTTTTTTTTGTCTTGGAAGCAAGGAAAATAACACATTGTTTGTAACTAGACTGTCAAGGCAAATTTAATCAAAAGAGCCATTTAGCACTCTTTGCAGTGCTAATTTATTCAGTGGGGCACCTGTTAATAAAAGAGGCTATATTTCCTTTTGGCATACCGAAGCTTTCCTTTTAAAAGTAAACAAATCTTAAAAGAAAATAAATGGGAAATGGTGACATGTCAGATAGACAGCTTGCCTACTTCTTAAAGAAAATACTTTGAGGACAGAGCTCCGTAATATGGAGACATAGAAGTAACTGTATGCTAATACTTTTCAAAAGTGCACGTGTATTTTATTTATTTGAGTCTCTGTCGATCAGTATGTGCATCTGTATGTATGTATAAGTTGGAGGGGCTGCTTATACTTTGCCTAAAGAAAATTTAAATATCTACATATTGTTGATGTTGCCCCCCAGATAAGCTGTGGGGAATCTATTTTTTTAAGTCCCAAATATGCAATTCTGCTCTTAGGCTCTAGGTGACTATTGAAAAGGCTAGTGGCACATTAAAGCTCGGAGGAAAGTATCATAATGTCAGAAAATGCAAAACATATTTCTAATACATTGATTTTTTTTGTTGTTGTTAAAAAAAATCACATTTTCTATTTTTTTGTGTGATTTTAGTAAGTTTCGGATTTGAGAACATCGCTGTTTTATGCATGCTGACAGAATTCAAGAAGTCTGCAATCTGTCAGAGAGCCTACGGCAGCTGTCCAAATCAGATTTGTTCCTCCTGTTTCAAACATGGTCTGACATGAAAATCCAAACAGCCTCTGCTTTAGACAACTTTCAAGAACAAAACAACAATTAACAGCGACAGAACAAGCTGATACCTCAACATGCCTTGGATAGCTTGCTGGAATGTACTGAGATGAAGGATGAAATAAGAAAACCAAAGCCGTCTAAGCTCAATAATATTTGAGGCATTGTATTTTTTGCTGTATGAATATCTTTCATGCATTATCAGCCTCCTTCCCTGGAGCCTATTCCTCCAAATGAAGTGACCGGGTGACCAGTGATGTGTTCTTTGATTGCCTTGAAGCACTGTCGTCATTTGAATGTCTTTAATTTGAAGTTAAACTTAAATTTAAAGCATCGGGCACAATTCTTCTTTTCTACCAGTCTTTTAAAATACAACTGAACTCCAATTGGTTTGTAAGCATGTTTGTGTGTGTGTGTGTGTGTGCACTCTTTGACGATCTCTTATTGTTCTGTTTTCATTTTAGAATTGTGGTTTTGTGAAGTTGCTGTCTGTTGGAGTTATTTTTAGTTGGATTGTGAGCTGCCCTTCAAGTTTTATGTTTGGTTTGATTTAATTTGGCTTGTACTGAAAGACCGGATAGAACTTCGACAAGCATATAGTTATCCATGAATTCATTAGGTGGGTGTTGTGTCTTTTCTCCGAGAGCTCAAGACAATGGTTATGAACTAACCCTTCCTTTTATCCAACAAACTCCTGTATCTAGGTTTGGGCTGAACGCAAGTGACTGTCTCAAAGTCCCCAATTTTCCATAAATAAGGCTGGATTAGAATCCAGGTCTGTCTGATCTATCTCATTATAATCCAGCATTTTAACTACTACACCATACTGGCTTTATTGGATGTTAAGAGTCCTTCACTTATTCCCAAATACAGTGCTATAAGGTAGGCCAGTATGATCATGTCCACAACACTTGTGAGGTGAGGCTGAATATAATCATTATTTACCTACTGTGTTCATAGTTTATTCTTCATTTATTCTAAATATCTAAATATTTATCCTCTAAATTTTCCAGTTTACTGATTTTCACAATGCAGATGAGCAAACTGCAAAAACAATAATAGCAAGGTAGAATTTTCTATGGTTCTGCTGTAGGAATCAGAGCAGCTTTGGTGATCTTTTCTCTTATATGTTTGTAATACATCCTTTCATTAAACCCACTGTAATATTATTACATGCCAACCCATTGCTTCCCTCAGTAAGTCTTTCCCCCCCAAAAACTGCCTATGTGACATAAATATGATGCAAACTTTTTCATGAACAGAAAATATTTTACTTATGTTTAAATAGACCAATATTACAATATTTAAATGTACTGATATGCTTAAATAGTAAGCCTTTGGATTCGTTATGTACATAGGCAATACCTTCTTAAAAGAAAATCTCATGTTCTAAAAATACTTGGTTTTCTTTAACTCCTAATAGCACAGATGAACACCAATAGATGACCAAAGGACATCAGGTTCAATATATTCTGCCTAATGGAACTCAAAAGGTGCATTTGAAAATGCTACTATTTTATTCTATCTTTCAGAAATGGCTTTCATGGAAAAAAAAGTGTGAGAAAAATCACCAAGGGAACCATTCTCTCTCATTGTTTTATGCTCTTTAATCAAATTAAAAAGTTGCAATTGCTCCATGCTTTGCTGGAATCTTAGTTGGTTTCTTTTAATTTCTTTTATCTTCCTTCCCTAAATTTGTTCTCCAAGTGTGGACTCTCTCTTAAACAAGCAAAACATAACCCTGGAGAAGTTAAATCTCTCTTCCCCAATGGATATACAACCTAGTGGAAAGTAACTCTTGGATCAGCTAATCAGAATCCAAGCACATATTATCAAGCAACACTTACAAGAAAATCCATATTCATTCTGGGTTCTCTGTTCAGTTGAAATAGGGTAAATGAAACCTTTAAAAGAAAACAAAAATGGGAATAAAATCAAATTAACACAGGGAGCTTTTAAACACACACATTCACACATACACACAATTGCACCCAAATGTTTTAATTTAAAAATAAAACAAAAGGAATGGAAAAGGAAAAAAAAGAAGGAAAAGAAAAGGAAACTAATGGCATTTTAGAATTCAGATTCAGCACACTATTATAATTTTGCCTCTCCTGTCTGCTCAATAGTCTTACTCAGAATTAATAAGTAGACAGATTGAATTTCAAAGCCAAAAATTGGTCTCGAGTCACTAACTTTGGAGTGCTTAAAGTCTTTCTTTTATTGAGCATAAACTCTAATGGATCTAATTTATTTCAGACATCAAGGATCATTAGCATATGGAAAGTCTTCTTCCTCCCAATTCCTGCCATATGCTTTAATTCCCAGGATATATTCAGCAGAGCTCTGAATAGTTTTTTATTTAATTATAGAAGCTAAGCTGCTGGTCTAATAGAACTCCAAGATGCTTGCCTTCAACGGTCAAAGGTTAAATATCCATTTACCAAGTGTTCAACCCATGGAAAAGCATCATTCCCTCCACTCTTCCTTTTCCCCTAGATTTCAGGGGAATGGTTTTTAACCTTCCCTTTAATAGAAATCCAATTCTGTTCTCCGGGGAGCAAGCAATTTGCCAGAGAGTTGGAAAAGGCATGTGTTCCATTTGAAATCATTAGAAAATCAATAGGAACCTTGACATCATAAAGTAATTTATTTCAGATTTTGAAGCTTTGTGTAATATTGACAAAATCATAACACAATTTTTTTCCCCCTACAAGAAACAAATAGAAAGAAAAGTGACTTTCCCCTGATTTTTAGTGATAATGCAATCTATTTTTTTTCTTTGAGCAATTTGCTCTGAAGCTGTGCAGTGAAAGAAAAAAAAAAGTGTTGTTTTTTTGGTCTATGCCAACGGTGAAACATTTAGCTGGAACCAAATTTCCACTGTAATGAGTGGAAATTTTACTTCTAAGTAAGCATGTTCAGAATCAAGGAAACAGCTGGGGGGGGGGGGAAAGCTGGCTTAACTTTTTTTTAAAAAAAGGAACCAAACCCCAAAGAAATCTGAAATATTGGATTTTTTTTTCATCTAAAATATTGCATTCCAGGCAATTAAATTTTGAAGACATTTTAAAATACCATGAGAATGAGATTGAAAAACAAAAGACACTTTTGCAATAGAGGAAAACTATTGAGAAGCCATAACATAAATTTCAATATAATATTACTTAGTATTTAATGATTAAAAAAGGTTTTTTTAATCGAGGTAGGCTACACTGATATAGAGAAATGGCAATCAACTTTATCCACCTTGTTAAAGAATCACCACAGCGTGGATCTATTATCTTCAAGGCCGACATAGTTCAAAGTATGAAAACCAACAACTTTCCCCACTTTCATGCTTTAGCATGATTTTCAATAAGGAAAGCACAATTTATAATATTTTTACTTTCAAGTTTTCAATTTCTCTTGACCAAGTAGAGCAAGACCGTTTCTGCAGTTATCTTCATGAACTAGGGACATGATACACATTAAGCAAGGGAATTCCGCTGCATATGTAAAATGGCTGATGCTCTAATGTTGCTCTACAGCAGAGGTGTCAAACTCTCGCGTCATGTCGTCACGTGATGTATCGCAACTCTTTTCTCCTTTGCTAAACCAGGATGGGCGTGGCCAGCGCATGACGCATCCAGCCCTCAGGCTGTGAGTTTGTCACCTCTGCTCTACAAGTAGCGTTTGGAAAGACAGGATATGCTTCTCCAAGGCACCAACCTTTTTATAATTGTGGCTTCTTGCACATGGATTTCAACATCAGTATGTAAAACAATGATGCATATTGTGGTATCTTACATTAATTACAATAAGCTTCAAGAGATGTACAACTTTCTTTTTAACAAAAAAAAAAAAAAAGGAAAGTGGGAGAAACCTATGAATTGCTGCAATTGAATCAGCATTAGTTTTGAAAACACGGTACATCATTCTGAGAATCTGCGTGGCCTGCTCCTTAATAAAAAATTGATTTCAGCTAACAGCATTTGGAAATATCCAGTGCCTATTCCAATATACTTCCATTATGAAATGCTTCTAACTATGTATTTTTCGGTTTCCCAATTTTGTTTGTTATGCCACTGATATTGGCATTGGCACGCGTTGCCATGTAGTTCCTCAGACACTCATTCTTTTCTCTTTGTCTCTCTCTCTTTCTCTCTTTTGCAGCTCAGCTGAGAAGTGCTGTTTTGCTCAAAAGTATGTAGCGTTGCCAGCAGCAATCACAGTCAATCCATTTCTTATTACAAGAATTGCTAAACAAATGTTACATTGCTATGCTGGCTTTACAGAACTGCTGCTTCAATTCTGAGGTGCTGTGGTTTACTTTGATATTACGTCCAGATAAGTCATACTCCAAAAGTCAACTTCCTGAATAAAGACAACAAATAAATCCACATTGGGAAGCCCCAAGCCATGCACAAATTCAAAGTATAGCTACAAGTAGTCCTGGATTTAATATTGTAATTGAGCCCAGAATTACGGTCATAAATAAGTCATCACATAACAGACATGATTTTACTTTTTTTTTGGCAGTGGTCATTAAGCAAACAAAGGACTTGTTAAGTTGAAGCCATTGCTGGTTTCTGGCAAAAAATGTCATTAATGCAGACCAGTTGCCGACTGCTCAAAGTATGATCACAGGGTAGCCATCGGAGCTTTGAATCTAGATCATATATTTTTTTTTGGGGGGGGGGCGAGGCAGTACATCATAACTAAACCATGGATTATAAATCAAGGACTATCTGTAGTTATTAAATGGAATGTGTAAGGGGTTTTTTAAACCTTTTATGTATGATCTTTTGAGATTTCAAAATGATTCCTGGGTACAGAGGCATAGAGCAAGCATTGTGTACAGGAATCAGCACTAGTTCTAACATAGTTGTGTGGACGCTGTTGCTCATGTCGTCTACATCACATTGTTTTGTCTCAGCCCACTGAGAAGAGTATAACAACTATAGGTCTTCACTACACGGGCCAGGCAACTCTACGTATGGACTCACTTCTTCAGGTTCCCAGATCTAAACTACAAAATGGTAAAAAAAACCCAACCTCTTTGTTGCCCTCTAGTGATAGTTCAGATTTTTGCAGTCCAATCTGACAGGCCTATGCTTCTTATATTGTTGTCATCAAAATGTATGTCAGTGTTGGATTTATGTTCCCCGGCTCCCCCCCCAAATGTTATTGCAGATGTGTTCAGCAAGAGATATTTTAACTATTGCTTTGGCAAAAACTATTGCTTTAGACCAAAAACCTTGGTCTAGATATTATCAGTTAGTATCCTAAACAGCTGCCATGTTTGCATGATTTTCTTCCCATGTAGCCATGAAAAATTGGTAGCTATAACGTATGAGGAACCAGCTTAGCTCTGAACTTTGGCTCTTAATATATATCAGCAGATCTAACTGCCTATTGGTGCTATAGACAGGGTTCCCAATTTTGACAACTTTAAGATGCGTGGGCTTCAACTCCCAGAATTTCCAAACCAGCCATGCTAGCTGGGGAATTCTGGGAGTTGAAATTCACATGTTTTAAAGGTGCCTCAAAACATTATTTTTTTCATCTGGGATTGTCACTTTGGGAAATTCACTATTAACTTAACTGACTTCATAACTTGAAATGGCTACTTATGATAAATGAAATCTGCATAGCTTAGTTGGGTTTTCCATTCCCGTTTTAAGTTGCCAACAATGGTAAAGAAGCTGCTTCTTCATCTTTGTTTCACATATAAAGAGCAACATACACATAGCTTTTTGCCCACTCGTTCACATTGGCTTCTGTTTCTCGCACAGACACACCTCCTTCGTTCATAAGAAGATTGTTTTCTAACAACTGGAATAACTGAGTAGTGAACTCAAAAGGAAGGAAAAGCCATACAATATAAATGTAGAGAACTATGGAAGGAATGATTCTAACAATGGTTTTAATTGTGCTGCTCTCACCCTCTAAAATATTGACACAATGAACATGAATTTGTGTAAAATTTGGGAGACAGGATAGAGGAATCTGGCATGATATGGTCCATAGAGTTGGACATGACTTAGCGACTTAACATCTTTTAAAGAGTTGTTTGGTGAACTGGACAATACAATTAGGCTAAAAAAAGGACATGCAATGAATCATACAGTGTTTTCCTGAAAATAAGACCTCTCTGGATAATAAGCCCAATCAGGCTTTTGAGCGCATACTCTAAAAGAAGCCCCCCCAAAAAATAAGCCCTCCCTGAAAATAAGCCCTCCCCGAAAATATTTAACTGCATGTGCAGCCGATCCGCCATTTCCTCTGGTTAGGGTTAGAGAGACAGAGCCTGAAATCAGGTAAGATGGCATGAGGATCCCTGTCTTGCTCCATGCGCCCCAAAATAATAAGACCTCCCTGAAAATAAGGCCAAGCGCTTATTTTGGGGTTCAAAAAAAATATAAGACAGGGTCTTATTTTCAGGAAAACACAGTATTTTGTATCATACTTCTATTGCTTTCCCTATAAAAACTGCAGCTTCCCTAACTGCCAAACATCCAACAGCCAAAATGTTTCAGGACTGACTGAAGCATACTCAAAGGTTACATAGAAAGAAACTCAACAAGTTCTGATGTGTTAACCAAGTTTTGGATTTTGAGATCAAATTTTTAAACTTGTATAAAATGGAAGGAGTAGCCAATCGGAGACTAGAGAAAGGGAATTTGCGGGCTGTCTTAATCTTTAAGATGCTCTGGGGTCCTTGGTGCTCTCTGAGGTTGCTTGTTTTATTGCAGAGATTTCATTATTAAATTTGGTAATGTCATTAGTGCGAATAGGGAGTGGGATTACTCCCATTTCATATTCTAGTGACTTGCCCTGTCAGTGGTGTTGGGTGTGGTCTTGGAGGTTCCTTGGTAGGGCTGTCATTTACTGTTAGATAGTTCGGTAGTTCCTTGATTGT